TATCACAGAAAACTTACGTAATCTCAAGGGAAACACTTTTCCTGCACTTGCCTGGACAGTTCTTACAAAGGAAATGGGCTTTGTAAGCAGCAATTTGTTCAGACTGAAGCTTCTTAGGTGAGAGTTCAATTTGCTCAAGTGGGGGTTCTTGAATGCAACAAGTGGGAGATCTATTTTTTTTGGGGGAGAATGGGCTCTCCTTATATACATTTTGTGTGGGAATATTATGTAAGTAAAAAGGTGATGTAATGACTTCAGAATGTGAGAAGAATATTCCAAAAACTGGAGCAGAATGTTCTAGCAGGTGCAAAAGAACATTCCAGAATATTCATGGTGGGATAATGACATCATTCTGAGTCACTATGAGTCACTATGAGTCATTATGAGTCATTGGAATGTTCTAGCAAATTCCATGGAACATGACATCATTATGACATCACTATGATATCATATCTTTCAATCAAAATACCTGCAGGAGTGTAGGTGAAGTCCTATGACATCATTATGACATCATACCCTGTAGGTACAATTTTATGAAGCATCTGATTAGTCAGAGCATCCTAATAGAAAAGTAAAGTAAAGAAACACTAGAGAAAACAACTCAGAAATAATGGAACAAATAATAGTACACAATATGCGGGCTTTTTAGATAGGTTTTTGTTAGGCTTTGAACTTTTCTCTATGGGTTTCTCTAGCCAAAGTGAATAAGCCAAAGGAAAGGCAATACCTTAACCTTCATTTTGCTTCTCATATCAACTAGGTCATTATGTGATTCCCATCTCACATATGACTTTTCTTCAAAACATGGTGGATTCATGAATCACTGAGGGAAAACTGAAACTACTGGACCAAGGTTTGATACCAAGGTATGGGTTGACTAGTCTGAGGACTAAGCTAACAGACTTTGTCTTTTAGGGGGATACCTAGTAGTCATGTCCATGCATGATTCCCAAATCATGCAGGACACCGACTTACCGATATGCTGTACACATACTTTGCTTATACTTCATACATAGCCTCGCGTCCTTGCTTATTGATCATTCCGTTAGTTATCCGTAGTATATAAACCCTTGTACATGCGCTGTAGTAGATCAGTTCGAATATCATCTTGGACTGCACTCATTCTGTCTGGACTCTAAGTCCATCCGTTATCCGTCCGGACTTGAGTACAATACTCTTGTCTACTCCGAGACTTAGGATTGATTCCTATAGTCTATATATCCGTCTCTGTCTTCGGACAGTCCTCGCCCGTTAGTTTCTAGTTCGGATCCGATCTGGATTAGCCATTACTATATACGTTTGATATCCGGAAGCCATAACGGATCCGTTACGAGACTTATCCGTCTCAATATACGTGATACTTTAGTACTCTGAAATAAGGGGCAAGACTCGGGAAAGGGGCACAGCACACAAGCTGAGGCCGAAGCCCTTCGGATCCGATACCACTTGAGTACGGTCTTAACAGGTCCGATATCCATATTCTGGACCTGAAGAAACACCGTGCACAGACGGAAGTGGACATGCTTTCTGAAGCCTTATCACACATTGCTGAGTCCGAGGGCACTGATTCTGATTGTGAGTACACAGCCGTTACTTCATATTTCTCACTAAGATCACTGCAGGTTCTTCTGGAAGTGTTGTGGCATATGGACATGACAACGATTGGTCTGATGATTGGTTTTCATCCTCATACGATTCTTCCAATGCCTCAGCACTCATGGACCCTTCTCAGGCTCGATTGTAGTTGTATCACCAGTTTGTAGTCATTCCCCCCTTCCCTGGTCGAAGTTCACGACATACGTTCTCCATACTCTTTGACATTGTATCGGTATCTCATTTAAGTTAGTTGTACGTTGAGCATGTTTATGTTATATGTGCTATCCTTTTGACACTTTGATTTTGCTTCTGATAACCAATATACATTTTCTTGCCATCGATGTGTTAGACATCTATTTTACGGGTGATGATAAGCAAATGGGGTGTTGGAGACATCCTCGAAGTTACTAGTACTAACGGTCCCAGAACAACTCAATGATTATATTCTACTAAGTAAGTTCGAGGCATGAGAACGTACGTAGGATGAGGTCTACACGGCGGCACAGCTTTTCGAGTTTCTCGCCCTTCTTGCTTCGTACTACTACTACTACTACTACTACTAGTACTTCAATACTGCTAGACTACACTCTCGTTTTGTCGCACCCGCCTGTGATGCGACATCCATGCCGAGACTACATGATACTGTTCTGTAATCACTTAGCATTGTTGGTCCATTGGCAAATTCACTCTGAAGTAATCCATGCTTGTCAAGCTTTTCCCATGTTGGTGATGACCAGGTGAATGCAAGCAATTGTAGTTTTTCAGCTTCTATGCAATCTAGATAAGATATATCCCACTATTTAAAAAATGTCACAAGACATTATAAGTCTACCAGGATTGTGATGACCTGCAGCCACTCAATTACAGTGCAGGGACAGCCCAGCTATCATGCTGTTGTCTGCTTCCAAGACACACATCAAGGTGATATTTTTCTGGTATAGTTATATCATGGGTTAGATATGTGTGACACTGTGATAACAATATCTAAGACTAAAACATGGAAGTATCACACTGTTGTCTGCTTCCAAAGCACACATCAAGGTGATATCTTTCTGGCATGGTCATATCATATGTTAGATACAGTGGCTCAAAAAACCGTCCGTATGTTTTGGCATTTTTCACTATCTATAATATTGTGTGAGAACAAACAAATGCCTCAAAAACATGCTTATACCACATTGTAGTATGGCTTCAGGGCTTTCATTTGAGCCCTACACCGTGGGAATCGGTGGAGATATGGTGGAGATACAAGGTTCACAAAATGGTGACTCATGCGGACAGTTTTTTGACTCAAGTATTTTACAGTAATAACCAGGTATTCTAGTATTTTGTATGACCTCCCTTGGCTTTAATTACTGCCTCTATCCTTCTAGGCATACTCTCAATTAATTTCTGGCAATCCTCAGCTGTGATCTTCCCCCATTCCACTGCTACTCTCTCCCAAAGCTCCCATACTCCTTTAGGGGGGTTTTCATAGGCTTGAAGCTTTTTCTTGAGTGTTCCCCAGAGATGTTCAATGACATTGACATCAGGAGACTGTGCTGGCCAGTCAAGAACATTGATGTTATGTTCTTCAAACCATTCCCTAGCTCTTCTGGATGTGTGCTTGGGATCATTATCCTGTTGGAAAATGATATCTTCTTCATCAATCCCTGATTCTGCCAAGCTAGGCAGCAAGTGGTCATTTAAAATGTCCACATACTGCTCAGCATTCATCTTCCCCTCAACCTCAGCAAGCATTCCCACACCATTCCATCCCATACAGCCCCATACCATTAAAGAACCTCCTCCAAACTTGACAGTCCCATTAACCTCTCTGTCTGTTAGGCCATCTCCCTTCTTTTTCCATACATACACCTTCCCATCTGACCCAATCCTATTGATTTTGGTCTCATCTGACCATATAACATGCTTCCAGTCCTCTACAGTCCAGTGTTGATGAGCTAAGGCAAAGGCTAGTCTTCTCTGCCTATGTTTGATGGAGAGAAGAGGCTTTTTCTTCTTTGTTACTGCCTTGAGATGAGCTGCCTTGAGAACATTCCTCACAGTTTGTGAAGAGACAGGGGTAGTGATGGTGGAATTGATATAATGGGTGGCTTGGACAGCATTATCAGCCTTTCCTGTAGTGATATGTTGGATAATAGCCCTTTTGTCAGTAGAGGTAAGCTTGGATGGACGTCCTCCACAAGAGTTTTCCTTGTCTGGGTGGCTTTCTTTGATGAACTTGGCCACAGTGGACTTGCATATTCCAGTTCTAGAGGAAATTTAGCGAGCAGAGAGGCCAGCATAAGACAGAGAGAGGATATTATCTCTTTGAGCAGAGGAGATGGCTTTCATGGTGATTATGACTATGATACATGAGATATTCTGGTTTATATAGTTAGATATAGTCATAAAATAACATAATGACACCACTTTATAATTTATATAATAGTGGCATGATTTTTATGGTGTCATAAATAATGATTTATATAGTTTTAATATACACTCAAAAAACTGTCCACATGAGTCATCATTTTATAAGCCTTATATCTCCACCATATCTCCGCCGATTCCCACGGTGTAGGGCTCAAATAAAAGCCTTGAAGCCATACTACAATGTGGTATAAGTATGTCCTTGAGGAATCTGTTCATTCTCACACAATATCATAGATAGTGAAAAATGTCAAAACATGCGGACAGTTTTTTGAGCCACTGTATGTGTGACACCACAATAATAATATCTAAGGCTAAATCATGACATGTATCACATTGATCCCTACTTATAGGATGTTTATCAAAATGACATATCTAGCATAGTCATATATTGCTTCTTATATTTGTTGCATACTTATAAGACGCGTGTCAAGATGAAATGCCCCTAGCATAGCTATACATTCTTTCATATGTATGTTGCATACTTATAAGATCCATATCAAAATGATATGTCCCTAGCATAGTCATATATTTTTTCATACATATGTCACATACTTGTAAGATGCTCAATGAATTGGTATGTCCCTAACATAGTCATATATTCTTTCATATACATGTTGTGCAAGTATAATATTGTATAATTCTCAATCTAGATGTATCATAATGGGTATTAGCTGTCAACCTTTATAATATGCATATCAAAATGAGATGCCCCTAGCATAGCTATATATTCTTTCATACAGATGGTACATACTTATAAGATGTATATCAAATGATATGTCCCTAGCATAGTCATGTATTTCTTCATATATGTGTCACATACTTATAAGATACTTAACAAAATGATATGTCCCTAACATAGTCATATATTCTTTCATATACATGTTGCACAAAGATAATAATGTGTAATTCTAAATCTAGATGTATCATAATGGGTTTCATTTGTCAGCTCTACCTGGTCATATCAATTCCGGGTTGATTTCCTGATGATCTCACTGGTGATCAAAGCAGTAACATGAACCAAGCCCTCCCACATCATTGAACCAATTAGCAATCATATGGACGATAGCCGACTTGCCCTTGCCTGTAGGGCCAGATAGCCAGAGCACACGCTGAACACCGTCACCGGTGCTGTTGACCCAGTCTGTGATCTCGGAGATGATTTCCATGCGCATCCCTGGTAGGCATTGTTTCCCGGTATCTCGTCCTGCACCATCCGCATATGTCATACCGCTGAGATCTAGTGTTTCACCTGGAGACGTATAAATAGATGTTGGAGAAGCAGGTACAAACCCTTACCTGTACGATGGACATAAATGGCTACATCGCGAGTAACTTGTTTCTGGAAGTTGTCCATGAGCTTATCTAACATTCCGCCATACCCTCGAACTGCATCATCTGTTTCCCAGCCTATGTTCTTTCCGGCTCTACTCCCTATGATAATAGTAGAAGATTGAGACTGTGAAAAGTGCAATTACTTGCTAAAGACTCACAAAAGTTTTTGGTCTCCGAATAATCTCTAATAAAATAGGCACATTCAAGGATCTGCTGAGAAATCTGTCCAAGGATAGTGTGCATTGACGAAATCTGGTGAAGCCTCTTGTCTTCTGTAATGAAGCCATAAACATCACCCAACTTCTGGAGAAGGTCGAGTATTGCTGTATCGCAATCCGCTTGAGTAAGAATTATCTGCACGCATAACGACTGAGGAAGGGACACGAATGAGAACAAAACCAAACATACCTTTGTGGCCCAAGACAATACACTCAGTGCCAACTTGGCATATGAATGTACCTATGGAACGGAATTGGTTCGGTTCCGATCAAGAGAGATGATCCATACCTCCGCAAGCGTCCTGATAATACTGTCGAATATCCTGAGGGGTTGAAGATATCTGTCCTGAAAATTAGATGCACCTTCGAGATCCGCTGGTACATTGTTGGCGGCAGATTTTCCAGATGTCACATGTACCGAAAGTGGCTTCATGAGTTTTACAGCTTCTTTGGCGTCCTGAAGTGCTGATTGGGGATCGGCACCTTGTTCCACACCAGAGGGAGCATCCTGAACCTGCACAATCACCAGAATTATATATATACAAGCCATGACCTTCAGTCATTGTGATCCACAATATCTTGCAAAGTTTTTACAACAGTAGAGATTTATATACGACGTTCGCGCAGTCTTGTTTCTCATTTCCCTCCAAAAATAAGCATAATGTGTCTTCTCTTCTTTTTACTCGTGAAAGTGCCGTGTACAGTTGACCATGCGCAAATGCATCCGTTCTGAGATCTAGTACAGTGCGAGATAGCGTGAGTCCTTGACAACCGTTAAAAGTTGTCGCATAAGCCAGTCTCAAAGGAAACTGTTTTCGGTTCACGGTCCAGCTTGAGCGATAAGGACGAAAGGAAAATGTGATGCGTGGAATACAGTGGTTTTCGGTATTGTTGAGTAGTTGGACCTCGATGAAGCGACGGTGCAGAGCTGTGACTCGCACGCGAGCATTGCGAACCAATCCCTTTTCAACAGAAAGATTTCATTGAATTGCAGCATATGCAATTCACTTTGAGATCGAGTCAATGGGGAGGCACACTAGGAGCCGACAGCATTGCTAGGTAGTCAGGTGTTTGTTCGGGTGCATCGATGGGTGCGTGGTCTGCTTCTTTTAAGATATCTGAGCTTAGATACGAAGCTATGTTTGATCAAATTTTATGCCATGCATGAATATTCGACACTTACTGTAATCACCAAGTAGGGATTGCAGAATTCAGGTCATTGAATTCGTCCACAAAGAAGTTGCGTGGCGAGAGAAAGGCGTGAGTGAGGCAAGTGCGAGCATCTGCTAGGATGTGCTGTGGGAACAAAAAAGCTTGCGCCTCTTCGATGTCTGTTCAATTTGTGCAACAGATTGAGGCTCTGTCAATTGCCGGAAGTGTCTTCTCCAATGTTGTCAATGAAAGCAGTGAAAATTGGATCTGCAGCTGTGTGTATGGGAGTGTGTAAGGAAAGGACACGCAATTTTCGCCATAACGGCAAAGATTTGACTGAAGCCGCTTGTGTGGCAAATTCACCTGCGCCGCTTATGACTGCAGCTACTTGACGAAAGTCTCCAAGGCCAATGAAAAGTTTGCCTCCGAATGGTGTGTGAGGCCGATTGCAAATGAAACGGCACAGATTGTCTACTGATTCCCAAGCTGCTTTGTTCATCATCAGAAGTTCGTCCCAGATGATAGCGGATGCTTCTCGAATGAGGTCTGCGCGTGCTGAGAAAGGTTGTATGTTGGAGTGAAGGCTGACCGCATCATCAGTGACTGGAATTCTGAACATGTGATGTGCAGTCCGTCCTCAGTCATATGCAGTGGCACAAAGAGTGCTACTGCCCACAATCAACAGGATGGGACCTTCAGCTCACAGAGCAGAGGATAATGCTTTCACCAAAAATGTCTTCCCTCGCCCAGGTCTACCTTCGATGAAGAAGAGTGTGCCATTTCGATTCTGCACTGCTTCGTAAATCTGTTGGAAAATGTTACGTTGTTCAGCGTTGAGCTGATCGTGCATGTTTTCACTCTCGGCGCGAAAGATGGCCTCGTTCCTTCGCAAATAGAGTTCTTCATTGAACACCTCCAAAGATCTTCGTCACGCAGTCGGTAATCCATAATCTGACAGATGTTTGCCTCGGTGTGATAAGTGGTCGTCGATCATTTGCAGAGTCCAGGTCATATCCTGCTATGCAATCTCCTAATGCGAGGATGTGATCTGCCGCTATCAACTCCTTGAACTCATCCCAGAGTGGCATGGCTGCATAGCCTTCAAGTAAGATTTGCGAAAACAGAAAACGAAGTTGAGCCGGAGTGCGTAGATGTTGCACGGCCTCTTGTAGAGCAAGGTGGCCTTCGTTCTGGTTCTCGAACAAACCAAAGTCACATGCAGCTTCATGAAATGTGTTGAATGTGATTCCACCGATGGTCCGAACATCACGATATGATGTAGCTGCCCGATGAATGAGCAGAGTGCGGAGATAAAAAAGCTCTCCTGTTCGAATGGGAACAGTATCAATGCGGACCACCTTATTCCCATGAGTTCTTTGTGTTGCTTTCTTTCTCGCCACGCCACCTTGTTCCTTTCTCCAGGAAATCACGTTCAGTCAGCATCTCGTCTTCGTCGTAGGGATACAACACAAATTGCTCGAAATACTCTTCATAACGGAGATGTGAGAGCTCCTGCGAGCGGAGAAAGTAGTGATGCAGTTGTGATGTCGTCGACCGTTGGCCCGCTGCTTGTCTAAACTGTGGAGTATTCTCATTCGGAAGATGAACGGAAAGGCTTTCAACAGCAGGCTCTTTCCGTGTGGTCTCAAATCCGAGAATTCACCAGCTGCTTTCTGGAGCTGACAGATACCGTGCTTTTTGGTAGTCCGAAATTTCGTTCACAGGCGTGGGCTCATCTGTGTTTTGCTGATCTTCGACAGAAAAGAATGCGGTGTTGGATCCTTTGTACAAATACTTGTACAGATAGCTGAATACTTTTGCAGTGTAAACGACATCGAAATGAAAATGGCAATTGGCGAAGTTGAGCAATGCGGGACAATATGGAACTACCCAGCTGTCTTCGGCATTTCTTCGACGCCAGTGCAGTCGACCGTGTTCATCTACGGATGTCGTGGGTTGTACTTGATGTGGGAATCCGTATATGCACACTCCGTTTTGATTACAATGACTACCTGGACGGGAAAGGTGATCACGACTGTGCATCATATATTTCTCCACTTTTTCATGAAGTGAAGGATTGTTCCGAGGTAGTTCAGCAGAAATGATGTCATCTAAGGCATCGAAAGGAGGTTCAGGATCCACCTGCAGCATGAACATATGAGATTCTGTATAGCATCAATCCAGTGCATGTTGTTGCAGACCTTGAATATAATATGCACGTGAGGGAAACCTCTTTTCTGAAATTCAATGACTTTGATCAAGTATTTTTTGGTGCCGAAATGTGTCCGCAGAATGTGTAAGACTTTTTCGAGTCGAAGATTTGAAGACTCTTGCGACGATGACCGGAATGTCGGAAGCTGTTTGCCCTGGGCGCAGACGTTGACGGATTTCAGGCCAATCTGGATTGAACATCATAGTGCAGAAGAAGCTCGGTTTGCCATGCTTGTGACCAAGAGCCATGGCATCAGAGGTTTGTTCCGAAGTCCATGCTCGTGATCCAACAAAGCTTGCAGGTAATTTGATGATAGGTTCCATCTGTTCGTCAGCAGCTTCGTCCTGAAGAGGTTGATGGACTTCATTGGCGCGAAATCTTCTTTCACGAAGGATGTAAGCCAGTCGTTCTTCATCTGTGCGGGAATACATGTCTACTAAATATTCGCAGCATAGTCTCCCGAACAGTGTGAATCATTCGTCGTCATTGGCAAGTAGACGGCTTTGATACCAATCAATTTGTGAAAGCCTCAGCGCATCTGGTAGTGGGTTTGTGCCCCAGCCAGCATCTCCATGCGGAAATAAGAGCACGTAGTGCAGTGGCTCATAGTGTCGGGAGAGGATGTTAATGAATTCTGGCTCGCGGTGACCATGTCTTTCGGATGACCACCGAGCGCGGGTTGATATCTGTAGAATTGGAAGCATGCATTACAGCAGCAAAATCTCCATTGGTGGAGAAGTCTTTGAGTTCTAAGATACGATGTCGACGTTGGGAGGAGGAGTGGAAGTGCTGAAGATGATCAACATAAGGATTCACGTCTCGTAGATCTTGAGACAGAGCTTGGACGACATGTGAATGGACACCGAATTGCTCAGCTTTGAACTGTCGTTGACGCTCGTCGTACAAAACCAGTGAATGGAATGATCCGCATACTCAGTATTTCGAATGAGATGATAGGTGCGGCCAGTTATTGCAACAGCGGGAGGACCCGCCCCTTGAAAGTGTTGAAACCCACCTGCAATGCCAATGCCAGCGAAAGAAAATAGGTTGTTGATGACTCTGCTAAATTCCATGAGATGGCGTGCATTGGCAGTGCTGTTTAATAAGCCACGAAGCCGGGCAGGTAGTGGTCGAAGTTGCGGCAAAAGTCGAGTCCCATTTCCGCAGCAAAAGTTGTCCTTTTCCATGGATAATAATAACGCGTGGCAGCGAGGGCAGTTGCAATTCCAAGAAGGAGGAATGATTGGAGCAGGGGGATTATGATTTAGGTGATGCCACCATGATCGTGGCTGATGTCACTGAGGTGCGGGAGTGGGCGTCAACAAAGGCAAAGATGGCAACCTATCTGGATCACCTGAACAATTCATGTTCATTAAGCTATTGGTGGGAGTGAGTTATGTCGAAGCAAATGATTTGAAGTTGAATACACACATTATCACTTGGTACTCAGCGCCGTGAATCTCGTTCTTGTTGCATGTGTTGAGAATCACTCCGCCAATGACGCTTTCGTTCATGATCTCAAGAAGGAGAAAGAGGCATAAATAGCAAATAAATAGATACAGACCAAAGTACAGAGTAAGTTAAGACCGGGCAGCTTTGGAACTCCCAGCTTTAGAAGTCGACAGAGGTATGACGTCATGTTCTTCGTCGTCCTCTCGTCCTCTCTTGCTCTTCTCCTTACCTTTCTCATCTGCGGAATCCTTCGATTTGGTGTTACACTTTTTCTTACCACTCCAATCAAATCCTTTAGATGATGTAGAAGAAACGACATCGGACGTAGGGCCAGCCACGACGTTGTCGCTAGGCCCGAATGCAATGTCTTTGACGGCAAGGACGCAACGCTCGTTCTCAATGCGTAAGATAGTGCCTTGTACAACCACGTGCTTTGAAGCGGAAGGTAGGGGAGTTTTGGATAAGCGAGGATGACCTTGTGGATAGTAGCAACAAACGCGAATGTTTTGCTGAGGTGCAAAAACATATTGTGAAATGTCGATGTCGAAGCCATGATCTTGTTCTAAAGCAAAATTGCTTCGAGAAACTTTGCCTGCTACAAAGAGCATCGGCAACGCGCGGTTGCCGTCATCAAGAGGTTCTAATTCCTGCAGAGCAAAATGAGTGAGAACAGTTAATAGTATAAAAATGCGAACATCAATTGCATAGAAATGTAATGCGTGAGTAGTCGTGCCTTCGTCAGAGACACCAGAACCAATCATAGCTCGAGCGTGCATGAGATAGATACCATCTTCGCTCGAAGCGGTATTAGCTCCAAACGTGAAGATGGCGACGGCCAAATCCCCATCAGGAAGAGCAATGTAACCGTCGTATCTCCAGAAATGTTTGTTGTCGTGTTGGAACCGAGAGGCATTTTGAATAACAACCAAGCCATGAAAAGTGCAAGTGGTAGCCATGCTGTTCAACAGTGAAGATAAACAGCGCAGATGACAATTTGAGATGAGAAACAAACAGATAGGAGAAGCCAAGAACTTCGCATAAGTACTGCACCACGCACATTGCAGCAGTATGAGAGCTTGCATCAGTGCTGCACTGCATGACGGGGTGGACACAATTGACACCGAACCGGCGGCTATTCGTGCTTATGTATGTTAAGATAGGCCTCACTCAAACACCACCAACGTCACGTGATGTATTTAGTCACGCTGCTGCAATTTTGAGGGAGGAAAGCGTGACATTTGCTTATTTCAGAGGCTACACTACATTAAATAGTAAACAGCTTTCAGGTGTTACAGCCTATATAACCCCCTCACCATTCACAGGAAACAGATTTACCATTATTGCCTGTAAAGCAATGCAATAACACGATTTGTGCTCAGTCTTGCTGACTAAGTCAGACACCTACTCTCTTGTCTCGCCAGCAATGGGCAAATGGACTCGCGCAGACTCAGCAAGGAATGCCAATCTCGCAAAGGCACTCGTCAAGAAGAAGAAAATCAATAAAGAGAACAAAGAGAATGTGAGTAGTCACATTAATTACAGCCGAAATTAACTTTCTGATGCGATATTTCGCAGATTAATGATCCAGCGCCAAATTTGACGCCTAATGTGTCCGACACGTCAAACACACTGTTTCACGTGTTGAACGTGTCAGACATGCCAGCCACGTCCATTGGGGCTTTTTGTGACGTGCAGGAAGTGTTGGCCAACCAATCTGAGCAGCAGTCTCTCCACTTAGACATGCCAGTGGTTGAGCAATATTTTCTGTCAGCTCAAGAAGAGGAGATGTCCGATTCAGAGCTACTACACACAGAGACTGAAAACTTGGAGGATGAGGGTTTTGATGCCTCGGATGATCCGGGAGAAGAGATACAAGGCTCCGTGCAAGATAATGAGCTGCAAGAAGGCCATAGACGTGTTTCACCCACCATTCCTGCATGTCAATCAGCCCTCTTAGATCTCATCGAAATCTTGAATCCCCTCCGCAAAAATGGAACTGGCCACTTAGCATTTTCTGGGGACAATGTCCTTCGAAAGCGTCTCGAAATGATGCGAATGTTCCTATGGATGTATGTTGATCAACAGAACCCTCGAACATGGACCAAAGCCTCTTGTGACACAGCACAGGCTCACCAAAAAGCTGCCCATACAGCCCGACTCCTTCGTAAATGGGCACGTTCATTTGTCGAGCACCGTGGCAACCTCCCGATGAACCTTTACAGAAGTTGGAATGTGTCCCTGCTTGATAAAGGGGACCTTGCCGAAGCTATTCACATGCACCTGCAAAGCATCGGAAAATATGTCAGAGCACAGGACATTGTTGATTACCTTGCACAACCCAATGTACAGCAGAAACACGGCCTGAAGAAGACAATTTCCCTCGCAACTGCTCAACGGTGGATGCACATGATGGATTTTCGCTGGACAAAGTCTCCGTCAGGTCAATATGTTGACGGTCATGAACGTGACGATGTCGTTGCATACCGTCAAAAAAAATTCCTACCATCGATTGCAGAACTCTTCATACACATGCGTGCGTGGAAGGATGGTCTTGAAGAAGCTAGTGACGAGCCTTGCCCGCACACCCAGCGTGTCGTCTTGTGGTTCCATGACGAGTCCACATTCTATGCCAATGACCGTCGCAAAGTTTACTGGGTGCATGGAAATGAAACTGCGAGGCCTCGTCCCAAAGGGGAAGGGGCCTCATTGATGGTCGCAGACTTCATTTCAGCTGATTACGGGTGGCTGCGCTCAAGTTGTGGTGAAGAATCTGCCAGAATACTTTTCCGTGCGGGAAAATCCCGGGACGGCTACTTCACCAATGCATCAATCCTCCAACATGCTGAATTGGCCATGGACATCCTTGATCGACACTACCCACATGACTGGCATGTACTCGTCTTCGACAATGCAAGTACCCACTTGAAACGGGCTGACGATGCACTTTCTGCTCGTCGCATGCCGAAATTCCCCACGAAGCCTGGGAACATCCCATTTGGAGTCGAGAGAACCGTGATAGGCAGCGACTGGCAAGCCAGTTCATGGCGCTGATGGCAAGGCACTCAATGAAAAAGTTTGCATGGCAGATGGTGTGTTGCCTGATGGGAGAGTACAGTGTTTTTACTTTCCGGAAGGTCATGAACGTGCTGGCAGATTCAAAGGCATGGCCGAAATTCTCAAGGAGCGTGGTTTTGAAGGCTGCGAAAAACTTCGTGCGGAGTGCCCGAACTTCCGATGCAACCCAAACATCAATCGTTGTTGCTGTCGACGTTTGCTATACAATCAGCCCGACTTTTTGAATGTTAAATCTAACATTGAACTTGCTTGTGAAAAACGCGGTTACAAGGTCCTGTTCTTGCCGAAATTTCATTGTGAACTCAACTTCATCGAGCAGTGCTGGGGATTTGCCAAGCGCCATTATCGACAATTGCCGCCAAGCTCGTCCGAGGCAGTGCTCATGCAGAACGTTATTGATTCTCTTGAAGCTGTTCCACTTTCATCAATGCGAAAGTGAGTAACACTCATCTTTACATTACTTTCTTAATTAAATTGTGTTGTACAGGTTTGCTACACGATCACTGCGTTTTATGGACGCATACCGCAAGGGTTTAAACGGCAAACAAGCTGCATTTGCGACGAAAAAGTATCGTGGTCACTGCACTCTCCCACTGTCTGTTTTCGATGATCTCGCCGAGCTCAATTAAAGCACCTATATACCTTTATACAACTACTAGTACTACTATATACACCTTTCTATTGTCTGTACCCTCTCCCCCCAGGCTCAGCACTCAGCGCTCAGCTTTTACGCACCGCAAAGTTTGAGTGAGAGTCACACCGTTGTCACATCACGTGACGTTGGTGGTGTTTGAGTGAGGCCTATCTTAGACAAGCCCATTATACTTGCTCTTGTACATTGCTTTCTGTGCTTCATCTTTGCCTTTGTCCGGTATAGTCACCCCCACAAACTTGTGTGTGACTCTTCTTCCATGCGTCTCTGTTACTCAGTCTTTGCGTGATATAGAATGCAGAGATCATCGATCATCCTTTCCACATGAGTAGAATTGGACGAGCCACAACCTCGCAGCCCATCAGCAAGGTCATAATTACAGCAAGGACGTAGCAAAAAGATAAGAGAACAAATATATAGAAAATGTTTCATTACGATAGAATAATCTTGAAAGAACCCGATCCACCCCCTTCCAACCCAGCTATCGTCGCCCGGCGCACAGCGTCGAGGTACTCCCCAAACCTTCGGCCATCGAGATGTAAGAAATCATCATGCAGCTTGTACCTCGAATCCACAACAATGTCGGCAAGCTCCAATGCGCGCTTCAAATTCCTGTTCAAGATGTTTTAGAACTGCAGGTACTGCATACGAAGTCATGCTTATGCTGGGACATACTCTCGAGAGGCGTAGAGCATGACATGCAGTCGCAGTATAAGCTCGGGGACGTATATCTGCCGAACCCGAGTTAGCTCGCGGGAACGGCGTTCTCCTGTCCCGTCCGGCATCATCCAATCCGAGGTGAGTAGTTTCACTACGGCATCGTAGGCCTGATCCATGAGCCCCTTGTAGTCGCTCAACCAAGCGGCCCTGGTGTCCCGGTTCATTATCGACACCTCTAGACTCTGGCACTCAACGACTCGGTCAAGACTGTCCCAGATCGTGAAGAACTGCCTGTAGTGAAGATATTATGTGGCTCGTTCCTCAGGTTGGTCGATGGAGGCGAGTTCACGCGGAAGCATCTCCACGAGGTTCTTTGAAAGTGAAACCCTCCCAGCCCCTGGAAGTGATGGATTAAATCATGATAGTAGAACTTCAAAAGAAAGTTTACCCAGGAAGTACCGCAAAATATCGGTAGCTTGTCCTAGCGCAGTATCATACGATCCATCCTCGAACGTCGTCCACTCTATGAAACGAAGTAGCAGGAGCTCGATATCGGAAGGAGTGGCCTGCAACGCAATGACAGAAGGGAGCAGTCCCTTCATTTGAGGTAGAAGTTGCAAATAGTGTTCAGCACATGAGTTTTGTGAGATGCAAGTCTCGCCACCCTCGAACGCTCCATCGATTGTTTGCTTAGCAGCGACGACTGCCACCCTGTGAACGTTTCGACCATGTTCACATACACGAGCGAGTCAATGCTAATCGACGTTCGTTGATGTATGCAGTCAGCTCGAGCGAAGTCAAGAACATCGCATATCGCTCGACTGCGCTGTCTCCTAGTGCGCCAGCACACATGGCGATCAACTCTCGTTGGCCTGCAGCCTGACAGGGAGATCAGTGCGGAACAAAATCACGAAGAGCATTTTCTCACTTCCAACACTTGTAGATAGCCTCGAGAATGACTTGGGTTGCGAGCGGCGGCACTGGAATGTCAATCATCCGCAAATAAAGGCAGAAGTGGGAGAAGAAATGCGTCATCGTAGGGTACCTACTGCTTTGTTGGAGAATGTCAAGTGCATGTTGTTCGGCTTACTCTGATGATTCAGGATCGAAGTCTCCATCCTAAAGTCCAGCTGCAAAGGTTTCCAGTAATGAACTTATCCGATCGGGGATGATGGCCAGCTGAGAGACATGGAATGCGTGGTCTGCGGTGGGACTGACTGACGATCAGCACACGGAAAATAGACACGTGTATGTAGGCCATACCCGTCCTCCACGTGAACGCTACCTAGTGTGTCCGATGTAGATGTCACTTCCTTCTCCCACTCTTCTTCCTTAGCTGCATCTTCCTCTTGGAATGGCGGCGAAGGCATATTTTGTGATACTTACAGGCCTCCATCCCAGAAGCCGCCACCTAGTTTAATCATCTCTGCGGTCTGTTTCTCCTCGCATAGGATACTGACCTGCGCCCACAGATAGTCTTCCCATGTTCGACATGCAGATTTGAGGACACTGAATGTTTGCAGGAAGGGCGCGAGAGCTGCATAGAGAATGCGCTTTGGATCGGGGAGGTTGGGCTTCAGGGACACGTTAACAAGTTGCTGCAAAGATGGTTGGATAGCGCACATTCAGAGCTGCTCTTGCGCATGTTGATTTCCATATTTTTCGACGTGGGTTTCCCTGCCACCCTTCGGCATCCTCGGCGTCATCCCGTTGCTCGTTTGCTGTCAGCAAATCAGAGATGCGCGGATGATGCCTAGAGCTTGACTTGCCAATAGCTCACCACTGAAACAATAGCGAACCGCGGATACTTGCAGCTCTCCATGGCTGACGCGTTTTTCTGCATAATTCAACTGCACCAACCTGCTAGCATGAACAAATGAATAGAGCGCTTGTGCTAGGATTTTCTCAGATCCCTGCGAATAATTGCGTGTTAGTCAGTGGTCGACAGGTGATTGTTTGGCTCACGGCGTCATCCGCTGCTAATGATTGTCCATCACTTCTGTTCATGGCATCAGTATCTAGCTCTTTACCAGACCCTCTCTGATTCCTGAGGCTGTGCGTAGAGCCTGCATAACATTATGTTTCGTAAACTTCCAGTATCCTGGCTTCTGGATGTTGCGGTTGTGGTGCAGTATCATGAAGCCATTCTCGCACTATGACGAGTTCTGTGAGGAGCACTGACGACTGCATGATTGCTTGTGCTAGCGTTGACGTGGGTGTGTAGGAATTTTTGGCAAGTAATGTGCGGGGATGGATGTGTGGTTCTGGTACTGTTTTGCGGGCATTGCAGTCACCTTGAGTTAAGAACCAGCAGCAAGACGCGTTCACTCACAGAATTACAGCTTGGCGAAGGCACCTCGCATTGGCCTCCATGCGTAAGATGTCGAGTTCCTCTTGGGAGACATCAAAAGACGCGCTATTCTCCGCCTCTGTTACTGGTGAGGTGCGCTCTACTGACAAAACATTTGATACATACCGGTCGCAACACAATTGTCGTAGTCTCGACCCAAATCCCATATGGGACTAAGGAGAGCGGTAAGGTCATCTTTTGCAGCTTGCCACACAGAGAGAACTTCTGCAGAGGACGAATGTAAGGCTTCAGAGATTTCTCCAGAATTTGAAAATGAAAACGGCGCAAATTCTCCGTCTGACTCTGATGGCTTGAAATCGAAATTGGCAGGGGAGAAGTTTCACCTATGTAATACAACAGGGCTGAATTTTCGATGATCCCATGTTGCTCCCAGGCATTTTCACTGGTAACTATCAACTCTTAGATCTTGATATTAAGCCTTGCAACTCTCAAATTCGACCTCAAGTTTCAGTGCTCACTGGTGCTCAGTACTGGGCAGCGGGTGTGTCATATAGGAAGATATCTGCCTACAATAGACCCGCAGCTTTTATTCTCGTTCTTCACCTACGCAAATTCCTGCACTTATCACCTCCGACGAACACAGTCCCTACTGTTCTCTCTCTTATTTTTTATCGCGATCAACCTTGCGATCCTTTAGATGTACGTGTCTTTATCTTGTTTTCCCGGAAATTGACTCTATGATCATCCTACAGTTCTCTACTACATCCCAACCCCTCTCCCTTGACACAGACCACTACTCACACATTCAGGTGCTTGCAGGAATGTGGAGCTTGTATGATAGCGAGGTGTACCGGTCGACTTGTAGGATGTCTGTGTGAGCAATATGTGAGTTGCTTTTTGTTCGACCAGGTTCTTTCTTTCTTTTGTTGCAAGAACTTTGGTGTTCGGTTTTGCTGGCTGTTTTTGAATATACAGGCGATATTCACAAGTTATCCTCGTTCTAAAAACACGAGCTTGTATCTTCCGAGATTCCATTCCTAATTTCGTCTCTCCGTAGATATAAATCTACCCTTTCTTCTCGTGCTTTGCTCACATCCTTGCATGCAGTCAACACCCGCCTATGAGGAGGGTACTCATGTTCGTGTGTAATACGCGTCTACACGACCCGATCGGCAGAGGGTAGGACAATGATTTAGGATGAGAGTACAGTGAGTGATATCTACTTGACCATGCATAGCTAATTCAATTCATCTTTCCCCAAAGACAACTCTCCCACACTTCCCTGCCGTCCTCTCTAGAATATCCCTATCCCAGTGCACAACTGAGATCAAGTAAACTCAGACCTCCCATCCGTATTTCCGATGGTGAGCGAGGGAATGGGCGAGGAGTATACCTCACCCTCCTACAGTTCCATGCAACACAACTTACGCCTTGCGCGGAATGGGAGCATTCTGGAGGTGCGCATCTGGAAGCTCAATTCGGATGGTTCAGACGCTGGCGCTGGCGCTGAGAGTGGAGTAAAAGGGAGAGAGGGTGGGATGAAGACGATGGTTGGGATGCCTGTTGTCGTTGGCGGCGGCGTTCAAGTACAGGTGGCGAGGGGAATATTCATCATCCGGGTGTTGATATTTTCGCTAGAACTATAACAACAGTGGATTCCCTGACGCATAAGGAATACAAGAAAATCAAGATTGGACGTATCTTTACATTCTAGTCATCCTCACATCAAGCTCAAGTGTGTTCAGCTGAACGTAAAACTGTTACAACACCAGTCAACGGGAAACTATCATGCGGGACCCGGGTGGATTTGGGTCTATTTGGGTACTGGATCATAAGGCAATCGTCAAGGTAATTTCCTGTGAGTCTCCGTGGCACTCCCTAGGAATTATGCTGGCAGTACAAACGCACCTCCTCCCCTTGATGTGTCTCCCTTACCAATCTTCCGCCACTCCCTCAAGCATCGTCACATACCAACTTGCATGCATTCACTTACTGCTACGTCCAACCGTGGTCGTGCAAACAGCTTCTGGAGACACAGCGAGCCCTATGTCGCCATGCTCTTTAGTAAATATTGTCGACGAGCATTACAGAAAACGGGGAGGAGAGAGATGTATGCGGTAAAACATGGGAAAGGTGTGTGGACGAAAAGACTGATGCATCCTGCAGTGTAGTATATCAGTACTCTTGCCATCGTCGTTCAAAAAACACCTATACATCCCCACCACTACCCACGCCACTCACAGCACCAGAATGAATCGCATTCCTAAATATGCACAGGACTAAGAGGCAATGGTAGTTGTAAACCCGGACGAGGTTGCCTGGTTGGAGGACGCTGACGCGGCGGGTTGCGGATGCTTTATTGGCCTTTTCTGGTGGTGTTGGTAATGGGGGTTGGATGAGATGGTTGGATGGCGCGGGTGTTGCATGTGCGAGTATGATGATTAGATCCACGGTAAGATGAATAGGGAGTTCATGTCAAGATCATCAGATCAAACGTGCTCGAACAAAGTATTAAACAAACAAACACACGAGCTTATAATGACCATCGGTGCTCGCATGCTCCGTCGCTACGTCCTGCCAGAGAGCTGCGTAAGCGTCAGTGTTATGTCAACAGTTAGTGTTTAGAGTCGATAGTTAACATTTGGAAGAAGGTGCCCTAGGCCGGTCATAGTAAGAAACAGCAAACTATGTTGGAAAGTCGAAGGATCGGGACATTTTGGTTGCAAAAAGTCAAATTTGGGATCCTTGATAGTACTTGCAATTGTCAAATTAAGTGCCTCAGCGCTCAGCCTCCAGGGCACAGTTTCGTCGGAAAGTTACAAAACGGCAGTGTGACACGATGACTTCTATGCGGGTGAGAAATTTTGCAACTGTGCTCAAATACTGTTTTGCACCGGCTTCTCTCTGGCAACGTAGGCTTGACAGATTTCTTTATTTTTTTTACATAGCCTTGGAGTCTGTACTAAATCCTACGTGCTCCTAGCGTTTCCTTATTTTAATGTTGTGTAGTTGTTGTGTTATGAAAAACTGGTTGGAACATTTTACAACTCTGGGAGATTGTGAAGTTCTCACAGCGGACTTGCAGTGGACCGTGAATTTCTCGATGCGAAACCGTCTGTGTTGACCAGCCAACTCGAGGAGGTACGAAGCTCTCGCGCCATAAAAAATTCACGGTCTCAAAATTCACGATCCTAGGGTGACGAACCACTCCAGCACACTCTTCCAGCCGTCAATGACCTTTTTTTTTGTGCCTGCCGAGCATGGCGACCCACTCAAAATGCTGCTGCTACTCGTGGTGCCTGCAGCCCTACCTTCCTCACTCAGTAACTCCCTTTGGTGTAACCGAGTGGCGAACAGTGTAAATAGGTAGGGCTCGCACTAAATCTGAGCGCATCATCATCTCCGTGTTTGTGGGCAAGGTTTTTTTTTTGCTTCGGAGTGGGGTCGTAGACCTTATGTTGGACATAGTCTCGTCATAAGCTTTCTTCTGTATGTGGTGGGGGGAATATACTTGGTTAGTGTGATTCGAACTCGTACTCCGTCACATGAAGTGAACAGGTTGTGAGCAAGGTTGTCATTCTGCAACTGGAGGTCTACGCGCTTGGCACCAGTTACCCCAGGAAAACCGTTGATTGACGATGCTGCTTGTTTGTGCGTGCTGTCGTCACTGCCACACTGATACACATCACAACTCTCGACGACTGGCATCTCCCCTTCAGTTGGAGGCACTGCCAGCGATTCTGTCGTCTCTGTGCCTCCATACTTCTGATCTTGGAGGGAGCTCCCTCTGCACTCTCACATTACGATCTTCTGTCCCTACCCATTTTAGCGACTAACACATCACACAGGCTAAACTATGCTTCTAGACAATTCGCTCAAGCTCATCCTATCTCGTCTTCTTAATATTTACTGTCATCTCTCCCTCGCCAAGTCCTTCTACATAATTCACTCAAGCTCGAATCTCCCTACATCTCGAACGTCTCCAAAATCACACCATCTACATCTCGAATGTCTGCACGTTCAGGTATGCAAAGTCTGGCGTGTCGAAACCGATGAGCAAGGACGTCGACGTCGCCCGCAAGTGGAGGGAGTTACTTGCCGTCGACGGTGCACTCGCACGGCGCTGGTCTGCCGCAGCCCTCATTACTACCAGTGCGATTACTACAGCTCATGTCACCTGTGTCGTCATCCCACCTTCGACCAGCTTTTCTCTTGGTTATCCGTCCCTTTCTTTTGTTTTATTTCGCTATGACACACCTTACGATGCTCTCGTCTCCATAATCTAATCTCGCTAACTAGTGAAGTACCTGCAGGTATGTTAAATTTTAATGCACTCGTAAGCCACTACTTACTGCTCGAGTTGCTGTAGGAAGCCAGGGCCGGAAACCAGACCGCAAATCTCTTACGACCGACTGTAACTTTCTTGCAGGAAACTACTAGCGTTTCAATGGCTCGTGCTTGGATTTCAAATTGACGAGCTGTGGTCTGAGAAGGATGCCCGACGTAACTTACATACTTTGAGACTGAACTTAATTACTGGCTCCCGCGTCAATTGAGGCCAGGCTGCCGAGGCAAGGGCGTTCCTGAAAAATTCCGGTATGCATAACTATGTTCAGTCATGCATGGCCTACTTTAGCATTGCGACTAATTAACCTGATCCGCGCCAACCCTTAATTTATCTGATAAAGCCCGGCAAATGACACACTGATACTAACTTGAGCCCATGACCACAGATATTACTACGTGACGACCGGCCAAGCCATGTCTAGCAAAAAAATATTATTCCAGTTGTACCTCAACTTGAACGTCCAACCCTGCAGGTGTCGTCGATAAAGGTCTCTTGAGAGTGTCGCGCACACTCATTCCATTCCCATGAATAGTCATTACACCCCCTCTGCTCAAGTTGCACTGCTGCCACCTCGAGGTGTAAATGTAAATGCAATTCGAGATCTTTCTTGTGGTACCCCAACTGACGGCCCTTAATGTGTCCACAGAATGTCTTTAGTGAGTCAATTGTTCTATCTTGGACAACTCGCCATGCTTATAAAACTTGCTGAAAGTCGTCCTGGTGACGATTGTGGTGCGTTATCCTGTGATGTTGCCGAAGTGGAACAGATGACAATACCGCACACTCGGACTAGGTGTACGATTTTGTGACTAACCTAGGCGACGAGGTACGCAGTGTGTCCTATGTAGTGGGGCGGTTGGCTCAGAACTCCAACAGCTTAACTACCTCTTGAGTTCTCGAATGACACTGGCGAAAGGGCTATTTCTTGGATGTCGTTACACACCCTTCGTGATATGCGCCCTGCACGCTCGAAGTACATTTGTCACTGTCTTAATCTCACAACTCACTAAACGAGACGTTGTTCGCAGTGGACCTCTCACCGAGCGTTGAGGTATGCGTGCAACTAAGAAACACTGGAAAAGTTTGACTTATAATGGTGCTAGGGTTGCCCGGGACTTGTTGAAAGTAACATATGTCAGTGAGCGTAATATCCATGACCTACTCGCCCGCTGACCGATGGCGATAGTGCTCCTTGGGATTGTTCTACTATGCGCGGAGTGTAAGGGATACATTTATCGAATGAATATCACTGAGGTTGGCATGCATAGGTGTCTTTATTCTACGAACATATGCGTTATGGAACTGTGACCGGCGTGTTCGAATCGCGCTGTTAGTATCGTACTTGGTGAGTACCCCCCACCCAAAGAAAAAAGAAGGAAAAAGCTTTTTTTGACCTCCTTACTTCCAACTCTGATTAGGGCTTTTTCTGTGGGATGACAATACTAGTAGTAGCATCCGGGCTACAATCGAACATAGCGAATTGTACGTGTTTTCAATTTGAAGTCACTACTTATGTCTGAAGCAGGACTCTTGCAGTCGCACCAGGTTGTTACACCAGTACTTCGGTTTCGGCCGTTTTCATTCTCGCACCCTATATATTTTTGTTACTCCTTGAAATCGGTCCGTCGTTCATGGCTCAACGTCAACTTGGACATTACAGCTAAAATCACAACTCTTGTGCAGAGATTGTTGGTCTCACCTTGTACAGAATGATCAGACACTATCGTGCCACACGCTGCCGGCTTTTAACATTGCTAGCACAATACAGCGTAGGCTATATCGTTGCTGGGCTATGTGAGCGAATAGAACAACGTTGATACGACACACTAATCTTTTACAGTATTCACCATAGTCAATATCGCTACGATCTGCTTTGTTCCGGTATGTATCCTTAACGCCTAAGCATTTTCAACTCATGAAATAACCTCGTGGTTCCACAGGGCGATTATGGCCCAATGCTTGAAGGGTGAGATGTCTCCAACGAGAAGTTCGTGCTTGTTTATTGTTTTCAGGTCACAGATCGTAGCACAGGGTCTTCTTGCAACTCGAATGCAACTTGACCTATGGAGGCTTAATCGCCACTCACCGGCAGTGGCTCCTGCATCGTATTCGACCGAGTACGATCAAACGGATCTGGAATTTGAGTTGTCACAAAGAGCATCTACCATACCCAGTGGCACTGTACGGTAGTTCCATAGTATAGCGCGGTTGTAGGCGGTTGTCCAGCTTTTTGTCCTGCAGTTACAGTGTCATATCGTGACGGCGCCGGCGCCAGTCCCCGACTCGCTTATTCCTGGCATGTTTTGTGTCCATCGAATTAAACGCAAACTAGTCATTTCATTTCATCTTTGGTAAATGACTGCTAATCCCACACTGTAGATAGTAGTTCCAATGAAAATCACTGGAAAATGTGCTGATGCTGAATGTTTCAGAGTAACTTCCACTGAAATTGCATGCAGTTAATTTCATTGGAGCGCTGATTTTGAATTTCAGTGGAAAATATACTGAATCAGAATTCAGCACCATACTCCAATCCTACTAGCATTTTAGCTCAGGAGATCAATCTGCTGTGGAGCTCGATAATTGAATGACCTGGCACCGTCACAGCAGAATTTTCACATTTTTGTTATGACATCGTTTTGGTATATATTGGTGTCACCATGTCTATATTAAGGCTTATGGCTTAGTGGTTAGATCGCTGCTCCTATCAACATGAGGTCTTTGGTTCAATTCCCGCCATTTGTAAATTACGACCTATCATAGGTAAATTGGGTTAAGTGATGTTCCTAAGGTATCGTTCAATAGTTTTGCTTGTCATTCTAACATAAATTCAGAGTATCTTTTCAGAGTAAAATTCAGAGTAAAAAACAGCAATTTCAGCACCTAATGCTCTGAGTTTCAGACCGTTATCATATGAATTTCACTGGAACTACTATCCACAGTGCCCATGTGATTCTACGATCAATGCACGATGTTCTTCGACTCGTAACCGAGGACAACAATCTTTTCCTTTTACCACGCCTTGAACATTCACTCATGGATGGATTTTTCAAGGCCTATCTTGAGTAGTCATAGCTAACAGTTTGACACCAGAATAGATTAGAAATCTGCTCTCTTGTGGTGCGGATTCGAAACCTGCGGACATGGACAGTTCTTCGGAGGTTCGTCTAAACTTGGCGAGGAATCGTCCTGGTCCAAGTGGTTAACACAACAGAATCAAAATTTGTTTCTCCTGTACTTCGCAGGTCCGAAACCTGCCTAACAACAGGGTTTTTTTCTATCGGAAGTGACACGCCTTGAAGATTCAAATTTCACTCATCCTCGCAGGTTCATCTCAACTTCCTCCTCGCCAAAGTGGTTACCACAACGGAATCAAAATCCGTTCCTCTGGCACTACCCAGGTTCGAAACCTGCCGAATAACAGGGTTTTTTTTTCTCTATCGGAACACGCCCAATTCCTCGGGGGTGCATCTCAACTTAGCCCTGACCGAAGTGGTTACTACAACATAATCAAAATCTCTCTCTTCGACTGTACCAGTGCAGGTTCAAAACCTGCCAATGAGTTTTTTTATCCGAACACGCCTTGAAGATTCACTGATGGACAGTTCCTCAGAGGCTCATCTCAACTTCGTCTTGGCCAAAGTGGTTACTGCAACGGAATCGAAATCTGTCTCTTAGACTGTCACTACCAGTGCAGGTTCAAAACCTGCCGACGAGGTTTTTTCTATCCGAACACACCTTGAAGATTCACTGATGGACAGTTCCTCAGACGTTCATCGCAACTTCGCCTTGGCCAAAGTGGTTACTGCAACGGAATCGAAATCTGTCTCTTGGACTGTATCAGTGCAGCTTCAAAACCTGCCGACGAGGTTGTTTCTATCCGAACACACCTTGAAGATTCACTGATGGACAATTCCTCAGAGGTTCATCTCAACTTCTGCCTTGGCCAAAGTGGTTACTCTAACAGAATCGAAATCTGTCTCTTGGACTGTATCAGTGCATGTTCAAAACCTGCCTACGAGGTTTTTTTCTCTCAGAACACGCCTTGAAGATTCGCTGATGGACATTTCCTCGGAAGTACCTTTCAACTTCGCCTGGCCAAAGTGGTTACTACAACACAATCGAAATCTGTTTCTGTCGGACTTGCGCAAGCTCGAAACCTGCCGACCACAAGATTTTTTGCTATCGGAACACACTTTGACATTCACTCATGGATGGATTCCTCAGAGGTTCATCTTACCTGGTCTTAACCAAGTGGTTGCCACAACAGAACCAAAATCTGTTTCTCTTGCAGTCGGTTCGAAACCTGCTGGCAACATTTTTGCAGTGTATACCACTGTATAGATTTTCAGAGCTCCGTCATAACTAGGCCCAGTCATTGCGCCCAAACCTCCTTTTTATGTCCATGAAATAGAATTCACCTTCAGGCCTCGTGCGGATCGTCTCAGAAACATAAGGTATATCCTTGAGATGTGTACGTGCCAACCTAGATTCTCGACAGACTAACCAAAACTGTCGGAATTTACCATCAAATGAAACATTGATGGGGCTGGAGGCCAGAAGAACGCACGCAAGCTAAGGATAGAGTGAGTCTGACGGTCGGGCAGATGATGTAACCTCCCCAGCCTCGCTGAAGTCTCATCGATGAACACTCCTCCGGTTGTCGGCTCTTCCAAAGCGACCGAGGATGATTCGAAAGCTAGAGGTGGGAAAATTGAAAGTGGCAGATCGAGCCTACTATTCATTCTGATGTGTAGTTTGCGTGCGCTCCTGTTTTGTGTTGATGCCGGGGCGGAACATACTTTCGATTGCCGCAGCAAGTACTCGAGCAACTGGACGAATATCAACAGAGAGGTCAACGCGGAAACTCAGTACATGCGAAGCAGGCTTAGATACGACAGACACAGCATCGCCTGCAAGTTGCTGATCCATTGTGACAAACAAGACAGGAGGGACCAAAGCCAATGGCGAAGACAGAGCAGCAGAAGACGAGGACGCGGCCATGTGACGAGGTGAACAACGACGGAAGGCAAGAAAGCCACTCAAGAAAACAAGCATCAGTAAGGAAATTGGAACAGGGGCGAGATAACAGGACAACTGCAATTCAGTCTGGTCTGTCTCGGAGAGTTTGGCACGCGAGGAATTCGAGATAACGCGCGCGTGTTTGCTCGTTTGCTCGACTGAGCAAAAGGCTCATATGGGAGAAGTTCAGCAGCAAAGTTACGTCTCGGAGCCACCAAATGCTTAAAGATGAAAAGCAAGTCATCACAATATTGGGTACATAGATGGACACGCAGGAGGTCACGCACATACTAGTAGTAGTAGTGGCGATTATCAGCGTTCTGACCGACAGCGAGTGAGCGTGACTCATCATAGGAAAAACATCAATCAAATGATGGAAACTCGAAGCAGATCTACAGTATGGGTTGAACAACGTTCCAAATCCTAGAATAATGGAAAAAAAATTGCTGACTCGGATGACTCGAAGGTGCACGAAGTCCTCTTACCTCACCGACTAAGGGAGCGCGGCTGTCTGGCTTTCCATAGGTAAGGGAAACACGCAAAGTGGCAAGCCCTGTTTAAGCATACAACTTTGCTCTGAAAGCGATAGAGTTAGTTCTTCTAGTTCCGTCAAAAGTTTATTGAACCTTGTACTATCGCATAAACTGACTTCCGCGGCTCAGGAGTAGCAGGAAAGCTCACAAACAAGAAGAGAATGGCGCTGTTTCACATACGTCTGATGCTTGTCTTTTGACTTGTGAGCCTGGCTCAGATATGGCTGAGTACTCACTTGTAGTGCTGGCAAAGGAGCTCTTGCTTGTCTTGGAAGTATTGGTATCCTGTGCGGCTGATTCAGTCCTATGGTACTGCTAGTCTCCCTGCTACTGCACGCGACCGAGTACGTTGGCAGGTGATTTGGTGGCGCGGTTGCAAATTCCCATCAAGTCTCGGATCACCTCCTAGTGATGTCGGGCAAGGAGATCTTGTGAACAAAATCTGGCAAGACCAAACTAAAAGGCGTGCATTGACTGGTTATATTGGTAGTCCTCCGAGTCTTAACATGAAGTATTGCGTAGCTCGGAGAATGGGTTGGGATACCCCTCGCAAAGAAGACTTGATTCAAAACTTTATGTCAGCACAAGCATCAAAAGAGTTGAGCAGCATTCTACAACCGCATATTGCTTCGCTTCAGAAGCTCCTTGACAGTCCTGACCTGACTTGAACCAGGGTGGTGTGGAGGTATATCCCGTGATAGACTACATCTCGCAGTCGAAGAAGGACCTTGATAGTAATCGCCCGTTGGTTCTCTGAAAACATTCCTGGTGCTTCCGGTCAAGTCGAAAAATGGTTTGGTTGCATGCCTTTGGTGCACGATTTCACTCTGCATGTTGTTGCTCATCGAAAGGCCAGTTATTTCAAAAAACGCATCCAAGCTCGGAACGAGGAATGTAAAAATAGCTAGCTGTTGAAGATAGCTTGGGCTGATCTCATGATAAGCTATCCTGCCGACAGCTTCGTGGCTGACGTAGACCTCAAGTGTCTGACCACGCTAGAAGCAAGGATATTCAAAGAAGCAGGACCTGCAGGCCACCAGCAGTACTGAGTTAAGCTGGTCAACATCACAGGCGGTGGAATGTATATCTCAACATCTTAATGAATGGGTTCTGGGAAGAGATTACAGATAGAGTGAACTTGAAGTGAGAAAAATATTACTTGCTCTGTGATTGATAGGGTCGCGTGACCTCTTATTCAACAACAACTCTGATGCCACGCTATGGCTCCTTCACTACCGGCTGAAGAATGTGCGCCCGTTAAACATCGACGTGCTTCGCAGAGATGAATAAAATAACGAAGAGGAAAGGGTCTTGAAGTCGAATGTAGGTGTCAAAATAGCTACGCCCCGTAGTATACGGAGAGGCCACATCAGCTTCCGTCTGTCAAATTGCCAGCCGCGGGGTTCATTTCAGACACAGCAGGCACAGGCTACACCACTCTACAACCACTGCCATCATGATTGCCTATATTGGTACGCGTTGGGTCTACTCTCCCTTGAGCAAATAGCAGTTACTTATATCAAGAGTTACATGGCTGCAAGTTTCACTGGCAGCTGACTCGGAGTTTTGTGGAGCTGTCGGGAAAACATGAGGGCCGTCAGCTGTCATGCGTCGCAATAAATTACAATTAATCCTCGGATTTTGATCATGCATGCATATATTGCATATGATAATCAAATTTCACCTTATCGGATGGCTACTACGGCATCATGCATGTGGATCCCAAGCAAGGTTCATCATTAAAAGCTCATTCATTCTACACCCTGACGTGCTCGCCTTCTACATCTAAATGTCCAGCACAACTGATGATGACGACTACCGCCTCGAGGTCCTTGGGTACAAGCCTTCCTTCCGGCGCGAGTTTTCAAATCTTGCCACCATCAGCTTTGCATTCAGTATCATGGTGTGTTCTGTCCATTCCACTGTCGCCCCAATCTTATTTCAATTTTAAATTACAGGGTTTGTGTTCAAGTATCGCCACCACTCTCAACACCCCACTGTTACTTGGAGGCCCTACTTCCGTACGTCATAACTTAAACTCACTTCTTAAGGCGTTAAAACAATCTCAATTCCAGGTTACTTGGTGCTGGTTACTTGGATCATGTATGTGCTTCACCCTTGGGTCCAGCATCGCCGAGATAGTCTCTGCATTTCCTACATGCGGGGGCATGTATACGGCCTCAGCTCAACTCTGTCCAAAGTCCCATCGCGCAATCGTAGGCTGGATCGTTGGTTGGTTGAACATCCTTGGTCAGGTCGCAGGATTATCATCAACAGAGTTCGGTCTCGCAAACATGATATGGGGTGCAGTCTCACTGTCTCATCCCACATTTCAGCTCACACAAGGGAAGACCGTTGGTTTGTTTGCTGGCCTTCTTATGGTCCATGGACTCTTGAACTCCGTGGCGACACGCTACCTGGCCTTCGCTACCAGAGGCTTCGTCTTCGTGAACCTCGGTACAACTGTCGTTATCATCATTGTTTTGCTAGCGACCACACCTCGTTCAGAGATGCATTCAGCCACCTACGTCTTCGGAACTCAAGGAATTATAAATCAAACGGGGGGTTGGAATAATGGCATCGCTTTTTTACTTGGTTTATTGAGCGTACAATGGACGGTACGTCACAAGGCGATCACTCATATCCTTTCGCTTACCTCAAAATATAATTAGATGACGGTAAGATTACACAGTTTCCAAAGTCAATGTAGACTTGAATGGTGTGACAGGATTACGATGCGACTGCTCATATTTCGTATGTTCTCTTCATGAACCCTCGGTGCTTAGTTGATCCATCTTCAATCTCAGCGAAGAAGTTCGTCGTGCTGCGTACGCAGGTACGTTGCATCATTGCAGAGCGTCTATTACCGAGTCCTCACACCTTGCCTTCCAGCGCCCGCTGCGATATTCATTGCTGGTAGGCTTTGGTCTTTGGATAATTCGTAAACGTATCAAACGAAAATCCAGTCATTGGGACCGGGATATTGGGATGGCTATTGAATATCGTCCTCATGCTGTGTTCAGGTCCAATGTAAGTTTTCACACCTTATCTATCCCCACCACTTCTCATCAATACAATCAGAGAAAATCTGCCAGGAATATCTGGATCTGCATTCTTGCAGGTATGGCACGAGTTATGGAGTGTAAGCGAATGAGCTCACTACGCCACAGATCATGGCTTTGCGCATGGGCACACCTGTAGCCCTCTTCCTTTGGGTAGTTATTCTCTTTACTTGATACGTATTGTATCAGGCTGATCGTGTAATAAGAGCTTTGTATGCCTCACAGCATTCTTCGTTTCACAAACGGCACTGCAGGCATGTTCTCGTACTGTCTACGCTTTCAGTCGTGATCATGGCAAGCAACAGTGTCTAGGGAATATTAACTGTTCTAACCAGATCCTCAGGTCTCCCCGACAAAGGATTTTTCGGTCATATAGCGAATTCTACCAGAACACCCCTGCGCGCTATCTGGCTTACTACCGTCTTGGCCATCATTCCAGGTTTCCTCGATCTAGCCTCCCCAGTTGCCGCGAATGCCATCTTTGCGCTTACTGCTATTGCGCTCGATTTGAGTTACATTATTCCGATATTCTTGTGAGAAGGTTTTGTCGTTCTTATCACTTGATTGACCAAGGGCAAACTTTTAGGCGTCGCCTCTACGCAAATCACCCGGATGTGAATTTCCGCCCAGGACCGTTTTACATGGGACCAGGTCTCCTCGGTTTAGCAGCAAATGTCGCTTGCATAAGCTGGACGCTTTTTGTCTGCGTCATTTTCTCGCTGCCCACGGTATTCCCTGTCACGAAGATTAACATGAATTATGCGTCCGTGATCGCTGTCGGGGTTGTTTTTCTTAGTGGGTGAGCACAAATTAGTTCTGTTTCAAGTTTAGAGTAACTGATTGTCGCATGTCGTCTGGCTAGGGTGTGGTATGTTCTCGGGTGAGTTGTTAATCCAACGGTGTATGTTCAACGATCTTACAATCACGACCGTCCAGCGCGCATCGACATTATCATGGACCTACATCCAACCTTGATGCAGAAACCAAAGCTCGGCTCGGTTTGGAAGAAGTTCGACCCGACTCGTCATCTACCAGTGAGAAAGAGAAAGATGGTGTATTGGTGTCTTTGAATTCCGCGTAGTGTCGCCCTCTCAACGCTTACGATTTGGGTACTTCTTTCTGCGCCTCTTTGTCTCCACGAACATTAGATATGACATGATATTGACGAGTGCTTGCATTTCGATTTGTTACTTCTCCTACGAGTCCTACCCTTTACATTTGAATATGGATTAAAATATGTGGCACCATTATGGCATTAAGCCGTGCGGTTTATGCGGACCGGTTTCTAACCAGGCGTCCCAGGCTAGTACTATTGGTTACCACTTGCTCGTGCACACCACATTTCGTGCATCCCTCAAAAACAACACTTTTCCTACTACAAAATGTTCAAACTACTACATCTATTTTAAATAATAATACACAAGAACGTCTTACGAGCTTAGACAGATGCATTTGGACAAGAAACAAGAGAGATAAATGTTTGGTTGTGACAAAGGCTTTTGTCACTTCCATTGTCACCTGCCGTCCGCTGCCGCAGCGGAGTTTTAACTCAACGTGTTAGTGGCAACGCGTCTCGACGCGTCTACTCGCTGCACGGATGGCGCGCACTCGAGTCGGTGGGAAGCAGAAAGGTCCCCGAGATCCCACCAAAGAAGCTCGCATTCAGGCTGCCATCCGTGATACCTTGACTGGTGTTCATGCCAGTTTTCCCAGTGCTGCCATAGCTCACAATGTAAGCACTCCCTCAACAATTTTGTTGCAACTCAATTTTCCTTCAGGTACCCCCACCAACTGCGAGATCGTGCGGCAGGCAAACACCATACTCGACGCTCGTTCCTCAACGAATCCCAAGAAAGAGTACTGGTGGACTGGTGCCACCATAACTCGAATTCAGCAACCCCTTTACATCCTCGAAAACTCCGCGCTCAAATACTGGAGATGGTCAACAGCATCACGACAAGAACATTTGACAGTCCCTTCACATCATATAAACGGAAAGAAGATCTGGAAGCACTCGCTGGAGCACTTGGACTCTCAAGAGATGGAAAAATTGCTGATCTTTCAGCACGGATCAAAGCTCACTTGGAAGATCCTGACACTCGCGCAGCTCTTGCAGATAACCCTCGATTTTCAGCGCTATATGGTTCGAAACGACGCACCGGCAGGCCTGTTGCCATTGCCAACCTGACTTCGAGTGAAAGCTCAACACCTTCAGCCAGTACTTCTCTCCCCACGGCAGCCAACAATATGTTCCACCCACAACCACCTTTGATTCCGCAAATGCAAGGATCTCCGAGTCTCCCCGTTATGTATCCAAACCGGTCACATCATGTTCAAGTTGGCCCTGCTGTACTCTCAACAACCACCCCTGTCGTATCACAGCCATTGCTGTCTGGGCATCCTAATAGTCACAGTTCATATTGCTCCGGCAATCCGCAATACATATTCAATTAGATTACTACATACTAGCTACTGGTACACTCGTATATATCTTCCTAATGTCTAATCCACAGCGTGTCGAGCGGACTGCGAAATCGGCCAGTGTGACTACACCGTGACTTTCCGTTACAATTATGTGACTGCACGAAATGTGGTGTGCACGAGCAAGTGGTAACCAATAGTAAGTGTACCTACCGTAGTGAGCGCTGAACGTTGAACGTTGGTTGCAACGTTGAGCTTGAAGCTTGATCAAGCGTTGGTATTCCCCGTCATGCCATACGTAGCGCTCCGTATTGGACCAGACTGTGCGTGTCAATTGGACCGCCACGTCCGCACCTTTCGCACCTCCCAACAACACGCACGATTCATCTTCAAATTGCTTGAAGTAATCTCGATTCAATGAAATCACTGCAGTTGAACAACGGGGCAACTATGCCATGCATTGGTGCGTTCATGGACACACCTGATGTGACATGATTCTATATGAACTGATGTTTGTAGCACTCGGATCATGGGTAGGGACCGACCCCAAAGAGCTAGCACGAGCGTCCTCTTGGCTGTTGACTGCGCTTGAAGCGGGGGTACAGGCATATTGACACAGCAGCATTGTACGGTATGCTCGAACATGCACATTTCGAGCCAAGTTCAAGTTTGTGACAATCCATGCGGTGATGCAGGCACCGAAGGCGCTGTCGGTGAAGCCGTTAGACAATCCGGTATACCCAGGAAAGACCTCTACATCACCACGAAGCTTCCGTAAGTCACGTTTGTCATCTGCGCTCGTAGTGAACTGAAATCAACTGCGGTTTCATCAATTTGATGCATAGTTTCCATCACACGAAACGCGTACGTGAGTCCTTGGACAAAAGCCTGAAACGTGCTGGACTGGACTACTTTGATCTGGTAAGCCAACTGGCTGTTTCACCTTGGATAGCTGTGTAACTCGATACAGTATCTCGTCCACTGGCCTCAAGTTGTGGTTTACAAAAGTGAGTTTCCGAATTGCAAAATCACCATGTATTTAATTAATTTATGAGCGCTGATGATTCTCCACAGACAATAACCCCGTCCCTTTGAACGCGGATGGGTCGGTGATGCTTGACGAAACGTCTGATTTTAATGATACCTGGAAGGAAATGGAAAAAGTCGTTGCCAGCGGTAAAGCCAAGTCGATCGGCGTCTGCAACTTCTCCATAAAAACGTACGTAGGACTGAAATTCGTCCTGAATTGGAATGGCTGACTCAACCATGTTTGTTCTTGGCAGGTTGGAGCAGCTTTTAAAGACTGCTAAAGTCACGCCCGCTGTTTTGCAAATCGAGTAAGTGCTGTGTATAGGCACCGAGAACTGCGGTCGGTCATCAAGCTGATTCCGTGATATAGATTACATCCGTATCTGGCTCAGAACGAGCTTTTGGAGTGGTGTGAGGATAAGGGGATAATGGTTGTTGCTTACGCTGCCACTGGTGAGTCGGAGAATTCATTTTCAAGTTGGACCCATCAGTGACGTGATCACAACGTGCAGGTTATGCCGTTGTTCGCGAAGATCCGATCATCGTGGCACTGGCAAAGAAGTATAACGTTACTCCAACGCAAATTGTCCTATCGTGGCACATTGGACGCGGGACAGGCCTCGTTGTGAAAAGTGAGAATGCCAATAGGCGAAGAAGAGAATTTGAAAGTAAGTTTAGAGGTGGGATTTCCCAGCCTCCCTCTCTAATGGCGCATTAATAGGTGATTGAGCTACATGAAGAGGATGCAAGACGGATTGATGCATTGGACAAGAATAGAAGGCTATGTATACAGCCTGATAAGCAGGGAAAGGTGTTTGGGTGGACTTTCGATCGCTTGGGATGGCAAGAGGAAAGAGTGCTTCAGACAGAAGCAAAACTTTGAGGTAGATTTGAAATTACGCTGGAATGACTTGTGTTGATAGACTTCATGTGTCGTTGCTGTAAGTTATCATCTCCCGCTGTGCAGGCCCCGCGGATAATCCCAAAGGCTGGTCTTGTGATGATAGTTGTGCCGGGCCGCTCGGAGTAGTATCACTGCGGGACGCCTTGAGCGTCCCATGGCTCTCCGAGTATTTGTGAAGCCCAGTTAGCGTGGAGGTCTGTTAACTTGAATCCACTTCAACATGTCTGACTGGCTAACGAAAACGTTGACCTTGAACACAGGGGCCAAGATTCCCATTGTGGGTAAGCCCAGCTCTTGTCGGAGGGAGCTTTAACATCCGGGCACTCATGAAAACATAGGTCTTGGGGTATTTGTTAGCAGGGATCCTGTTGAACAGGCTAAAGCGACCTCTTGGGTCCTCACCGCCCTGCAAGCAGGTTACAGACACATTGACACAGCATGGATATACGGAACAGAGAAACCTGTCGGAGAGGCAATCAAGGCTTCTGGGATTCCCCGTGAAGAACTCTTCGTTACCACGAAGCTTCCGTAAGTCTGTTTCCCCCGTTTCCCTTCGCCGTGTCTGGACCGTTCTGGAATCTATCAGTTGGAACCACACTAAACGCGTGCAATGGTCTATCGATCAGAGCTTGAAGAACACAGGGCTAGACTATTTTGACCTAGTACGTGAACTTGGGCTTATTGCCAAGACGATCATGCCTAGAATCTGATGATGGTGCTGGTGTAGTACCTGGTACATTGGCCGCACAGCGTGGCGTATGACGGTAAGAAATTAGAAATGATTCATAGAACCATCTTTACCGAGTAGTGCGCGTACGCGTGCAGAGAACGAATCTAGGACCGCGAAACCCCGATGGTCAGATTAAACTAGATGAAACAGGCAACTTCAACGATACCTGGGCCGAAATGGAGAAGGTCCTCGCTAGTGGGAAGGTTAAAGCGATCGGACTCAGCAATTTCTCCATCAAGACGTACGTATCTTTGTGTGGGTGAAGGCTGTTCTCTAAATGAGGTTCACAGGATGGAAGAATTATTCAAGACTGCGAAAGTAATGCCGGCCATGCTTCAAGTCGAGTGAGCATTGCGTAAATATGACATATTGGGAGACAAAAACTTTACGTTGGCATCAGGATGCACCCATATCTGGCGCAGGATGAACTGTTGGCTTATTGCAAAGAGAAGGGTATTACTGTAACAGCATATGCTCCGACAGGTTAGTGAAGGATTGCTTGAGCATGTAGTCCTAACCTCACTTCGGGATGTAGGTTATGCAGTCGTACGTGAAGATCCGACGGTGGGTGAGATAGCCACCCACTACGGAGCCACCCCTACGCAAGTTATCCTTTCATGGCACGTGGGTAGAGGCGTCGTAGTTATTCCGAAGAGCGCGGACGCTGGACGACAGAAGGAGAATTGCCAGGCAAGTCTGACGGACATTATCATATAATGCAGTGATGGGATGTTGAATTTTTTTCAGATCTTGAACCTGTCAGAAGTAGATGTGCAGATCATCAACGGGCTTGAAAGAAATCAGCGTATTTGCAATAAGCCTGACGAATTCGGGAACGTATCAGGGTGGTCCATGGAACGGCTGGGTTGGATGTGATGAATTCAGAGAACAGCAGACTTACAGTTACTTATACAGACGTATTTCATTCTCCAACGCTCCTGCAATAGATATCAATTTGAATACTTGAGTACAGAGTACAACAGGGAAAATCTAAGCGCCATTATCATGGGTAATAGGCGGTATACGAGTACATAAAGTCGTAATGTTGGTATGCGCCTGCCTCACTGCATAGTCATCTATTGTCAAAATCCTCCCAAACAACTGTCGTCCGATCCGTCAAGAGCGGAAGATGAAAAGCCTCCATGTAGCGCATAGGACCTGTGACTGGGTTTATTACGTGGTTCATCGTCCATGGCATATGCTCCATATTTGCTTCCTCGCTCTCGCTCCCATGGACGGTCCTTCTGTCTCTGACGGCGGACTTTATGCTCGTCGTTAGGAGAAGGAGGATAAGGGAGAAATGGTAGAGTCGAGTGACTAGGATAATCGTAAGACGGTGTCATTATATAACCATTAGGATCCCCTAGAGCACGGGGGGGCCATGGTATTGACGGAGCGGGTTTCAAAGAAGCATTATGTGAATCTGTGGGAGAACCATCACTCTCGTCCGACCCCGAAGAGAGGTCAAGAATCAAAGGAGGCTGTGTTGGGGAGCTGCGCCAAGGAGTGTATGGCGACCCATCATCAATACCACCCTGATTTGAGGGCGAAACTTGAGATTGATGCTTAAGCACGGCACGAGGATGAAGGTGAATGCCGTGTTGTAAAGGTTTCGAAGAAGATGACGAGCCCGCTGGACGTTCCTCGTCCAGGGTATAAGTACGTCCAGGGCACCCGCGCTCAGGTAGAGCACATGTATTTGGTGCCACAACAATGGGAGAACGGTCATAGGTAGAAGGGGGGTATGCCAAATAGGTTCGAGTCAAAGCCGGGGATGGTGGGAAGTGAACGACATGAAGTCGTTCTGGTGACCCAACGACACGACTATAGTTCGGAGTTGTTTGTTGATGCTTTAGAATAGGACGAGGGCGAGATGTCGAGGATGAGGGGGTATGCATGTCGCTATAGACAAAGTCAAGAACAAGCTGGAGCTCGACGAGCAAAGGTCGCCAACAGGATGTTAGCAGGAAAACAGCATGGTGGAAGATGGACTTTTTAAGAGAAGTGGTGGATATGAAGTGTGCTATGTATTTGGTGTGGCTTTGGTCAAGCTTTGTTTTTTTCTTTCTTTATGTGGCTGTTGATTAAATTATGTAATTTGATCCGGGTAACGTGTTTATGTCGTCCAACTCCGCGACATAGCATTTCCACACTATCTTTATCACGACTTTTTCCTCATTGGAAGGTTCAATTGATCTCTAATTGCCAACATGGTGTCTCTGTCGACGTCGTCATATCCTCTTGTTACGCCCTGAACATAATTTGATATCATCCAGGGCCACCGTTGTGCACACCGGCTACCCTCGGCTACCGCGTGCTGTTGTCCGAGTGCGATGGAATCAGCCCTCAAACGTGTATCAGAACACTGGTCGCCAAGCGCCTGCTTTTCGGCTATGTTATCTAGCCTGAAACTTTCGGATATGAGTTCTACATGAATTCAATCCTGCACTTCTGCTAACGTCTCGAGTCGCCATCGAAGATCTCACACAGAATCATATCCGAATACCGAGCTCTTTGCTGTGTCCCGAATATCGCTCTACTTCTACTTAATACTTGTATTGCTCTCAGTAAGGCTCGGTAAGATTCCTTCGATAGACTTTGGTTTCCCGACTCTGGCAGTAACCAATAGCTACCAACAATATTTACTTCAGTTTGACAGATGTTCTTATTTTCAGCCTTGTTTGAGCTGCAGCTTCACCAACGTTCTCGGTTCCTTGGCGGCCTGGCCACTCGCCGCTTTCCCCCCTCCTGTTCTCCTCTTCGAAGCTATTTTTGGCTTTCTCGTACCCCGCTTGGTGCCTCCGTAACAGACGCATATTCTCAACTGCACAAGTCCAAGAAGGCTCGAAAAGAACATGACGTGTCACTTTATGACTGGCTCTTCAGCACATAAAAGAAGTCAAGTAGAAATGCCCTGTACTTGACCCATATGTGATCATCATCATCCCATATATCCCATGAGCGGTGCTAAGTCACTCGCCGAATATGGCATTGTACCTCAGTCGGAAGTCAGTTCTATTCAAGAGGTGCGTGCTTCTGTATCTTAATATCTCAAACAAGCTAGCGTAGTGAATAACCGTCAGCTTTAGTGTAGAGGATGATCTTCTCAGTGGAGTAATCATCCCTGGACCCTGATCAACATTCCTGACACCCTCTGTCATGCGCCTTTTTTGCCTGTGGAGAGAAATCACGAAATGTATGTCACCTGGAACTTGCGATCACTGAGGAAAATGATGCGGAGCCTTAACCTTGTTGGCCCGGCGTCCCTTGGATTCAACCGCAGTCAAACGCTTGCACGGTATTTGTCATGACTTCTGACATTTCTAAAGAACATAACCACTGCGCGAGTGCACCTTTAAGCAGGAATCTAGGCAGGTCCATTGCCAGCATTAAACGTCCCATCATGCGATGTACGACCAAGACATGGATGGTGGAACATGGTTCGCACACATTTAACAGTCCGCTCAAATTTAGGCGAGAACTGGTCTTCCAGCTCCCTGAAGATGCCCATGGGGTTGACGCATGGCTTCCTATGACCTCCCACGTCACAGCCCGCACCATTTCTAAGATCAGCTCAGTACCAGTCGGTACCTGGCTACGTGCATCGATGGGCCAGTATATTGATTCACTAATAGTCACCAGAAGAAGTCCGCATTTGACTCTCGCTGTGCTCCCCGTTCTACCGCCAAAGATAAGATCATGATGGAACCGAACTGTAAATGTCCGGATGGATGCAGTTGGTTATGTGCCGCTGTGACCCCTTTCAGGTTACCTCGGCTAGGATGCCCTATCACAATCAGCCTGACTCATCCAAAAAAGTAGTCCTCATATCATGCACTCAAGAGCCGCGCCTGCGGCCAGGTCCCGGGATACAGGAACTTTGATCCGTGTTTGTTGCAAGTGTGCATCAAGATGTCCGCTCATCAGGAACATCGAGATGGGTAGTACATGTATAGCACTGAAATTGCAGCCCAACTAATTTCATACATACCAGTATACTGGGGTGTGCGGCTGAAACATGAATCAGCAGGAACGAGCGTTGCCAATTGTGAATTGAAGGCCTTCAAGGCAATTACAGTGACTGAGCTAGTGTTTGCTGCCGCCCGGATCCGAACCGATCACTTACTGTGTATGTACCATAAGTAACATTCCATTAGAAACGAGAGGAGCCCTGAGTAGCCGATCCTCCTGTTCCCTGAAAACGTCACAATTAAGGAGAGGATGTGTCTTATCCACCTGAGATCTAATACAGAGTTACAGAATCTTGCTATTCGCACCTTGTTATCGACAAAGTCGTCATGTGCTAAATTGACGTGAGAGAGCGTGATAATCGCCAAACACGCGTTCTATCCTCGTGGTTGTTACTGATTACGGTAAACAGCCTGCGGAACCATAAGGAACGATCATTATGGTCTGGCTACATAGAGAAGAACCTGGCTGTTTACAATGGCTGGTAATCTTACGATCGAGCTTCTGTCGTAAGGCCGTATGTACTAGGTATATCCCAGTGTTTGAACAAAGGTATCCAGCGAACAAACCATGTCACAGCTGGCTAATTGCGTAGGAGGGGTAGAGGGTGGCAAGAGAAAAGGAGCGGGAAGTCGGAGGAGGTGGAGCTAACGAAATCCTAACGTTTCGTTCAAATTTAGCTCTTCCTACGCTTCAGAATGTGTCACTGTTCAGGCCTGGGTTCCGCTCATAATAAAGAACCGGAGTGGAACGGTGCGTGCCTCGTGAAGCGCTCGGAAAATGCCACCATTCACTAGCACTATTCAGGGGTTCACTCGCGTTACCTGCGGAGCGAGCATGACCAATGACGTTACGCATGCAAACAATGTGCAGGGCTCGAGTATCTTGTGAATGCTCGTGACATGACACGAACGCTATGGTTCGGATCTAGTAAGGTTTATCACGTTTGATGAATTGGCTTATGTCGGCGTCAGTTGTCCACAAAAGATGAACACCTGTTATGACGACTACTTGGTTGCAGCCGAAGAGCCAACCTTACTAGTGGTGACGGTGTAGGCAAGTGGAGCTGATTCCTTATTAGAGGATCGAATGCGAGCCACATGATTGATAAATGAAACTCGGGTGTGAGTTGAAATTTGAAAAGGGAGGAAAGATGAAGGCCATCACGATGGAAATGCCATCGGAAAGGTGATGAAACTAGGGTGCCTACTCGGAATCGATCGGATGTCACGAAACCGTCCCAACGCACCTAGTAACTCTACTTAGAGGCACTTCAATGAGGTTGGCGTCCTTTGGATGTGGTACTAGTAGATGCAGCCGCAGGACCATATGACTCAAGGACACGAATGATACGGACCGGCGGCTGGTAGAACTGTTCCATAACTCCATGGAATGAAAATTCGAGAACAGGGATAAAGACTCAGAGGTGACGCCTGCCAATGCGGCTGCCGACACGAATCAGTAGTGTACGGGTAACAGTGGTTGTTTCCCGCGGGAAAACTGTTAGAGGGAAGAAGAGCGCGGGAGTCTGAGTCAACACTCTCAGTCACCGTGGTTGAACTGGTTCAGTTTGCATATTTTACGTTTGCAATTTGGCCATGGTCAAAGGTTTACGACGATACAATGGCTTCAATTAGTACGTCATGGTACGGTAGGAAGGAAATCTATACCAAATTGTTGCCTGATTATGTTTTCCAGGAGTTTTACCTCTCGAGCGCTCCGAGTCGAACCCAATTTGCTTGGCCTTCTAGTATATGATATGACCCCTAGACTTTCTGAAACAAAGTTCTATGATCGATGACTCAACAGAACGCAACTGATGCATATCACTCTGCCTTGGTACGTTGTCCTTCGACTCCGAGTCGGAATTGGAGTGTGAACTTGACAACAAGTTTCATACCAACAGACAAGTACACGGACCCTTTCAAGTTGGTGCAGAGACGGCCCGGAAAAGCGACAATAATGCCATTGGTCTCTCGTGAGTTGTCTCCAGAGAACCGACCGCTCTAACATAATTTCATTTTTGGATCATATCAACACTCGACTAACTCCCGTCATTACACACGCCATTCCCCCACCTTGCTGCCTCCAGTCGCTAGTGATCGGCCAACTCGCTAGTAGAATTCGAATCCTCGAACTTTAACAGTTCGCACGGCTACAAAATCAAGAACTCATCAATTCACTGATGGTATCTAACCTGGAGCCTGTGATCCCCCTTCCAGATAGTCATACAATGTGTCGTGTCATTACATGTCTTACATTCATTTTGCATGAAGTACCAGTGGGGCGCCGTCCCAAGCTACAGGGCAAAAGCGCCATTTAACACGACTCTGATTTTTGGGTGATTGATAATGCCACATGTTCTAAGCTGTGCTCATTGCATTCATCTCAGCCGGTGTACTGTACGTAGAATTGAACCGTCAGAATTACTATTAATCGACTACATGTATGGATTCTAAATTCTCTGGCTGCAATCTGGATTTGAAGTTCAGCCGACCAGTACATCAAAGGATGATATTGACTGTGTAATGCAAAAGGACTCTGGAACGACAAGTGGCAGGATATCTTCTAGGAAATTTGAGTCTTGCATTACAATATATGTAGTACCTGCTTGGTACCCGCATAAGTTCGGCGCATCGATCAGACCAACAAGTCTGCATTTTCAGAAACTCCTCGAGGCTTCTCATCTTCCCAAACGCCCTCCGTCGCAGTGGTTTCGTGCGCAGTTTCCGCGCTCGACTGGGGTTTCGGTGCCTCATTCTTCTTCGCAAGGGCATTGCGATAAATCCTCCGTGAGGCGAGCAGCCCAAGAGCGCCCGTCACGATTGCGTATGCTCCAGCATAGAATGCATAGTACTTAATCTTGGGCTCGTTATAGGCGAGGTGCAGGAAAATAATCCCCATGCTACAGCAAGTTTGCAAAGTCAGAAGCTACACGCAAGAAATCTTTGCAGTTCTCCATGGAAGATACCCACCAAAGCGTTGCCGCTGTGCGGAGACTACATGCACCGAAATTTAGCTCGCCTTAGAGTTAGTATCAAGTATAGTGGACATACAGGTGAAGTATGGTTGCGGCAATTGGATTTACGACTTGCATCTTGGGCGTGAAGTGCGGAAAGGTGAAGATACAGACTTTTGTTGGTTGTGGGACGAGACGAGGCACTGCCTGTCACTGCAGTCACTGGATCAGTATCTTCACGAATTATGCGTTGTACGCGAATGTGACACCGTGAGATCCGCATTGTTGATGACCAGAATAGTATTCACATCAGCATCGCATAGCAGCGTGTATTTCCTGTGTGGGTTACAAGTTTATCACTCAGTCCCGATCCTAGCACCATTTTTCACCTTCACCAGTACAATCGAACGGCACCATGTCAAACTTGCCTGAACCTCCTCCACCGTTGACTGAGAAGCTGACTGTCAAGAAAGTGTTGAAAGCCATCGGTGCTGGTATCTTTGTCCTGTAAGCAATCAGATCGTAGAAAGGAAATTTGTGACGAGAAACTGACCACTACTCCTTGACAGTTCTAATGTCATCAATAGTTTCTGGTGAATGCCGTTGTTAATTTCTTCTCGACTACGATGATCTAGAAATTGCGAGCCAGCATCGCAGTCATTTTTTATCTATCTTGGCTCAACCATTCCAATACTGGAGCCATATGCCCAATATGTTGCTGTCTATACGCTCGGAATGAGGACCGTCTTTCTCACATGCGTGTTTCTTGTCGGTTGTTATTGGTGCTGTCTTCGACTGGTGGCACCGAAGCAGGCTGGAAGCAGTATTTCCGAGTGGGGTTCGAAAGTGCAAGCACACTCGTGCGAAGTCTCGAGTTCAAGCAACGGAAAACTAGGCAGGGCGGGGAGAACATAGTACGTATCGTCCTGTATTGGTTACTTTAACGCTTGTCAGACTGACCAGTTCCGTATGCGACTTACAGTTATGGTGAATTGTTCATGCTAAACCAAAAGAGCGGCTGCTGATGATCTTGTGATTCCAGCCATCTTGGGCGTAATTAACACTTTCAATGGCTTGCGTTTTTGCTTCGGCCCACCGATACTACCCGAGTTCGGCGTGTACCAGCCCGTGATAGGTGTTATTGGCCTCATCGGTGCCGCCAGTTCAATCCATATTGCCTACGTAGGAAGGGTGCCAATAAAGAAGGGGACCAGAGACGCGAATATGACAGTGGGCAATAGTGACAGTGAGCCTGAATCGAATGAAGTTACTCCATCAGGTACACATAAAGATGACGACACCACGACTCAGTGAAGTTGTTGTTATACGGGAAGCAGTGGAAAGAGCGGCATGGTGGTAAGGCAGCCGTCCAATGAATCATTGCCTAGCGTTGAATATTTCGACAGAAATACCTTGATACGTACACAAATCAGTACTCTTTTGTGATCGAAATGATACAATATTATTCACCTCCTCTGGTTTTTCCATTCAATGAGAGATCGTGATAGGCAAGTATTAGTATCTGATGAACAGATGAGCCTGGAGTACATAAAATTCGAAGGAATTTTTCTTTTGGTAGTGACTCACTAGTAGCAGGATATGAATCACCCCAGAAGAACGTTTGGTGCCGCAAATTCGCCATGGATTGTCCGAAGATCTGTTTGGGGTGAACTTATGAACGAACGCCCGGGTCATTTGTCTGTGCATGTGCATGGTTTTGAATCGCAAACAACGCTTCCTAGAAGCACGCTTCTGAGTCTCGACCCCCACAGGCACGCAGAAAACGCCATTAGACACCCCCGCCTGTGAACGCCACCTGTTCAATGTTGGATTTCAACCCAAGCTCGAGGCCAGTCCAGGATACATGCTGGAATTCCGCAAGAGACGGCTGTTCACGCTGCAAGTAATCGTTCGACACTGACACTGAATATCATGACCACAATCGCATTTCGTTTCACTCAGACTCAGGCCGAGGTGATGAGGCTGGACAAGATTGAGATTTGAACTCCGTAAGTGAGTGCAAGTAACCAATGGTTGATTTTCCGGGAGTGAAGACGTATCACTGGATAGTGCTAGAGCAGGAGTTGCTGTAGATAAAACTTGCAGTGAAGATTCGGGATTTTTCAAAAGAGAAACTGCAGATTATATACACCATATATAAGCTTACAGCAGGCTTAAGTCTCCCGAAGTCAGACCTTGCATGATGTCCGGAAGGAAGATAGCCATAGGGTAGGTGGAAGTATTAGGAAAGATTCGAGACTGTGAGTTCACGGTTGCGTTGGCGTCGGGCGAGGCGATTGCCCGTTGTTGAGAAAAGTTTTGAAGTCTGAAAAACACTGAAAAATTAAAGACGTTGATAACCCCCTTGTTAGCGCGCTGGCAGCAAACTTCTGAAAGGGTGCCGGCACGGCAACATACATTATGTAATCCATACAAGTGGTTGGCACTGCGAACAACGCTCCGCCAACGCAACCAAAACGCGACTTCATGGTCCAGGGTTTTGTTGATTATCGATTATCAATTATTCTCCAGGTGTATTGCCTAAAACAAAGAAGAAACGACAAGGATGGCTTTGTGCATTCCACTGTCTAAGATCTTTGTCCTCGAACATACTTAAGTCGACTCTCTCTCTCTCCACTTGGCTCTAGCAAATAACATGCAGACAGGTAAAGGAGAAGCCAGCCAACTCGGGAGTCAACGTCCCAGATGCGCCACGAAACATCGTGAGTGATCGATTCCACAAATTACAACCACTCGTTCATCATGATACTCATCAATCGTTTTAGATGAATTCACAAGTGGTCAAAACAGTCTGTCTATTCATTGTCTATTTCAAGTGTATGATCTGATGCCATGTTGACGATGAACCAGATTACAGGCCTCGGTCCCCCGCATTGCAGGAAGCCAAAGCTTGATCACTCTGCCCTGGAGCTCCAAGACAAGGAGATCAATACCGAACAACGTCAACAGTTGGATATGGTCTCGCACAAGACCTTGAACCTCGTTGATTCCGTCAGGGATAAAACAAAAGACCTTGGCCAGCAGCTTGTGGACAAGCAGGACAAAATCCCTGAATCGGCGAACCTGGACAAAGGACTTGGATCGGCTCTCGCGCGCTTACCAGATGACGTCTTATCCAAGATATTTGACTACCATCTCATGGATAGCGACCATTTGAACCGCAGGTCGGATCCGTCTCCTATGCAGTTGGCCAGAGTATGCCGACGATGGAGGGACGTTGCTGTGGGCATGGCCAAATTGTGGTGCAAACTCTCTTTTTACGTTGACGATGACCGCAAGGAATGGAAGCGGTCAGCTTTCTACTATGATTCATGGCTCAAGCGATCACAAGACCGTCCGCTCTCATTACAACTCCGCCCTGGATATGCCGAAGGTGGGACGGCCAAACTACGACGCCTTGTTCAACCTTACATGAGCCGAGTCTCATCTCTTGATATCACATTCTGGGACGACCTAGAACCAGAACCTTTGCTAACAGACCTCCCTGCAGCACTTCGGAAGCTTACCGTATGCTTTGGCGACTGGTTCGATGCTTCAGCCACTGCACAATCTCTCTCGCAACTGCCATCTACTGTGCGTAGCCTCAAGATCCTAGATCGGACATTCGGACCGGACTGTTTACTTTCTCTCAATCCTGTATGGGCCCACCTGACGCACGTCGAAATCGCAATTCGTCCACGAAATGTGCTTCATTTCCTCGCTCTATGTCCCAACCTCTCCTCGTGCGAGCTCATCCTAGGTCAACCAGCGTTCATGTCCCCACGGGTACAGTGCATGAGATTCACACACGCGAATCTTCAATCATTGCGCTTCATTTGTCCCGGGTACTTCGAAACTAACCCACTCCCGGTACTGTTCAATGCAATCACGCTCCCCAAGTTGCGCAGCCCTCGAGATTTGCTATGGATTTTTGTCGTCCCCTCATCAGGAGTTGGAGGCGTTTCTGGAACGGTCGAAATGTCCCTGGAGATCCTGATTTTCAACGCTGTTGTGACACCACCACCGGACCAGCAGGGCGATTTCATTGCTATCATTCCTTCCCTTAAAGTAGAATGTAGGTTGGATACCGGTACCGAATAACTAGACTGTTGATCTATCCATACTAATATTGTGGGGCGCGACTGCCTTGGCTGCACGGGTAGTGATATTATGTTGTAGTGAGGATATCAGTGGTAGATGTTTAGGCAACTATATGTACCATCATGTGGATATAGCCTCTTCTTGGAATGCGCTATAGCCTAAGTGAAGTACAGAAGGTTAGTCAATGTGCCCTCCCAATAATTAGGAATAGAAAAGAGAGCGAAGACTGGTGCATGCAATAACCGAAACTGACAGACGAAGGAAGATGCTGAAATGTATCTGCAATTAAGGAGAGGCCGCGTCGGTCTGGGGGAGCTCAAGAGACTTCTCATCAAGTACTATCAGGACTGCGTTCTTCAGTGCGTAAATTTTGTCAGTTGATCCTGTTGCGCGAGGTCTAGTTGGTCGTGTCTGTCACCAGTGACGCTGGGTCGGTGTGCACTTATACTGCCAAATGCTGACCAGTCCATGAAGTCACGCCGTACTTCGATGTACTCGTTCGCAATTTCACTGATCTAGGCTCTTGTTAGACTGATGGAAAATCAAGAATATGACAACGCTTACCTCGACTTCGTCAAGACCGGGTTTCTCACCATCAGCCGTTGTGCGCACGTGGAGGCCAGGGATAGTGTTGATGCACTTGGCAATGAGAGCAGTAACGACGAACGTGTATGAACATGTCATGTTGCGCAAATCTAGGTGACTTGGGCGTAAAGTTGTTTCCAATAGCAATCGACCCAGCCACCACGAACATTTGTGTTGATGCCATCGAGGGCGACGATGGAACAGGAAACAAAAATGCGCGCTGGACGGAAGAATTGCTCGAGTATTGCATATTGTTACAAACATAATATACAGCTATGTTGAAATGCGATGTATGCGGGACAAAAAAGACAGCCAAATATTGCAGATGCAGGGCAGGGCAGTGGAAGAGGTCACTAATCATCCAAGAGGTCCATGTCGTTATGAATTTGGCGAACGGTGGTTTCCTTCAAAGCGGCGAGCTGTGATAACATGTGAGCATCTCCTAGAGACATTAGAGGGCCTCGTAGAGTTTGATACCCTTCCTATCAATAACTTCGATACAGAGCGTTAGCTCGCAGGATATGATAGAGGTCAGGACATGGTGGGCCAAACCTGAGTAGCGTCCTTGGCTTCGTTATAACGGTTGCAATAGGTTTATGTGTCTTGATACGACAGCCTCAGCGCTCTCGTCCTCACTATAGATTAGTTCAAGGGGTCAGCGCGTTTCATCGAAGTCGATTATCTGCTCCAACCCTATCCTCTTCTGTAAAACATCCATTTCTGCCTGAAGTTTATCGATGTATTCCTTTTACTTCTATACATACATTTAAACACACTTGTTGTACGAGCCTGGCTTGAAATTTGCATACCTTGGCAGACGTCGTGGCATGCATGATAGTCAAAACGAATATGTAGAATTTCAGAAGTGAGTCGTGACGGCGCGAATGCAACGCGTTGTTGACTCTTGTTTGTGCATCCGGGTTCTTCGACCCCTTGCTTTTGATTCAAAACGATTGAACAACAACATATATTCGTCATCACTTGCGTCCGGATGCACGTGGATTCAGGTAGTGTACTGCGAAAGTGGCGGTGTGTGAATTCACCCTGGCTAATTCACCCGGGTGAATTAGAGTGAATTGGCATGTGAATTTCGGGGGCGTACTTTGGGGGTGTAAATTTGGGTGAATTTGGGGACATATGATAGGACGAAGCGAGCATCGCCGCAATTGTAATTTCCATAATGAGATCATTAAAATATCATACAGATTCCTGAACGAAAGCATTGGAAAGTGAATCGTGATTGCTAGGCTACTATGGACTACGAAACAAAAGACAAACTACAGCAGCTGTCACTTTTTCTCTCTAACCTCCCCCAAACCATTCCCTATGCAGACGCCGCACAGACACTACCGCTTCTTCTTGGATGACGAAAAAATCGAAGACATGGGACCAATCGGAGCGCTGAATCGCGAGCTCGAATGTGTCATGGGTCAACATCATAATGGTCCTATTTCATTCAAGGAGCGTGGGCCCGGGCTCGAGGCTGTAGTGGATGTACTCGAATCCCCACCTAATCGAACACCACAATTCCCCAGAGACCATACTCCTCGTCAAATGGGTCGATGACCTCACAACAGCGGCAAAAGCTGCATTCACATCCGCTGGTATCATGGTGAAAAGTACCATGATCCAAGTATCGAAATGGAGCAACGAAACCCAGCACTCGTCGGATTTAGCCCTGCAGAAGCATTAGCTGCTTTTCGAACCCAATACAGGGCTTACATTAAGGGCGAGGACCCATTCAACCGAAAAATGAGGTCCAATGAAAGCGCCCTCCACTGGTGGAAGGCATTGCAAGGAGATGAACTGGCAAATATTTCTGCTGTAAGTCTCACTTTTGAACCAGGACGAATTAAACTATTAAGCTGGACAGCCTCTTGCAATCAAAACATTTTCGGTCTCCCCGACATCCATGCCAGATGAGCGCACCATGTCAACGATTACCTGGCTCAACTCTGCTCGACGAAGTAAGCAGGAAGTCAGCACACTTCAAAACCACATCAAAATCCGACAGTGGCACCGCTTCGATCCTAAGGTTCGTCGTTCACTTCATTTTTTATCTGAAACATTAACTTACCTCGATCACAGCAGAAGCAGAAAATGCCATACAAACCTTTGGTCAAGTGGCGTGATATGGAAACCACGATCCTTGGCAAGCGCGCCGGTGAGGATCTGCCTGCTGCTGGTCGGAAGCCTCCTCCACCAAAACCACACACTCTCGCGTCACCCTCAAGCTCGGATTCAGAAGATGGATTTGATGACGGCGCGGACTGGTTGGATGGTAATCACAGCCTTCCTGCAGAGTTCGAGAGAGTGGAGAGAAACTCGTTTGTGCTTGCTGGATCCAGTGGTATTGATTTGCGTTCACCTTTTCTACGTGAACTACTTTCGGATTCCAGCGCTAAACAAGCTTCGCAGTTTGTTTCTGCGCCCATCAAGAAGACTGCGGTCAAAAGCTCGTCCGGGTCTCTACCTGCTCCTTCTGATTGGAACCTGTGGGAGTGATTCACCCAAATTCACTCAAATTCACGTACAACTGTTCAAATTCACGGTAAATTAGCGTTAATTGACAGCCTTGTAAATTTACCGTAGGGCTGCTCAATTCTAAAAGTTCGCGTTCACTTGGGATCCGAATATCATAAGTAGAGTTATTTTAGTCTTAAGCGATTCATTTCCGCTCCGTAAATTAGTCTCAACTCCGAAGAAGCCCGGATGTGTCTGGCTGGTAGTTGTTGTACTGCCAGTGTAAACGGCTCCAGCACAGTAGCAATGGACTACTATCCTCACAATGGTGGTGGATACACTCGACAGCAGGAGCAACCACGATATGGCTATGCCATGCCGCATGGAGGTGGACAACATGCTGCTCCACTGACCAGTTACGAGCACCGGGCAGTAGTCACAGCAGTGCCTGCACACAACACACAAAATCAGTATCAGCAACAGCAACAGCATTATCGTGCAGAGCATTACTGGTATGACACGAAACAGTAGGTCATTATTTTTTTAAGCTCTGTATGTGACTGATCCTGTATCGTGAATCCAGCCAGCTGCAACAAGAGCAGCCCTATGAATCAATTCCCCGACCACAGCATAATCAGCAATCTAGAGTACAAGTGAGTGGCCAATAGCATGAACATAATACTTGACAAATACTGACTAGCTGAAGCTTCCTCATATTCGCCAGGTGCTCGAAGCATGTGGTCAGCCTCAACCAAATGATTCAAATAAATTCGTCTATGGTCTGACTCGGGCAGACGAGGCAGCATGTGATCCAAGACCTTTGCCAGCTACAGTGGCTCCACAACCACAGAAGCGAGGACACGAGGAATATCATGGTAACCTCCTGGAAGATGGTGACAGTGCGAAGAAGATAAAGAAAACTGAGAACGACACACCATTAACTCAGACTAGTAGTGAAACCTGTGCCAGCAAAGGATCGAAGCGGAAGGCCACAGCTGCAAAATTGAAGACAAAGGCGAAGACAAAAATTGAAGGGGAACAAGCCATGGCTCACCTTCAAGAGCAAAGCCATTGGTCAGACGAAGACACCAAACTTTTACTCGAAACCCTGCTAGGTGGTGACAGCGAATTCTATGAAGGCCTCACTGGCAATGCTAAACACATCTTCAAAAAGGTAACAAAGATGCAAAGTAGACTCGCCTCGATAACTGCTAACACCATACCATACAGGTCTCCAAACGTATATTCAAAGGACGGCGCAGCCCAGAGTCAATCAAGGGACGTTACGAACACTTACGACAAGTGTTTTCATATATTTTGACTTTTGAGTCCATCACCGGCAATGGTGGTGGTGATCCTGATGTTGAAGTCCTTGACGAGAAGATTGAGAATGCTCGAACTGCTGGGAAGGATATTGGGAACTTATCTGGTGCTACCTTGAAAAAATGGTATGACGAGGGATGGTATGCACTGTTCAACGACAGGTGAGTAGCTGGACATCTGCACGAAACATTACTTACATGACTCGGCAGGCTTGGTGAGCACCCGGGACTTGTGCGAGAGGAGGATTTTCGCTCTGGCATGATCTCAGATACAATCGATATCAGCAGCGAGGAGGGCAGTGATGGTGAAAGCAAGGACAGTGATATGGAGAGAAAGAGTAAGCCAAAAGCAGGTCAACCTGCACGCAAATCCGTTTTGTCCGCAGGTGACAAGAAAGTCAAGCCAACGATGCAGAAGGGAGTCCCTGCACCACGGCACAAACGCAAGGCTTTGCAGACTGGTATTGGCAATGAAGCTGCCGAGTTTTTTTGCGTCAAATGTTGAATTCTTGAAGGCGACAGCAGACAGTGACGTTGCACGCTTGAAACTGCTCAAAAAACGTGAGCTCCGAGAGGACAAACAGTATAATTACATGATAGAGAAAGGACGGGCTGAGGTAACACTGGCAGAAAGTGAGGCGAAGGTGAGGAACACGAAAGAGATTTTGACTATGGATGGGATGCCGGAAGAGGTGAAAGCAGCGGCTCGTCAAGTGTTATTGAATTATTTCACTATTGCAGGTCAGTAATTGCTGTCAAGTATCTAATGGGAAAAGGTCATTTAAAATTGCGAGACGACGACGACGGCCAGCTTCCCTCAACCACTCGTCTGACTCCCATGCAGGAAGTTCAGGTTCATCATCCCCAACAAATCCACCATAGCCAGAGATATCGACATCAGCTTGATCATCCTCGGTGTTGTCGTGATCAGGGCCAGAACTATCAAACAACGGAATGAGCTCAGGGACATCTCCAAGGTCAATGCACATATTGTGCAGGGCAAAAAGTGCCTCGACAACATGGTAAGTATCTCGAATGTCCTGTTCAGGTGGCAAATCCCTTAAAGAGGGAAAACGGCCCTTGAGCAAACCAAAGGTATGCTCAACAATGATGCGCTGTGAAGACAAACGCTTGTTGAATTTGCGGCGGCGTTTTTTTTTCGGCAGGCAGCTGCCCATTGACCCCGGGTTCAGTGAATGGATGAAGGATGTAGGGTGATGATGGATAGCCTGGTTCAGGGTCAGTGCATGAAAGATGTGAGGGTCACAAAGAATATACCTTTATCCGCGAGAAGGAGAGTATTGTTTGGGAAATAATCGAGCCGATGTTGCCAGATGTGAGATTTTTTCCACATCGTCACGTCCGAGACTGATCCTGGCCACCCTAGCTTGATTGCAGTGAATCGTTTCTCGTGGTCGACGACGGCTTGAACATTGATCTACGTATCAAGTAAGTTCACAGAAAATGTTGTGTTTGAGAGTTACTTACAGCGGGAAATTTCTTTCGACAAATAAATGTCAGGCCATTCCAATCTGGCATTTCGGTGAGCCATATGAGGGAGCCATGGAGCATTCCAATGCAATCTGGAATTCCCGACCGGTCCAAGACCCGTCATGTCGTTTCGTTCTGACGAGTCTCGTCACCCCATGTGACTACTTGCATGCCGATCTCCCGCAGAGCACGGACTACACGCTTGCAATAGAGGAACACAGTTCCAAAACCAATCCCAAGTTTGTGGGCAGCTTGCAGCGAGTCGCCACCACGAGTCCCATAACGAAGGAGGAAACACGTGAGCTGATAGCGTACAGGTCGCTGTGGTTTCCTCCCCGTCGATTTGAAGATGGGGTTCTCCTCCAAGATTCGCACCTAAACGGTCAAAAGTTGCACGACTAACACTACCAGACCATCAGCGCATTAAGAAGATCAAAAACAAAACAACTCACCGATATTCGTGATGAAAGTCTCGATCAGGCCAACTCAATGATACATCAAAAAACTCATTGCACTTTCGCCACTGGGTATAAGGACCACGAGAGCTGGGCACGGATATCATCAGAGAGAGAGCATGAAGGCCCGTGGCTGTCCTGCGCAAAAAACGGGTGAGCCGTTCATTGCCTTCGTCATCGTCGAGATCTTGATGATCTGGAGTGAAAAGCTCCTCAAGGTGGCCTTGCTTATGCCTAGATATGGCCAATGTACTAGCCACAACAGAATGTAAAATTAAAATATCCCTATGGTCTTGCTTTCGCTGCTGTGCGCGGGGCATATCGATCACCGTTGAATGTTGAGCGACGCGTTGAACGATGTGAACTGATCAAGTTGATAACGCATGATTCCGAAAGTCACCGGTTGACGGCCGGCGTCCGGTTCCAAACAAGGAGTTATAAGCGTCGCTAATCAGTGTCGTAACTTGCTCGGATCCCAAGTGAACGCGAACTTTTAGAATTGAGCAGCCCTCGTAATTTACGCTGGTGAATCTGAGGGCCTCTGGGCGCATTGTGAATTTACCCTGTGAATGTCGGAAGATTCGAAATTCGCCGTACACTAGATTCAGGATCTATATATATATATGAAGTACCGTTGTGTGGCGGCATATATATCATGCCACGCAACATATATCAAGGGGCAATGACGCAACTTCTCCGCTTTCCATTGTATTTTCACTTCCAACCTGCAATGCGATTCATCATATTTCGATTTGCACTTTTGTCGACCGTACTACTCCTCTTACAGTAATCAATGCTGTTCCAAACCAATGTCACATTCATTGTAACGTCCTCGTCGCGCAGTCCCGAAATCGTCGGGAGAAAACTCAGATGATTTTCACTGATCTGAAGAAAGCAGGCCGCATGAACGTGTTTGCATACACCCGATATCAATTTTCTTATTGAGATGGTGAGTACTGTATTCATCATTTGCAGTTGTGTTGTTTTGCATCTGTTTATCGCCATATCCTTCCTTCTTGGTCTACTTGACTTGACTTGTTTCAATTCATGCCGATCCGATAGAATGTACACACATCTGGTGGGCCACGTGTATGATGATTTATGGCGCATATATCCCGATTTCGAGCCAATATTCACCATCGAGTCACTACATGCTTTCATATACCGCGATTTGTGCGCATTTTGTTCTTGGTTTGACGTATATGCGTCAAGTTTGAGCCCCATCCCAATTTCGAATGATCATAGCTGACTCTACCTGACACAGGCATAGTGATATCCGTTTTGCCGCCCAATTTCGTCGGCTTCGCAGGTCCCATCATGACGCGTCTTCGACAGCCTGACACGGGGCTGCATGTATCTGCAGACCCCAGTCTGCTCGACCTCGTCGTGGATTCTACACTCGAGGTACCTGGTAGTGGATGCATTCCCTGAGAAGATATTGCAGCTGGAATACGATGTGTTGATGGAACCAGATATGAAAGTGGTTTCAAGGTGTTCATTTCTATTTGTGTTGACAGTCCCGAAACTGGTGCATATTCTTTCCGGTGGGCTGCGTTGCTCTCGCCTACTGGGAAAGCGGTCCAAAAGCAAAGGAGAGAGAAAGTGAAGGGGTTCGTGTGAGTAAAATATACCTGGTGCCTCTTGACTTGTTTTCACCCCTTTGTATAAGTTCTGGCTGAGTTGAGATGCGGTGGCAGGCGAACGTACACGATCATATGGAATATAGCCTTACAAGCATGGACACGTTCGCAGGGATCACAGGTCCACAGAAACATCAATGCAGTTGATATGCCTCAACTGTCCTTCAGATGCTCTCACGATCTGAGGTCAACGCTTGCGTATCTTGCACGACAATGTCCAAACTGCCATTCACTGTCCCAAAACTCCCAACCGCCGACAATGACAGGGCCGCCAGCGATAAATTCAAACTCAGCGCTCCCTCGTCGCCTCTCCAGTGCCGCAAGCTCTGCTTCCGGCTCCCCACTCACGGGTTCTCCTCGTACTTTCAGCTCTGGAGGATTCCGATGAGAAGGATCGTCCTTGCTGATGGTGGGGTAAAGATGAACCAGACTCTAGCGATGATGAAGACGACCGTCTCGAGGACGAGCTTACCACTTCTTTCAACAAGTTTAGTGCACAGCGGTGCGTCTTCTTCAGCTCTTTTCAACCTTTCTACAGCTCACAAAGGCGCATATGCTACTCGTATTATCTAGTGTAAATGGCAAACGGCCGAAGACCAAAGTCCCTACAAGCCTTCTTGACATTCCTTCGAAGCCAAGTCCTGACTGGCGGAAGGCAACACAGAAACGCCGCGCAGGTGCTGCACGATTCATCCTTGACTCTGCAAAAGCGAGTACAAGTGCGGACGGGAGCGTTGGAGAGCTAGACACGCGCGATACCCTCGACTCCGGCCCCCAACTCTCAGGTATCCAGTCAGCAACAAGGAAGTTAAAGTTGACACAAGCACAACGTCTACTGAGGAACATATAAATAAGTATGATGGCAGAAGAACATGCATATGCGAAAGTGGAAGAGACGGAAGACCAAAAAGCCCCTCTGTTGGCTGGGGATATGGACTCGGCGCCCCAGATCGATTCTATTCCCGTTCCTCCCAATGAAACCGACGCCATCCAGCAAGACGTCGCTGATCTTCCAGATGTTGTTACTATCGATGACTATGCACGTGTACCCATCATTGCGTTCCCTGCGTATTCGCCTGCAGCCCAGTCTTTTCCGGCATTAGTGGTATCGATCCTCTGACCGTACTTCCATGATGGAGCAGGTAGAGTAGGCGGTGGAATCGAACAGAGGAATGGACATGGTGGACTAGTTAGATGAAAAGAGCGAGGCTGGCCCTAGATTTATAGTTACATGGTGCAGGTTACATAAATATAGCTTTCAGGCGTCATGTTCTGGGCGTCTAATGATCATGAGGCAGTTGAGGCTGTGAAGAAGCACCTAAAGGCCACTGGTACACGCACCTATGAAACTTAGATCAAGACACCCATAAGTTCTCCAGCAACTTCAACATCATCCACCTCGAGTAGAATGACGGACGCAGAACAGCCCGCCATTCGAATCACCACGGCTACTCGAATATTTCAAGGTCATAAAGATAGTGTTTTTGCAGCTGCAGTCTTCCCCGATGGACGCCGTATGGTGACGGCCTCGAGCGACAAGACGCTTCGTCTGTGGGACTTGGAAGACAGTGTTGTATTGAAGATAATGGAGGGGCATCGCTTCGGCGTACGACGACTTGCATTATCGAGAAACGGGCAATTCATCGCAAGCGGTGATGATGGTGGAGAGCTTATCGCCTGGAACAGAGAAGGCGAATCTCTCATCCAGCCCATCAAAGTCCACTCCAGAGAGATATGGTGGCTTGATTTTTCCCCAGACAGCACATTTTTGGCGAGTGGCTCAATGGACACCACAACGGAGGTCTGGAATACACAAACATGGCAGGTGCAAGGAAATCCAATCGGTTGTGGTTCTCCAATCCGCTGCGTTCGGTATTCGCCGTCTGGTGAAATTCTTGCCATTGCAACAGACAATGATATCCAAATATGGAATCCAAGCAAGAGGGAATGCATCGCACAGTTTTCGGGTCACAACGCGTTCAATGGATCATATAATGTTTCCCTCGCGTGGACGCCCGACGGAAAACAGCTTGTCTCGACTGGTAATAATCAAGATCCCACCATACGGATCTGGGATTCATCGACCTGGATGCAGGTCGGTGAGCCCTGGAGGGGCCATGCTGGCCCTCTCAATATGATTGCCCTGAACCCTACTGGCACCCTTCTTGCATCCGCGGCTGAAGACCGCCAGGCTCGCGTTTGGCGAATTTCGGATCGACGAACCATCGCCATATTCAAGCACACCAACGTAGTGGCTTGTGTCACCTTCTCCACGGATGGCAAGCACATCCTGAGCGGGGGACAAGATTTCATGATCTCGAAGTGGACAGGACCTTTTCTGGAGGATATTCTCAAAGACCAGGCATCAGATGCAAGTTTCTGTTCATTTTCCGTCCCTTCTTCATCTCATCTTTTTCAAGGATGCGTTACGCGAGGATGCCCCGAAAGAACAAGTGACAGATAATGTGAGTTCCCGTTCATTCCTCGTCTCTTTGCATATTGATTCTCAATATTGATGCCAAGACTCAACAGTCTGATTGCGAGGCATGTTTCTGGTCTTCACCCCCACCACGTAATCTGACCACGCATGGTGCAGATCCTCACCATCGACACGACAGTCCGCGATGCATGCATAAGCGGGGACTTGCACACTGCTGACAGGCTCATAACGCAAGAGATCAACGCTGATAGCAACGACTACAATTCTTACGCGAACCGCTCGTTTGTTATGGCGAGAAAAGCCGACTGGGACCACGCACTTGATGACGCACTTAAGGTGAGATACACTGTTCCGTCGCCACCTTTTTAATACAGGCCAACTTGTATGACGATATAGAGCATCAGCATCCAGCCATCCTTGATGGGCTGTATCTCCAAGGGCATCGCCCTCTGCGGTAAAGGGCCGTTCCAGGACGCGATGAAAGCATTTGACCTCGGGTTCATGTACGTGGATGCAGACTTGAACAAAACTCGTCTTCTACTCTTGATTAAGGTACGTCGATTGTGTCTCGTGTACTCGCTACTTACACGACAGTTGTCAGGCTATCGCCCTTTTCAATGCAGATCAACATGACGAAGCAATTCTGCGGGTCCGAGAGCTAGCTACCACTCGTCCCGATGCGAATTCTCTTGCCTGTAGTATCGTGGAAGTGAGTGTTCCTAACACATTTGACTCCAGATTCATGCGTCGATGCTGATTTTGCGAACCTCGCACTTCAGGCTTATCTATACGTCCAAGCGGGAATGAATGCATCAGACAACGAACGCCACAACGAAGCTGCTGGCCACTTTACTTCTGCTGTCAACACTATTGATTTCTCGTCTACGTCGGCCATTCATTATAGATATGATGTCTTCGTGGTGGTAGGTTGATTGCAATGCAACTGGAAATCATTTTTTTCACGCCTGGCTGTGCTTTTTCTAGCTATTCGGGTGGGACCTCGAGTCCCTGTGGCGAACTGCACACCAGAATTGGTGCCATGCGCTCCTTCGGGCAGGTAGACTTCCAGAAGCCATCAAAGCATACCGATATATGATGGATGCGGCTGATGAGGCCACTAAAGCACGCTGCCTTGATTGGTCCACTGGTAAGTATTCGTGATGTCGACCGGTATAGTTCTCAACCTCATCTCACTTAGCTTTCAAGCAAGATTGCAGCGTGCTCTATGCTGTCGACGGATTGGCTGACCTCGCTGCGACCGGTGATGCTGCCCTCACTGCGGGTAATTATGACAGGGCTATTGAGCTTTACTCTGCGGCAATCGACCTTGATTTTGCAACCGAAACCATCTTTGCCAACCGCAGTAAGGCGAAGGCGGGAAAAATGCTATGGGACGACGCACTTCTCGACACGGAAAAGGTGCGATGACAGTTCCCGTTTCGTGTTCGACGCTCAAATTGGTGATACGCAGGTCATCGATCTCAACCCCCCATCTTACTTTGGATATCAGTTGAAGCATAGGGTACTTCATGGTGCACAACGATATGATGAAGCCATCGAGACCTTTAAAATCATGTTCTTCAAGTTGGAAAATGCTCCTGACACGCAAATACAAAGTACGCCCCCAAATAACCACATCCTCAAACATGCTTGACTTTTTCTCCAGAGCTGCGTGAACAATACGTCAATCCATCCGAGGCTGAAGGAGCTATTCAAGAGACTATTAAGGCTCAACTCGAGGACGCCCCACATCGTCTGTTTAACACCTTTACTGGTCGCTTATGCGATCGAGAGGTACAGATCAATGCCTTCAAAACGAGCACAGAGTACAAGGAGCTTTTGTCATCAACATTGATGCAGGTAGATCTCCCGATGCAGCGCATCCAAGATGTGGTGGCGATGTACTTCCGTTATGTCATGCTATCGCATAGATGGGAAGGGAAGGAGCCGATGCTACATGGCATCCAGGGCAAGGTGGTATACGACTTGGATCCAGTTGGCGGCATCGCCAAATTGCAGTCATTCTGTGAAACTGCTTGCGATATGGGGTATCGCTGGACATGGATCGATACCTGTTGCATCGATCAGACTAACAATGTCGAGGTCCAACAATCGGTCAACTCCATGTTTATCTGGTATCGCAACTCAGCGCTTACCATCATCTACCTGTCGGATGTTCCACCTTCGTCGCAGCCTGGCGCACTCGCAAGTAGCGCTTGGAACACACGAGGATGGACAGTTCAAGAATTCCTGGCCCCCAGACTTGTACTCTTTTATCAGAAGGATTGGTCCCTATATCTCGACGATCGTTCTTCCAACCACAAGGATTCCGTTACAATAATGCAGGAGATGGGAGATGCGACGGGCATAGATGCGCAGGCCCTCGTCGCCTTCCGTCCAGGGATGAAAGACGCCCGGGAGAAACTGCAATGGGTGTCGGCCCGTGTCACCACGTGGCCAGAGGATATTGCATATTCGTTGTTTGGTATCTTCGGTGTCAACCTGCCTGTCATTTATGGCGAGAAGAAGCAAAAGGCGCTTGGGAGGCTCTTGCAAGAGGTCGTAGCTCAGTCGGGTGACATCAGTGCCCTGGACTGGGTGGGACAATCATCCGAATTCAATAGCTGTCTGCCAGCCGATATTACTTCATACAATGCTCCACCATACACCCTGCCATCTCTGTCCGAAGATGACATTCAGACGTCAATCTCCTCGCTCCGACATGTCATGACTGTAGATTTGGTTCTGAAAATTTACGCCATGCTTGACAACCTGAACGCTCCTCGTTTCGGGAACTGCAGACTCCATCTGCCTTGCATCACATTTCGTGTCACAGCAGTCAAACGGAATCGCGCTCAAGACCAGGAGATATATGAAGTCAAGGCCGACGGGCTTAATGGCCTGCTGATCACTACGAAGGACAAGTTGGTTCAGTTCTCATCACCACGACCTACTATGCAGACATTCTTGCTTGTTCGTCCGTGGAATCGTTATATCCTCGCGCTTCCTGACTTCGCGGAACCGTCTCGCTCGGAAGAGCTGCCTGACGTTGCTGACGACATGCAGAGCGAAGAAGATTATTGGTCTGCTCCCGGGTCTCCATTACAGGATTCGCTTGGCGGGTTCCCTGAAGCAGAGGAGTCGGTTGATTCGGAACTGAGCGGTCGAGCGTTGCGATTGGCTGCTCGCCTTAAGCAGCCTTTTAGCGCATTTTTGCTAGCGCAGCAGCGCGGCGGAGAATACAAGAGAATCGCGTCAGATCATGATATTATTGCACAAGTCAATGACCTTTCTTCTATTCCGGACATGATCAGGACGCTAGAGATACTGTAGTGGCATGCATTTTTGATGTATTTATATACAAGCGATTTCCGCTGCGCGGCTCGTTTTGTGAAAGGAAATTCTGTGCGAGTTTGCTCTACAGAAGATTTTTTTTGTGCATCATATTGTCGTCTATCTTAAAGTTGTCCTGCGAAAGTAGCGTCCGAGTCTGCGTGCATGGTACGTTGCAGATGTCAAAGAGATGTATTGAATGAGTCACGATTCACGACTCGGAGTCATCTAATACATCTCCTTGACTCCGACTCATGATTATGATAGAGATCCAATACAGCTCAGTTGTGCGCACAGTGAAGCGTTGGCTATTAAAAGCCATACCTGACTCGCCAGAGGAAGGCTTTGTTTTGGTGATCGGTTTTTTACCTGTCATTCTCGTGGTTGGGGTATGCCCCAATATGAGGGCATGCGATGGTCTGTTTTTGTAGTCGTTAGTCGGAATCGGAATCGGCCAAAGAGTTAGTTCTCACACATCTGCGTTTTGTTTTTATTTTCCTTCATTGACACTAGTACGTTTCCTATGCTGCTTATTCACATTTGTCCTCGAGGACGTTAAGCACTTGTCGTTCACGCCGTTAAACAAATTTGTATTCCAGAATGCATGAAGTTCTGAATGATTTGGTGGGCCAAGACCCGGTTTGGTTTTCGTGGTCTTACGACAAATTTCGGTGCGTTCTTCAGCCACTCGGTGTGACTCAACTTCGACAGTGTTTGATGCAATTAGGTATGCACCATGTCCTGGAAAGGTCGCACATGTGGTCGCAAATGTATCTTGATTAATAATTCATCCTTCATCTGCATTTTTCGAGGAGTTGCTCGATTGTCTGCCAAATGCCGAACTGTGACGTCACCGTTGTGGTTCACTGATAATGGTGATGAGTCCTGCGCTCCCGTCTCATTGCCGTGAATCATTATTTTGATGCGTTGTGTGGAATAGATGACATGTCAGCCATTCGCGATCACGCTATCTACATTAATAACGAGGTTGTCGTCAGTTCCTCATACGACATTGTTGCTTGTCCTTGGTTGAATGTCAATGTACATGTGTCCCATCTTTTGGTCACCAGACTTAGCAAGCTCCGTCATTTTACGCTGCGAACTATATTAGCAAAGATTCGACCGGACTGTTGGTGTTTTGTCAGGACGCACGCTCGGTATGCTCGCGCACTACTTCTGTTCATATGCCGATTCACCCGTTCTCTGTCAGTTGCTAATGACTCTTGCTTTTTTTCCTCCACTATCTTGACTTTTGTACCCTACATTGAGCTTGAATTGTTCAAACATGATGCGAAGATAACCAAGTACGTGTGTCGTCGAAACAATAATGCGCCGTATGTATTTCAGTCATATTTTATGCAGTCAAGTGTTAACGAGGTGTTCCTCAAATTTAAGGTCTTCAACTTGAAGCTTGAATGCTCCAGCAGGATGAAATTTGTTCACCGTGACAACCGAGCGCTCAGCAACAAGTTATTTACTTTTATGTGTCGTGCCGTCAACTACACTGCCCAAATGCGAAAGTAGAAACACGACTCACTGTCGTAGGGTCCATCGCAAAAATATCCGATCCCATCCTACCATGCAAGTGAGTCATGGGGTTAGATGAAAACTATTATACTCACAGGAACCATGAATGGTACACATGCATAGCCAGCGCAGCATTTTTGCGACTCGCATAACCAGGGACAATCGACTGTCAGCGACAGGCATAGACACTGTCAACTTGAAAGCAGCAACGACGGCGACCACGAAGGAGAGACGCATTCTTTGTGAGATGTGATTTTGGCTTCACAAATAAATCTAAAGGGGATGGCAGGAAGACAGGTCGCTTTTATGCCCTGAATAATGTTCCACCTGGCAAAATACTCCCTCAACAGATGAAATCTGCATTGCCAGCAGATTGCCAGCAGACCTTGGGATTGACTTGTCACTGTCCTCGATATTCTCTTGGCGAGGGAGATGCTTGTAACGTGTAATTCCAACCCGTTGTTGCATACGGCCTACGATGATAGCTGACACGACAATCCCTGGAGTTAGGCTCAGGGGTCTCGTGGATACCGAGAGAAATTCAGAGTCTCATCGTGCATGAAGGAACCCGGAACTGGAGGCCGGGAGACCGGCGCCAACACTTAGCACTCAATAGCAGCCTGTGATGAGATTAGTAAAGGAAGGGGAAACGATTGGCTGTCGCCCACTGTTGTCAGACACGTTGAAGGACCCAGGTATACTCAACCTGTAATCTATTATTTTCGGAATGCGCACTATGCACGCGGGCCATCATACGTATACCAGCAATAATATTAACGAAGGTGTACGAGCTCAACATTCCCTGCTATATCAGGTACTGTTGTCATAAAAGCGAATTCCTTTTCATGAACACCAAAAAGAGATGTCGGCGCAATGACTGGGCCTGAACCTCCAAGGATCTGGACAGCGAAAAATGTTGAAAGTAGGTTTCGAACCAACTCCACCAGAAACAGATTTCGACTCTGTTGTGGCAACCACTTGGCTAAGACCAGTTAGATGGACCTCTGAGGAAACCGTCGATGAATCAATTTCAAGGTGTGTTCCAATAGAAAAAGGCTTGCCAACGGGCAGATTTCGAACCTGCGCAGTCGAAGAGAAACAGATTTTGATTCTGTCGCAGTAACCACCTGGCTAGGACCAGTTAAGATGAACGTCCGACGAAAGCACCCGAGTGTCGAGACCTGGTCATCAACAGGTTTGACAGATTGTGATTCAATTTCTGTTGTGTACGAAGCCACCCTTCAAGTTGGGCGAATATCAGTCTTCAAGGGTAGCAAAAAAAAAAAATTGCCTTCGGCACGTTTCGAACCTGCGTTGGCACAAATAAATTTAGATTCTGTCGTGGTAACCACTTAGAAGGGCACGAATCAGTGGTATATGGGCAACAAAGTAGTTAACTTTCCCGCGGGAAAACTGTTAGAGGGAAGAAGAGCGCGGGAGTCTGAGTCAACACCCTCAGTGCGTGCTAGTGGTTGAACTGGTTCAGTTGCGGCTGCTGACGATCTTGTGATTCCAGCCGTCTTGGGCGTAATTAATACTTTCAATGGCTTGCGTTTTTGCTTCCGCCCACCGACGGTACCCGATTTCGGCGTGTACCAGCCCGTGATAGGTGTTATTTGCCTCATCGGTGCCGCCTGTTCAATCTATGTTACCTACGTAGGCAGGGTGGCAATAAAGAAGGGGACCAGAGACGCGAGTATAACAGTGGGCAGTAGTGACAGTCAGCCTGAATCGAATGAGGTTACTCCAGCAGGTGCATATAAAGATGACGACACCACAACTCAGTGAAGTGGTTGTTATACGGGAAGTAGTGGAAAGAGCGGCATGGTGGTAAGTCAGCCGTCCAATGAATCATTGCCTAGCATTGAATATTTCGACAGAAATGCCTTGATACGTACATCAATCAGTACTCTTTTGTGATCGAAATGATACAATATTGTTCACCTCCTCTGGTTTTGCCATCTACCAAGAGGTCGTGATAGGCAAGTATTAGTATCTGATGAACAGATGAGCCTGGAGTACATAAAACTCGAAGGAATTTTCTTTTGGTAGCGACTCACTAGTAGCAGGACACGAATCGCCCCAGAAGAACGTTTGGTGCCGCAGATTCGCCATGGTTTGTCCCAAGATCTGTTTAGGGTGAACTTATGAACGAACGCCCGGGTCATTGGTCAGTGCATGTGCATGATTTTGAATCGCAAACAACGCACACTAGAAGCACGCTTCTGGGTCTCGACCCCCACAGGTGCACAGAAAACGCCATTAGACTCCCACCTGTGAACGCCACCTGTTCAATGTTCGATTTCAACCTAAGCTCGAGGCCAGTCCAGGAGTCACCAAGCTGGAATTCCACAAGAGATGGCTTTTCACGCTGCAAGTAATTGTTGGGTGCTGAATATCCTGACCACAATTGCATTTCGTTTCGCTCAGACTCAGGCCAAGGTGATGATACCGGACGAGATTGAGGTTCGATCGCCGTAAGTGAGTGCAAGTAACCAATGGTTGATTTTCCGAGAGTGAAGATGTATCACTGGACAGTGCAAGAGCAGGAATTGCTGTAGATAAAACTTGTAGCAGGTTGTATGAAGATCCGGGATTTTTTAAAAGAGTTACTGCAGATTTTGTACACCATATTTAAGTACAGCGGGTTTAAGTCTCCCGAAGTCAGATCTTGCTTGATGTCCGGAAGGAAGATAGCCACAGGGTAGGTGGAAGTATTAGGAAAGATCCGAGACTCTGAGTTCACGGTTGCGTTGGCGAGGCGATTGCCCATGGTTGAGAAACGTTTTGAAGTCTGAAAAACACTGAAAAATTAAAAACGTTGATCATGATAAGTTTGATAACCCCCTTGTTAAGTTTTAAACGCGCTGGCAGCAAACTTCGTGTGAAAAATTGACGGTCTCACCGGTGGCGCTTGCAGTCTCGCTTGAGACTGCAAACGTGACACGTGACTGCTCAGCCACAGCGTTCGCTTCCTTCTTTGGTTCCAATTGCCAATCGCGCTCCACCTGGACCTCGACCACCATCCATGCCAATCAAGCATGATCGGCATCCCCAAGACGCGTTCGCCGGATGAAAATTGGGCAGCGCCGGTCCAAGACGAGTTAATGGTATACAGCGTCCCTGGTTCTTATTTTTTCCTAGCGTTCTCAAGGTCAGGTGCGTTGGAGAAGCTTACAGCATCCCTGGTTCTTATTTTTCCCTAGTGTTCTCAGTGTTCTGCCAAGGTCAGGTGCGTTGGAGAAGCTTACAGTGTCCCTCGTTCTTATTTTTTCCTAGTGTTCTCAGTGTGCTGCCAAGGTCAGGTGCATTGGAGAAGCTTATATACAGCGTCCCTCATTTCTTATTTTTGCAGGCTTTTCAATGCGCTGCCAAGGTCAGGTGCGTTGAAGAAGCTCATCATCATGAGTGCTCCCATAATCATAAAGGGAGCACTCATAAGGGTACTCCCTTCTTGGTTATGGGTGCACTGGAGAAGCTCACAAGCACTCCAATATACAGCGTCCCTGATCCTTATTTTTTGTAGGCTCCTCAACACGCTGCCAAGTTCAGGTGCATTGGAGAAACTCATTCATGAGTGCTCCCATAACCAAGTTCAGGTGCGTTGGAGAAACTCATTCATGAGTGCTCCATAACCATGAATGGAGCACTCGTGAGGTACTTCCTTCTTGGTTGAGTGCTCCCATAACCATGAATGGAGCACTCGTGAGGTACTCCCTTCTTGGTTATGGGCGCGCTGGAGAAGCTCATGAGCTCTCCCTTCTTTCATGGTTACAGGCGCGTTGGAGAAGCTTACGAGCTCTCCATTCATGGTTATGGGATGAGCTTCTCCAATGCACCTGAACTTGTGGGCGCACTGGAGAAGCTCACAAGTGCTCCCTTTATGGTTACAGGCACTGCAGGAGAAACTCACAAGTGCTCCGTTTATGATTACAGGCGCGCTGGAGAAGCTTACAAGTGCTCCATTTATGATTACAGGTGCACTGGAGAAGCTTACAAGTGCTCCGTTTATGATTACAGGCGCACTGGAGAAGCTTACAAGTGCTCCGTTTATGATTACAGGCGTGCAGGAGAAGCTTACAAGTGCTCCGTTTATGATTACAGGTGCGCTGGAGAAGCTTACAAGTGCTCCCTTTATGATTATAGGCGAGCTGGTGGACAAGAGAACTAGATTATGTAGTGCGTACTTGTGTGTACAGTAGTAGATTAGAGAGAATGTATACTTATAAACTACTGGACAAATGCCCAAACGAGATTGAAGTTACCTATAGAAACAGCTAGGTAGGGATAGGGATACAGTATGATGGTGTGCCGCTGTACGGATATGTAGTAAGTAACGAGTCTGGGGAGATATGATAAAAAAACCCGCTCCTGAGTTATAGAGGTGGCGAGGTCGAAGAATATGATAAAGAAACCCGCTCCTGAGGGTCGAGGGTGGTGAAGTCGAAGAATATGATAAAAAAAACCTGCTCCTGAGTGTTGGGGGTGGAAAGGTCAATACTTATGATAAAAAACCCTGCTCCTGAGTGTTGCGGTCACCGAGAATTCGACGTGTCCATTGTTCAACAATGTCAGGACGTGTCATCAGAAGCTCGCACCACTTCTTTGCAACAGCATCGTCCTTGCTTGACAAGTAAGTCTTACCACTTTTAGCATAGTGAAAGGCACCGTGGGCTAGTGGGTGGTCGAGATTGCCACCAAAAAAGGTGCGTGCATCATTAGCATCTCAGGCAGCAGCAGAGACCCGGTGCTCTGCGAGATGGTTCAGGATTTGTTGGTAAGGAAAACCTTGCCATTCTCGTCACTGAATGCACGCCAGAATGAAGCATTGTCTGGGTATCGCTGCCATTCCTCAGCAATGAACTCAAAGACAGACGAGAGGTCAGATAGCACGTGTGACTCGCTGAAGAGAAAACGTACCTTCCAATTTCCCCATTCTACTCGAAGTGCATCCCATGCTGCCGTCTTAACTGCCCTTTCCTTTCTTGTAGAACTCTCCCCAATACTTGACAGGGATTCCGCGACCATTGACGACAAGTAAGTTTGATTCCTCCCATTCTTCACACAGCCAGTTGATATCTTTGGAGAGGTGGATGGTAGGAGGTGATGGTACAGTTGTCCTGTCATACAGGAATTTCTCTTGGCCAAGGTGCTGCAATTCCAAGGTTTTCTGGGGGGATTATCTCTGGAGGCAGAGGCACAGATGTTGTCTGCAGTGGTTGTGTGAGGTTTGGATGGCGCGTTCAAGTTGCTGACAATGCGCGCTTGTGTGTGGGGACTGGACAGTTGCCATGTTGTGGCACCCAGAGCTCTCCGTGTGTAAAGTGCGTGTATCTTTTGATTCCATCAGTGTTTTCATATCGAGAATATGCGATGTGAGGACACTGATGTGATTTTCGACATTACTGATATCTTCTCGCACAGACAACATGTTGGAATCTACTTTCTGCATACGAACAGTGAAAGCATCCTGTTGCGGATGTTCATCCTGTCTGAGTCCTTCAACTTCACTTGCGGCAGCAACTTGTTGGTGGCAGCTTTTTCGCTGTGTTACCGGAGGTGGTACACTCAAATCGTGAGGCATACCAAACGCTGATAGCACTGCATGTGCCTTTTTAACAATATGTGAGCTTCGCGAGACATAGTATCACTTCCGCTCACCCATGCTGAATTTGCAGCTCAATCGTCATCCTGGAGTGCCCATTGTGTGCGATTTGCGCTCTTCTTGCTTTGTAAGTAATTGTTTGCTCCTCAATTCCGAATGCCTCATCAATCCTTCGTTTTGACAGGGATTGGCGTGAGTTATGTTCCCCTCGTTTTCAGTTTCAGCTTAGGCTTGAATAAGCTTTGCCATGCGGGAGAGATTAGCACTGATTCAGGGCACATGCCAGTGACGCACCTCAGCCACTCGTCTCGGTCATTGGAAAACTCACGGAGCCTGTCCAACATCTCCGTGCGATTGCCCCATGTTGGCCTACCATAGCTCTTGAGCTTCTCATGTAAGTTAGCCTTTGTTGTCTTCGCTGTTCTGTTACATGTTCATAAATTAAATCAAACATGCTGAAAGGGAGAGAAATGTGTGACGTGCACTGTCCAAGTGAAAGATTCCACTGCTTGTCCTGGTGTGTATGTTTGACCAAGTACAGGCAGTTCGAGCGCTTCCGAGTCAACATCCTGAAGTTTAGACATGGCGACACCATGAACTGTAATGTATTTACGTGTAAGTGTCGATGTTTAAATTGAATCAGGGGGTTCAAGTTAGTTTTGTTTCCATGCCGGTGGAGCATTTTGATTCTCGATCACCGGTCTGAACTCAAATTTTTCTATCATGTCCTTACTATGAGCCTTCAAAGGTGCTACTCTCTACTTTGCTGAGTCAAAACACATCAGCGTCGAGGCCGCTGAAGAAGATCAGACCGAGGAGGAGGAATCTCTCCTCAACAGCTTTGATGTTGATGACTGTGAAGCTGCTGGCACCCTTTGGTTGAGTACTACGAACACTGGCGAGGACAATGTGAAAAAGAAGAAGCTTAAACACGGCGTGGCGCATCACAATCAGTTAGCATCTAGTTTGCAAGCAGCATCAGAGGGAGTAGTTATCGGTACGACACTCTCTGACTACCAGAGGTATGCCATGAACCGGCCAAAATGTCTTATCTCACGCGCATGATCTTTCCAGATACTGGAATCAATTTACAGAGTTTTGTGTCACCATTGACAAAGCACAGGTTGCGAGCGAGATCAACGAGCTTTTTCCAGACCTTCCGGCCAAATTTCCGATGTGGATCGCACTATGGATCATGGATAAGTGAGTGCGTCAAATGTTCCATTTATTCATACTAAGCTATGGGATTAAGATGCGATGAGAACGATATATGGACTGGGAAAACAAAAGATCCCAGTCTTCCATGTGCGACATATGGCACAGCGCAGAAGATGCGCGCCACCATAAGCCACAAATTCAGCAGAGACTACCAGCTTGGAACACAGCCATGGTTGGAGCACCCAGCCATGCCGGTGTAGAGACTCGATCCTGAGTAGCCTCACAATGGCATATATTGCACTGTAGGTCGAGTCTACAATACTATGCATGCAACGCGACACTAGCGCGATAAACGCGACGTTCGCACGACGCGCGCAACATAGGCGACACTTTCGTGACATAGGCGACACTTGCGCGACTTGTGTGTGCTTTAGGCAAATTTTCCCGCGCCTAAGCGCCATAGGGCGCCTGACTTCCCACTGTGTTTTCCCATGTCCAACCAAGTTCCCAGGTATGCATTTCTCCATTTATCATTTGTTTCAACATCGTACCATGTTTTATTTTCACTTGGTACACATTTTTTCATTACACATTTTTTTACTTTACACAACACACATTACCACGGACCACCATCATCATAGACAGTCACCATCTCCGAGTTTTTATTATGTTTTGAATAAATCATCGCAAGCCCTAGTAGCAGTTAGCTCTAGTGGCCATATCCGCATCAGTTGTCTTATCAGCATCTCAGTACACGTCTTAACATCTCACTATCGCTCGATACCGCTTTCACCCAGTTCCGCTTTTCGACGCGCGACTTTCCTGCGCTTCGTGCGCCTATAGTGCCTTTGTTCCCGCGCTTTCGCCTTATCACGCGCTTTGCGCATTCCCCTAGAGTTGACCAGTGGATATTTGCTTTCTCTGCTTCCCTAAGGGACGAACATATCGCACTCATATTTTCCTCCCTTCAACAATTATATCAGCTGCACCCTCAGCTGAGTTGAAGATCCTTCACCGGGGAAATTCATCAGAAACCCGTCACTTTCGGTGACCATTTCACAGTATATGGTCAGTCTTCATTGGCAAAAGGTATTGGACTTTACCGTTCTGAAAATCAGCATGGGCACTGATTTCACCTGTAGATCCGAGCAGGTGAAGCGGTAATGAGTGCTCGTGCCATGGATGAACCTACCATGAAGAGGCTCTGGGAATTTGCATGGTCCCATGGACCGAAAGGAATACGGCCCAATCTCGCGCAAATGCAAAGCAGAAAACCCATTTGAATGGGCTGGATTTTTGCTCTGCACGATGCTTTATTTACTTTACCTTCTCTCCATGCTTTGCCTGCTCCGCTATGACGAAGCTTTACGGATCACCTGGGCTGATGTCACATTCCAGGTTCAAGACTTACTGATAAAAAACCACTGGCTTGATGCGACTCCCGAACTTTTCACCTCACAAGTCAGCTACCGACCCACAGCAGTTCCGAGTGAAGCTAGAATTACCCTTTCAAAAGACGCATCAGTATGGAGGTGAGTGACTGTATTGGCTGTTGCCCACCTTATGTCTAACCTCAAACCCACAGGCATAGCCCCATTCTACATATACGCTGATCCCGACCGGCCATGGATGTGCTTGCTGCGAGCATTTGCTATCTGGTGGCTGTTAGCTCATGAGAAACACGAAGACCTCAATGGGTTCATCTTTCGCAAAAAGATTGGTGTAGACAGCATCAGCGTGAACCCGATGGATTGCATGGTGAGCTCAAGTCTGTAGAACATCAAGAGAAGGAAGGTTGACGCGCTATACTCAGACCTCGGACTCCTTTCTCGAGTGCTTCCGAAACAATCTCCTCGACATTAGTGTTGACCCGTGACCATATGGTACCCACTCGTTTCATCGAGGCGGGTGTCAGTTTCTGCACACAGTGCGAGACTGGTCGTTTCGGAAGATCTGTGACTGGGATGGGTGGGCCGAGAATTTTGACAACCCTGGTACCATATTCAAGTACCTCTTGTCTTGGAACGACAATCCAGCAGAGGCCCGTGAACACTACATGAATCCAAACAGACCAGGGTGTGACCCCTGCTATAGCTGCGGAAGAACTTGTCATTGTGGTTAAATAGATACTTGCAATACATGTCAGAATCGAGGGAAAAGTGAAATCAGAACGAGAAACATACGAGACAGCTTCGAAGAACGAAATACATAAAAGTACAGTAGGTTGAAAAAAACAAAACGAGCGCATCAGAAAGTAAGATCAATAAAGTCGCGACTAACACCAGTACCATAGAGCACTGCATCGTCCTTGTCTTGAGTGAGGTCCATGACATCACCAACTGCCGCTGCCTCGTCATCGTGCATGAGATCAATGACGGTCGCAGAAGAGAGAGTAGCGTTTGAGGTGCTGGGATGATTTGGAGACAGCAGGATCATTGTCTGCACCCAAGAATCATAAATTTTGTCAGCAAGCCAAACTCAAACAAATTTGTGGGATCTCGGTGCGTGATCCTCACAATGAGAGCATCCAGGCAAATCCTCGAGCAACTGGAGTGTGGACTGCTCGAGGTCATGAGTGGGCACATCGTTATTGTGCCCTGGAACACCTGCAAGGGCTTTCTTTGGGCGCACAGCATGGCTCTGAAACACTGCCCTTGTGCAGGCCGGAGCAAGAGCAATCTGTATCTGACATCCGTCAAAATATTCACGTGCGAAGGAGAACAGCGACAAACCTCGTCACTTGCGGGAGAATTATTAGCGAGATCCTCGAGGACTTCGTGCAAGACCACAACAGGCCAAATTGTCGAGCAAAAGGTGCTGACGACCTTCTTTGATTCCCAGCCGAGAAGTTGTTGAACAAGTGAGGCAAGTGGAGCAATGTCGGGCAGGGCAGGGGACTGGAGAATGGGCAGCTTGGTGATTGGAGTGACAGCAGGCTGTGCATACAAGTTGATGATCCGTGGATCAGGGAATGAATCAGGGAGCAAGCGGGCGAGAGCAGGGTGAGAACGTCCCATTTTTCCAGTGGGATCATCCACAAGATGATAGCGAGTGGTGTCCCGCCACTGTTGCAGAGGCCCATCAAGGCTGTTGCCACATATGGCAGCACGAAGCACACCAGCATCCATGCAGCGAGCTAGGCCAAGCGCCGTCTCACGGCCACACCCTGGCAGGCCTTTCTAGAAGCAGGTCTCGTCAGCCTGGCTGACAACAAGTTGGTTTGACTTGCCTTATCATAGTCGCCAGCCACAGCAGATGGCAAGGGTAAGGAATCCGTCGTTGGTAAGATGGGGGTCCACATGCTCTTGAATGGCACTCGTTGTATACATTTTGACGGTCGAATCTATTGAAAATGTTGAGCTAAAAAAGAGTCAGCGGGGCATGCGCAAGAGAACATGAGAGACCTTACTTGCGCAGGACAGTCTGAGCACTGAAAACAAATGCGTCGCTGTCATCCGTCATGACAGCGTGAATAATACCAGGCACCGTTCATCAGTGCCAGCTGCGCCTCGGCTTCTCCAGCAGCCTGGATAGTCAGAATTGATATAGATGACAGCAAAAAGAAAAAGAAAAAGCTTACCATGATCCACTGGATGTTGAATGCATTTAGTAGGCGCTGTGTGGGCTTGACCATCCAATGGTCGTTGGTAGACACTCTGTGGCCCCATTTGATTTCGGATCGCTGGTTGCCGTCGAATACAAAAATCAATTGGACTGGGAGCCGGGCGAGTCGAGCGAGGCGAAACAAAAATGTTTGAAGGGCAGGATTCTGGCCTGTCTGAGCATGTGCATGGTGCCACCTGCCCTGCTGGCATTGTTCAAACCATGCACTAGAATTAAGAAGTGAGAATTGAATTTTTGACATCGGGGGTGAACACAGCGAGCAAAACACAAACCTTGCATCCACGCCTACAATATAAGGCGAGTGTGGCGTAGGTCCCTCATAGCGATCCTGGATGGCGAGAGAGATGAGGGGCACCATCGTTGCAGCAGGCTCAAGCACCTTGAACAAAGGATGGGGGTGAGTTTCAGCACCTGCCGAGTGAACAGTGGGAACGCGCCTCCCACAGGTCGTTGATGCCCATGACGAGGAGAACACTGGAAAAATAATTTAAGATCAGTAGGCTGATGAGCGCGGCCGCTACGCGTGGAGGGAGAGGAGAGGGGAGTCGAGAACGAGAAAGAGGAGGTACTCACTACAGTCTAGTGATGGATGCGTACATAAGCGGTGGCAGTACCATGTATGGTATGGCAGCCACCTGGGACTGTAAATCCGAGGACCGTCAATCTGCAGCACATCAGGATGCAGCGCGGTTTTTTTGGCGGGAGGGAAGGTCGAGTGGCCACCAAGACCGAAGGTGGGTGCAAACGAAAGATTGACGGTCCTAATGTGTGAAATTTGCAGTCTCTCGGTTAGCGTCTCGGCATTCTCCCACAGGCAGTGGCATTGTACTCACCCAGGAGCCTCCACCCCATCCAGCACTCGTCCAGAGCTCTTCCACGGCTCGAAAACGTCGATTTTTGCTGCCTACGGCGTCCAGGACCCGTCCGGTGCCCTCCCGGGAGGTTTGAGAGCCTCTCTGTGGTTCGAACCTTGCTGTCCTGGGGTCGCGTCGTTTGCCCGAGTTTGGCGACGTGGCGGCTCACGTGACGCGGGTGGCGGTGATCGCTTGGCTAATCCCGCACGGGACCGTCAATTTGACCGTGATCAGCTCTACTTCTGAAAGGGTAAACGATAAACGATTTTCATTGGCTAACTACGCTACTGATGTAACTCAGGCACCACATATAGTAAGTACCTCGTCAGCTCATTGATAAGACATGCCAGAGAAATAATCATGAACGTGGATGAAGATGTTGTAAGTGAGTAGGTAAATCAAATGAGCGCTGAGCCTTTCCGACCGACGGGTGCATGCTCGGCAACATACATTATGTAATCCATACAAGTGGCTGGCACTGCGAACAACGCTCCGCCAACGCAACCAAAACGCGACTTCATGGTCCAGGTTTTTGTTGATTATCGATTATCAATTATTCTCCAGGTGTATTGCCTAAAACAAAGAAGAAACGACAAGGATGGCTTTGTGCATTCCACTGTCTAAGATCTTTGTCCTCGAACATACTTAAGTCGACTCTCTCTCTCCACTTTGCTCTAGCAAATAACATGCAGACAGTAAAGGAGAAGCCAGCCAACTCAGGAGTCAACGTCCCAGATGCGCCACGAAACATCGTGAGTGATCGATTCCACAAATTACAAGCACTCGTTCATCATGATACTCATTCATCGTTTTAGATGAATTCACAAGTGGTCAAACCAGTCTGTCTATTCATTGTCTATTTCAGGTATATGATCTGATGCCATATTGACGATGGACCAGACTACGGGCCTCGGTCCCCCGCATTGCAGGAAGCCAAAGCTTAATCACTCTGCCCTGGAGCTCCAAGACCAGGAGATCAATACCGAACGATGTCAAAAGTCGGACGCGGTCTCGCACAAGACCTTGAACCTCGTTGATTCCGTCAGGGATAAAGCAAAAGACCTTGGCCAGCAGCTTGTGGACAAGCAGGACAAAATACCTGAATCGGCGAACCTAGACAAAGGACTTGGATCGGCTCTCGCGCGCTTACCAGATGACGTTTTATCCAAGATTTTTGACTACCATCTCATGGACAGCGACCATTTGAACCGCAGGTCAGATCCGTCTCCTATGCAGTTGGCCAGAGTGTGCCGACGATGGAGGGACGTTGCTGTGGGCATGGCCAAATTGTGGTGCAAACTCTCTTTTTACGTTGACGATGACCGCAAGGAATGGAAGCGGTCAGCTTTCTACTATGATTCATGGCTCAAGCGATCACAAGACCGTCCGCTCTCATTACAACTCCGCCCTGGGTATGCCGAAGGTGGGACGGCTAAACTACGACGCCTTGTTCAGCCTTACATGAGCCGAGTCTCATCTCTTGATATCACATTCTGGGACGACCTAGAACCAGAACATTTGCTAACAGACCTCCCTGCAGCGCTTCATGAGCTTACCGTATGCTTTGGCGACTGGTTCGATGCTTCAGCCACTGCACAATCTCTCTCGCAACTGCCATCTACTGTGCGTAGCCTCAAGATCCTAGATCGGACATTCGGCCCGGACTGTTTACTTTCTCTCAATCCTGTATGGGCCCACCTGACACACGTCGAAATCGCAATTCGTCCACGAAATGTGCTTCATTTCCTCGCTCTATGTCCCAACCTCTCCTCGTGCGAGCTCATCCTAGGTCAACCAGCGTTCATGTCCCCACGGGTTCAGTGCATGAGATTTACACACGCGAATCTTCAATCATTGCGCTTCATTTGTCCCGGGTACTTCGAAACTAACCCACTCCCGGTACTGTTCAATGCAATCACGCTCCCCAAGTTGCGCACCCTCGAGATTCGCTATGGATTTTTGTCGTCCCCTCATCAGGAGTTGGAGGCATTTCTGGAACAGTCGAAATGTCCCCTGGAGATCCTGATTTTCAACGCTGTTGTGACACCACCACCGGACCAGCAGGGCGATTTCATTGCTATCATTCCTTCCCTTAAAGTAGAATGTAGGTTGGATACCGGTACCGAATAACTAGACTGTTGATCTGTCCATACTTATATTATGGGGCGCGACTGCCTTGGCTGCACGGGTAGTGATATTATGATGTAGTGAGGATATCAGTGGTAGATGTTTAGGCAACTATATGTACCATCATGTGGATACAGCCTCTTGTTGGAATGCTGCTATAGCCAAGTGAAGTACAGAAGGTTAGCAATGTGCCCTCCCAATAATTAGGAAACGAAAAGAGAGCGAAGACCGGTGCATGCAATAACCGAAATGACAGACAAAGGAAGATGCTGAGATGTATCTGCAATTAAGAAGAGGACGCGTCGGCCTGGGGGAGCTCAAGAGACTTCTCATCAGTACTATCAGGACTGCGTTCTTCAGTGCGTAAATTTTGTCATTGATCCTGTTGCGCGAGGTCTAGTTGCTCGTGTCTGTCACCAGCGACTCTGGGTCATTACATGCCTATACTGTCGCCAAATGCTGTCCAGTCCATGAAGTCGTTCGCAAATTCACCGATCTGGGCTCTTATTAGACGGATATAAAATCAAGAATATGACAAGGCTTGCTTCGACTTCATCAAGACCGAGTTGTTCACCCTCAGCCATTGTGCGCGAGTGGAGGCCAGGAATAGTGTTGATGCACTTGGCAATAAGAGTAGTAACGACGAACTTGCATGAACACGTTGCGCAAACATAGGCAACTTGGACGTAAAGCTGTTTCCGATGGTGGTCGACCCAGCCACCAGGAACATTTGTGTTGATGCCATCCAGAGCGACGATGGAACAGGAAGCGAAAAATGCGTGCTAGACGGAAGAATTGCTTGGGTATTGGATATTGTTACAAACATAATATACAGCTACGTTGAAACGCGATGTGTGCGGGACAGAAAAGACAGCCAAGTAGTGAAGATGTAGGCAGGGCAGTAGAAGAGGTCATTAATCATCCAAGAGGTCCATGTCGTTATGAATTTGCCGGACGGTGGTTTCCTTCAAAGCGGCGAGCTGTAACAACATATGAGCATCTCTTAGAAACAGTAGAGGGCCTCGTAGAATTTGATACCCTTCCTATCAATAACTTCGACACAGAGCGTTAGCTTGCAGGATATGATAGAGGTCAGGACATGGTGGGCCAAACCTGAGTGGCATCCTTGGCTTCATTATAATGGTGCAATAGGTTTATGTGTCTTGATACGACAGTCTCGGCGCTCTCGTCCTCACTATAATTTGGTTCAAGGGGTCAGTGCGTTTCGTCGGAGTCGATTATCTGCTCCAACCCTATCCTCTTCTGTAGGACATCAATTTCTGCCTGAAGTTTATCGATGTATTCCTTTTGCGTCTATACATAAATTTAAACACACTTGTTGTACGAGCCTGACACGAAATTTGCATACCTTGGCAGACGTCGTGGCATGCATGATCTCGACCTCGTCGTGGATTCTGCACTCGAGGTAGTGGATGCATTCCATGAGAAGATATTGCAGCTGGAATACGATGTGTTGATGGAGCAGGATACGAAAGTGGTTTCAAGGTGTCCATTTCTGTTTGTGTTGACAACCCCAAAACTGGTGCATATTCTTTCCGGCGTGCTGCATTGCTCTCGCCTGCTGGGAAAGAGGTTCAAAAGCAAAGGAGAGAGAAAGTGAAGGGATTCATGTGAGTAAAATATACTTGGTGCGTCTTGACTTGTTTCAACCCTTGTAAGTTTTGGCCGAGTTGAGATGCGGTGGCAGGCGGACGTACACGATCATATGGAATATAGCATTACAAGCATGGACACGTTCGGAAGGATCACAAGTCCACAGCAATATCAATGCAGTTGATATGCCCCAACTGTCCTTCAGATACTCTCACGATCTGAGGTCAACTCTTGCTGTATCTTGCACGACAATGTCCAAACTGTCATTCACTGTCCCCAAACTCCCAGCAGCCGACCATGACAGGGCCGCCAGCGATAAATTCAAACTCAGCGCTCCCTCGTCGCCTCTCCAGTGCCGCAAGCCCTGCTTTTGGCTCCCCCACTCACGAGTTCTCCTCGTACTTTCAGCTCTGGAGGATTCCGATGAGCAGCATCGTGCTTGCTGATGGTGGCATACAGATGAGCCAAACTCTAGCAATGATGAAGACGACCGTCTCGAGGACAAGCTTATCACTTCTTTCAACAAGTTTAGTGCACAGCGGTACGTCTTCTTCCGCTCTTTTTCAACCTTTCTACAGCTCACAAAGGCGCGTATGCTACTCATAGTATCTACTGTAAATGGCAAAAGGCCGAAGACCAAAGCCCCTACAAGCCTTCTTGTCATTCCTTCGAAGCCAAGTCCTGACTGGCGGAAGGCAACACAGAAACGTCATGCAGGTGCTGCACGATTCAACCTTGACTCTGCAAAAGCGAGTGCAAGTGCAGACGGGAGCGTTGGAGGGCCAGGCACGCGCGATACCCTCGACTCCGGCCCCCAACTCTCAGGTATCCAGTCAGCAACAAGGAAGTTAGAGTCGACACCAGCAACGTCTACTGACGAACAGATAGATAAGTATGATAGGCAGAAGAACATGCATATGCGAAAGTGGAAGAGACAGAAGACCAAAAAGCCCTTCTGTTGGCTGGAGATATGGACTCGGCGCCCCAGATCGATTCTATTCCCGTTCCTCCCAATGAAACCGACGCCGTCCAGCAAGACGTCGCTGATCTTCCAGATGTTGTTACTATCGATGACTATGCACGTGTACGCATCATTGCGTTCCCTGCATATTCGCCTGCGGCCCAGTCTTTTCCGGCATTAGTGGTGTCGATCCTCTGACCGTACTTCCATGATAGAGCAGGTAGAGTAGGCGGTGGAATCGAACGGAGGAATGGACATAGTGGACTAGTTAGATGAAGAGAGCGATGCTGGCCCTGAATTTATAGTTACATGGTGCAGGTTACATATATATACTTTTCAGGCCTCTTGTCCTGGGCCGTCTAATGATCCATGAGGCAGTTCAGGCTGTGAAGAAGCACCAAAAGGCCCGGTACACGCACCTATGAAACTTGGATCAAGACACCCACAAGTTCTCCAGCAACTTTAACATCATCCACCTCGAGTAGAATGACGGAAGTAGAACAGTCCGTCATTCGAATCACTACGGCTACTCGAACATTTCAAGGTCATGAAAGTAGTGTTTTTACAGCTGCAGTCTTCCCCGATGGACGCCGTATGGTGACGGCCTCGTACGACAAGACGCTTCGTCTGTGGGACTTGGAAGACGGTCACGGTGTTGTATTGAAGATAATGGAGGGGCATCGCTTCCCCGTACGAAGACTTGCATTATCGAGAAACGGGCAATTCATAGCAAGCGGTGATGATGGCGGAGAGCTCATCGCCTGGAACAGGGAAGGCGAACCTCTCACCCAACCCATCAAAGTCCACTCCAAACGGATATGGTCGCTTGATTTTTCCCCAGATGGCACATTTCTGGCGAGTGGCTCATTGGACACCACAACGGAGCTCTGGGACACAAAAACATGGCAGGTGCAAGGAAATCCGATCGGCTGTGTTGCTGGAATCTCTTGCGTTCGGTATTCGCCGTCTGGTGAACATCTTGCCATCGCAACATTCAAGGATATCCAAATATGGAATCCAGGCAAGAGGCAATGCATCGCAAAGTTCCAGGGTCACTCTGCAATCAATGGAGCATGGAATGCTTCACTCGTGTGGACGCACGATGGCAAACAACTTGTCTCGACCGGTAATGACCGTGATCCCACCATACGGATATGGGATTCATCGACCTGGATGCAGGTCGGTGAGCCCTGGAAGGGCCATACTGGCTATGTCCAGATGATTGCATTAAATCCTACTGGCACCCTTCTCGCGTCCGCATGTGATGACCTCCAGGTTCGCGTTTGGCGGATTTCGGATCGACGAACCATCGCCATATTCAAGCACACCAATGAAGTGTTGTGCGTCACCTTCTCCACAGATGGGAAGCACATCCTGAGCGGAGGATTAGATAAAACAATCTCAAAGTGGGCAGGACCTTTTCTAGAGGACATTCTCAAAGACCAGGCATCAGATGTAAGTTTCTGTTCATTTTCCGTCCCTTCCTCATCTCAATTTCTTCAAGGATGCGGTACGGCCCGGGGAGGATGCCCCGAAGAAACAAGTGACAGATAATGTGAGTTCCCGCATTAATGGTCTCTTTGTATATTGATCTATAATCTTTATGCCAAGGCTCGACAGTTTGATTGCGAGGCATGTTTCTAGTCTTCACTCCCACCACGTAATCTGACCACGCGTGATGCAGATCCTCACCATCAGCACGACAGCCCGCGATGCATGCATAAGCGGGGACTTGTCCACTGCTGACAGGTTCTTAACACGAGATATCGGCGCCGATGGCAATGATTACAACTCTTACGCGAATCGCTCGTTTGTCAAGGCGAGAAATTCAGACTGGGACCGCGCACTTGATGACGCACTCAAGGTGAGGCGCACCGTTCCATCGTGATATTTTTAACACAAACTAACTTATATGATGATATAGAGCATCAGCATTCAACCATCATTGATAGGCTGTATCTCCAAGGGCATAGCCCACTGTGGAAAACAACAGTTCCAAGACGCGATGAAAGCATTTGACCTTGCCTTCATGTACGTGGACGCAGACTTGAATAAAACTCGTCTTCTACTCTTGATTAAGGTACCTCAATTGTGTCTCATGCATTCGCTACTTACATGACATCTGTCAGGCCATCGCCCTTTTCAACGCAGATCAACATGACGAGGCAATTATGCGGGTCCAAGAGCTAGCTACCACTCGTCCCGATGCGAATTCTCTTGTCTGTGGTATCGTGGAAGTGAGTGCTCCTGACACAGTCAACTCCAGATTCATGTGTCGATATTGATTTTGCGAACCTCGCACTTCAGGCTTATCTACACGTCCAAGTGGGAATGAATGCATCAGACGACGCACGTCACAACGAAGCTGCTGGCCACTTCACTTCTGCTGTCAACACCATTCGGTTCTCGTCTATGTCAGCCATCCATTCTAAATATGATGTCTTCGTGGTGGTAGGTTGATTGCAATGCAACTGGAAATCTTTTTTTTCACGCCCGGCTGTGCTTTTTCTAGTTATTCGGGTGGGACCTCAAGTCCTTGTGGCGAACTGCACACCAAAATTGGTGCCATGCGCTCCTTTGGGCAGGTAGACTTCCAGAAGCCATCAAAGCATACCGATATATGATGGATGCGGCTGATCAGGCTACGAAAGTACGCTGCCTTGATTGGTCCACTGGTAAGTGTTCGTGATGTCAACCGGTATAGTTCTCAACCTCATCTCACTTAGCTTTCAAGCAAGATTGCAGCGTGCTCTATGCTGTTGACGGATTGAGTGACCTCGCTGCGAGCGGAGATGCTGCCCTCGCTGTGGGTAATTACGACAAGGCTATCGAGCTTTATTCTGCGGCAATCGACCTTGATTTTGCAACCGAAACCATCTTTGCGAACCGCAGTAAGGCGAGGTCGGCAATAATGCTATGGGACGATGCACTCCTCGACGCGGAAAAGGTGCGATGACAGTTCCCGTTTCGTGTTCGACGCTCAAATTGGTGATACGCAGGTCATCGATCTCAACCCCCCATCTTACTTTGGATATCAGTTGAAGCATAGGGTACTTCATGGTGCACAACGATATGATGAAGCCATCGAGACCTTTAAAATCATGTTCTTCAAGTTGGAAAATACTCCTGACACCCAAACACAAAGTACGCCCCCAAATAACCACATCCTCAAACATGCTTGACTTTTTCTCCAGAGCTGCGCCAACAATACATCGACCCATCCGAAGCAGACGGAGTTATTCAAGAGACCATCAAGGCTCGACTCGACGACGCCCCGCGTCGTATGTTTAATACCTTTACTGGGCGCTTATGCGATCGAGAGGTACAGATCAATGCCTTCAAAACGAGCACAGAGTACAAGGAACTTTTGTCATCAACATTGGTGCACGTAGATCTCCCAATGCAGCGCATCCAAGATGTGGTGGCGATGTACTTCCGTTATGTTATGCTATCACATAGGTGGGAAGGGAAGGAGCCGATGCTACATGGCATCCAGGGCAAGGTGGTATACGGCTTGGATCCAGTTGGCGGCATCGCCAAGTTGCAGTCGTTCTGTCAAACTGCTTGTGATATGGGGTATCGCTGGACATGGATCGATACCTGTTGCATCGACCAGACTAACAATGTCGAGGTCCAACAATCGATCAACTCCATGTTTATCTGGTATCGCAACTCAGCGCTTACCATCATCTACCTGTCGGATGTTCCACCTTCGTCGCAGCCAGGCGCACTCGCAAGTAGCGCTTGGAACACGCGAGGATGGACAGTTCAAGAATTCCTGGCCCCCAGACTTGTACTCTTTTATCAGAAGGATTGGTCCCTATATCTCGACGATCACTCTCCCAACCACAAGGATTCCGTTGCAATCATGCAGGAGATGGGAGATGCGACGGGCATAGATGCACAACCCCTCGTTGCCTTCCGTCCAGGGATGAAAGACGCCCGGGAGAAACTGCAATGGGTGTCGGCCCGTGTCACCACGTGGCCAGAGGATATTGCATATTCGTTGTTTGGTATCTTCGGTGTCAACCTGCCTGTCATGTATGGCGAAAAGAAGCAAAAGGCGCTTGGGAGGCTCTTGCAAGAGGTCGTAGCTCAGTCGGGTGACATCAGTGCCCTGGACTGGGTGGGGCAATCATCCGAATTCAATAGCTGTCTGCCAGCCGATATTACTTCATACAAAGCTCTACCATACACCCTGCCATCTCTGTCCGAAGATGATATTCATACGTCAATCTCCTCACTCCGACATGTCATGGCTGCAGATTTGGTTCTGAAAATTTACGCCCTGCTTGACAACCTGAACGCTCCTCGTTTCGGGAACTGCAGACTCCATCTGCCTTGCATTGCATTTCGTGTCACAGCAGTCAAACGGAGTCGCGCTCAAGACCAGGAGATATATGAAGTCAAGGCCGACGGGCTTCATGACCTGCTGATCACCACGAAGGACAAGTTAGTTCAGTTCTCATCACCACGACTTACTATGCAGACATTCTTGCTTGTTCGTCCGTGGAATCGTTATATCCTCGAGCTTCCTGACTTCGCGGAGCCGTCTGGCTCGGAAGAGCTGCCTGACGTTGCTGACGATATGCAGAGCGAAGAAGGTTATTGGTCTGCTCCCGGGTCTCCATTACAGGATTCGCTTGGCGGGTTCCCTGAAGCAGAGGAGTTGGTTGATTCGGAACTGAGCGGTCGAGCGTTGCGATTGGCTGCTCGCCTTGAGCAGCCTTTTAACCCATTTTTGCTAGCGCAGCAGCGCGGCGGGGAATACAAGAGAATCGCGTCAGATCATGATATTATTGCACAAGTCAACGACCTTTCTTCTATTCCGGACATGGTCAGGACGCTAGAGATATTGTAGTGGCATGCATTTATGGTGTCATTTATATACAAATGATTGCCGCTGCGCGGCTCGTCTCGTGAAAGAAAATTCTGTGCGAGTTTGCTCGACTGTAGAAGATTCCTTTTGTATACAGCTCCAGCAGTTGTGCGCACAGTGAGGCGTTGGCTGTTAAAAGCCATCAAACCATCCCCGACTCGCCAGAGGAGGGCTTTGTTTTGGTGATCGGCTTTTTCCCTGTCATTCTCGTGGTTGGGGTATGCATCTGTTTTTATAGTCACTGTGTCAGTTAGTCGGAATCAGAATGACTGTATGCGGCCAAAGAATTAATTCTCACACATTCCCAGCTCCGTTTTGTTTTTATTTTCCTTCCTTGACACCGTGACTGCGTTTCCTACGCTGGTAACTGGTTATTCACATTTGTCCTCAAGGACTTTAAGCATTTGTCGTTCACGACGTTAAACAAATTTGTACTCAAAATGCATGAAGTTCTGAATGATTTGGTGGGCCAAACTTGAACTCGGTTTGGTTTTCGACGACTCGGAATTTCGGCGCGCTCTTCAACCAGTCGGTGTGACTCAACTTCGACAATGTTTAATGCAATTAGGTATGTGCCATATCCTGGAATGGTCGCATACGTGGTCGCAAATATATCGATTGATTCATCGTTTATCTGCATTTTTGAGGAGTATGTTGCCCTCGATTGTGTGCCGAATGCCGAACTGTTACGTCATCGTTGTAGTTCACTGATAATATTGTGATGTCCTGCGCCCCCGTCTCATTGCTGTGAATCATTATTTGACGCGTTGTGTGGAATAGATGTCATGTCAGCCATTCGCGATCACGCTATCTACGTTAATAACGAGGTTGTCGTGACTCGTCAGTTCCTCATGTGACATTGTTGCCTGCATGATGTTCTTGGTTGAATGTCAATGTGTCTCATCTTTTGGTCACCAGACTTAGCGAGCTCGATCATTTTACGCTGCGAACTATATTGGCAAAGATTCGATCAGACTGTTGGTGTTTTGTCGGGACGCTCGCTCGCTCGGTATGCTCGCGCACTACTTCTGTTCATATGCCGGTTCACCCGTTCTCTGTCAGTCGCTAATGACTCTTGCTTGTTTTATCTCCACTATCTTGACTTTCGTACCCTACATTGAGCTTGAATTGTTCAAACAGGATGCGAGGATAGCCAAGTACGTGTGTCGTCGAAACAACAATGCACCGGATGTATTTCAGTCATATTCTATGCAGTCAAGTGTTAACGAGGTGTTCCTCAAATTTAAGGTCTTCAACTCAAAGCTTGAATGCTCCAGCAGGGTGAAATTTGTTCACCGTGACAACAGAGCACTGAGCAACGAACTATTTATTGCTATGTGTCATGCCGTCAACTACACTGTCCAAACGCGAAAGTAGAAATACGACTCACCGCCGTCGGGATCCTGGCAAAAATGTCCGAGCCCATCCTACCATGCCAGTGAGTCATAGGGTTAGATGAAAACTACTCATACTCACAACACCCTTGAATCGTATGCATTCATAGCCAGGGCAGCATTTTTCCTTGTCGCAGAAGAAGGCACAGCGCCCGTCAGTGACAGGCATAGACACTGTCAACTTGGAAGCAGCAATGACGGCGACCACGAAGGAGAGACGCATTCTTTGTGAGATGTGATTTTGGCTTCCAAAAACAAATCTGAAGGAGACGCTAAGAAGACAGCTTGCTTTTATGTCCTGCATAATGTTTTGTGCAAAAGCCTATCCACCTGAAAATACTCCCTCAAACAGATGACATTTGCATTGCCAGCAGACCTTAGGATTAACTTGCCACTCTGTCCCCTGATAATGCGTAATTCCAAGCCGTTGTTTCACACGGCCCACGATAACACGGCAATCCCTGGAGTTAGGCTCAGGGGTCTCATGGATACCGAAAGAAATTCAGAGTCTTATCGTGCATTGGGGAACACGGAACTGGATACCGGGAGATCAGCGCCAGCGCTTGGCACTCGATCAGCAGCCTGTGATGACATTAGTAAAGGACTTAGGGGAAAACGATTGGTTGTTGCCCACTGTTGTCAGATAAGTTGAAGGACTCAGGTTTACTCGACCTGTAATCTGTTATTTCGGAACGCGCACTATGCGCGCGGGCCATTATATGTATACCAGCGAGATCATTAATGAGACTCAACATTCCCTGCTATATCAGGTACTGTTGCCATAAAAGCGAATTCAGTTTAATGGACACCAAAAAGAGGTTTCGGCGCGATGACTGGGCCTGAACCTCCGAGGATCTATACAGCGAAAAATGTTGACAGTAGGTTTCGAACCAACTCCACCGGAAACAGATTTCGACTCTGTTGTGGTAACCACATGGCTAAGACCAGTTAGATGGACCTGTGAGGAACCCATCTATGAATCAATGTCAAGGTGTGTTCCGATAGAAAAAGACCTGTCAATGGGCAGGTTTCGAACCTGCGCAGTCGAAGAGAAACAGATTTTGATTCTGTCGCAGTAACCACCTGGCAAAGCATCCATGAGTGAATGTTGAAGTGTGTTCCGATAGGGACCTGGTCATCGGCAGGTTTGACAGATTTTAACTCTGTTGTGGAAATCACCCATGAGCGAATATTAATCTTCAAGGGTAGTAAAAAAAGCCTGGCCTTCGGCAGGTTTCGAACCTGCACTGGCGCAGTCCAAGAGACAGATTTAGATTCTGTCGTGGTAAGCACTTAGGCCAGGACGAAGTTGAGATAAACTTTCGAAGAAACCATCCACAAGCGAATCTTCATGGCGTGTTCCGATGGAAAATAAAACCTGTTAATCGGCAGGTTTCGATCCTGCCCAGTCCAAGAGAAACAGATTTGAATTCTGTTGTGGTAACCACCTAGCTAAGACTACTTAAGCGAACTTCGAGGAAACCATCTATGAGTGAATGTCAAGGTGTGTTCCGAGTGAGAGAAAAATAATTCGTCAGCAGATTTCGAACCTGCGCAGTCCAAGTGAAACAGATTTCGATTCGGTTGTGGTAACCACTTTGGCCAGGACGCTTCCCAAATTGAGATGAACCTCCGAAGAACTTGAGTGACTCGTATCAAGGTGTGATGAGACATTTGTCGACAGGTTTTGAACTCATGAGATGCCCCCTGCGTGGGTTGAAACATTGTTTGCCATATGCATTGTAGGCAATTTGTAGCCGCGTGATCTACATGATGACAGGCTAATGGGACTAAACCAACAAACGGACGGATGGTGGAAGAATGTGGCAAAAAATGGCGAAAAGGCTTACCACTTGGCTTAGCAAGACTAGTCAAGACGGACGTCAGACGTCTGTAGAGCGAGTCGAAGACCATTATGCATTGACAGTAGAATCACGTAGGATTAGCCAACACTAAATGAAATAAAAAGACTAGTTCGATGCCCACAAATCATGCCAGGAATAAGCGAGTTGGTGGAGGTCGGGGGCTGGCGCCGGCGCCGGTATGAGTGACATGCAACTTGATGTAAGATGAAGCGGAAACTGAAACTGGCAGGAAACGAACGGCTCTTCTCAATGTTGACGTTGGGTGTTGAGGAAGAGAATGTAGGCTGGATACCGATACCGAAGAACTAGTAGGCTACTGACCTGTACGACGACACAACGTGCAATATGCGATTTGCACTTTTGTCGACTGTATCTTTCTATGTTGACGTCCTCGCTACCCAGTCCCGAAAATGCCGGGATGATTCTCAGTACCAATCTGAAGAAAGCAGGCCGCGTGAACGTGTTTGCATCCACCTAATATCAAATTTCTTATTGAGATGGTGTCACGTGAGTACTGGACTCATTTGCAGTTGTTTCATCATCATCATGTGTTGTTTTACATTTGTTTACCGCCATATATCCTGTCTTTCCTTCTTGACCTACTTGACTTGACATCAATTCATACCGATCTGAGTGTACACACATCCGGTGGGCCACGTGTATGATGATTTGTGGCGTATATATTTCGAGTCAACATTCATCATCGAGTCACTATATACTTTCATTTCGACGCATATACCGCTGGCCTTGGTTTGACGTATATGCGTCAAGTTTGGGCTGCATATCAATTTCGAATGATCATAACTGACTCTACCTGACACATGCACAGTGATCTCCGTTATGCAGTCCAATTTCGTCGACTTCGCAAGTCCCATCATGGCGCGTCTTCGACAGCCTGACACGGGACTGCATGCATCTGCAGACCACAGTCTGCTCGACCTTATCGCGGATTCTGCACCCGAAGTAGTGGGTCCATGCATTCCATAAGAAGATATTGCAGCTGGAATACGATGTGTTGATGAAGCCGGATATGAAAGTGGTTTCAAGGTGTCCATTTCTGTTTGTGTTGACAGCCCAGAAACTGCTGCATATTCATATTCTTTCTGGTGACTTGACGCATAAGCGGACCCTTGGGCTGCTCAAGACGGTCATTTATGGGCTACGGCGGTATGACGAGGACCGGCGTGCTGCATTGCTCTCGCCTGCTGGGAAAGAGGTCCAAGAGCAGAGGAGAGAGAAAGCGAAGGGGTTCATGTGAATGAAATATATTACCTGGTGCGTCGTGACTTGTTTTCGCCCCTGTGTATAAGTTTTGGCTGAGTTGAGATGCGGCAGCAGGCGGACGTATACGATCATATGGAATATATCCTTACAAGCATGGACATGTTCGCAGGGATCACAGGTCCACAGAAATATCAATGCAGTTGATATGGCCTAAGTGGCCTTCAACATGATGCTCTCACATTCCGAGATTAACACTTGCTGTATCTTGCACGACAATGTCCAAACTGCCATCCACTGTCCCCAAACTCCCAGCAGCCGACCATGACAGGGCCAGCGACAAATTCAAACTCTCAGCGCTCACTCATCACCTTTCCAGTGCCGCAAGCTCTGCTTCTGGCTCCCCACTGACGGGTTCTCCCCATGCTCTCTGGAGGATTCCAATGAGCAGGATTGTGCTTGCTGATGGTGGGCGTCAAAGGCTTGTAGATATCGATGTCGATCGCGATCACGATTGCAGCTGAACAACAGGTCGAGGAGTACATGTCTCGTCTGTTTCTGCTGTGTTATAGACTTTCTGCCCTGCAAATTTGCCTGCGATCCAGTCTTTTCCAGCAGGGGTGGTGTCAATTCTCTGACCGCACGTCCATGATAGAGTAGACGGTGGAATCGAACGGAGTGATGGTCATGGTGGACTAGCTAGATGAAGACAAGAGAGCGAGGCCAGCCCTGGATTTAAAGTTACATCGTTACAGGTAACAGATTACATAAAATATAGGTTTCAGGCCTCATGTACTGGCCGTCTAATGATACACAACAGGTTGAGGCTGTGAAAAGGCACCAAAAGGCCCAGTACACGCACCTCTGAAACTTAGATCAAGACACCCACAGACTCTCCAGCAAGTTGTGCCCGATACCATCCCCCTCGAGCAGAATGACGGAGGCAGAACAGCCCGCCATTCGAATCACCACACCCAGTCAGACATTTCAAGGCCATGAAGATAGTGTTTTTGCAACCGCAGTCTTTCCCGATAGACGCCGTATGGTGACGGCCTCGTACGACAAGACGCTTCGTCTGTGGGACTTAGAAGACGGTGTTGTATTGAAGATAATGGAGGGGCATCGCTTCGCCGTACGAAGACTTACAGTATCAAGAGACGGGCAATTCATAGCAAGCGGTGATGATGGTGGAGAGCTTATCGCCTGGAACAGAGATGGCGAATCTCTCACCCGGCCCATCAAAGTCCACTCCAAACAGATATGGTGGCTTGATTTTTCCCTAGACAGCACATTGCTGGCGAGTGGCTCACTGGACACTACGACGGAGCTCTGGGACACGAAAACATGGCAGGTGCAAGGAAATCCAATCAGCTGTGGCTCTCCAATCCGCTGCGTTCGATATTCGCCGTCTGGTGAACATCTTGCCATCGCAACAGACAATGATATCCAAATATGGAATCCAAGCAAGAGGGAATGCATCGCAAAGTTTTTGGGTCACAACGCGTTCAATGGATCATATAATGTTTCCCTCGCGTGGACGCCCGACGGAAAACAGCTTCTCTCGGCTGGTAATGAATGTGACCCCACCATAAGGGAGTGGGATACATCGACCTGGAAGCAGGTCGGTGAGCCCTGGAAGGGCCATAGTACTGGGCCTCTCAATATGATCGCCCTGAACTCTACTGGCACCCTTCTTGCGTCCGCAGCTACAGACCACCAAGTTCGCCTTTGGCAACTTTCGGATCGAAGAACTATCGCCATATTCAAGCCCATCGATGAGGTGTATTGTGTCACCTTCTCCACAGATGGCAAGCACATCCTGAGCGGAGGAAGAGATGCGATGATCTCAAAGTGGGCAGTACCTTTACTGGATGATATTCTCAAGGACCAGGCATCAGATGTAAGTTTCTGTTCATTTTCCGTCCCTTCTTCATCTCATTTTCTCCAAGGATGTATTACGGGCAGACACTTCGAAGGAACATGTGGAGGTGAGTTTCTGTTCATTAACAGTCTGTTCGTCTTGCATGTTGATCCTCAATCTTGATGCAAAGGCTCAACAGTCTGATTGCGAGGCTTGTTTCCACTTTCATTCTTACCGCACAATCTGACCATGCGTGATACAGATCCTCACCATCAACAAGACAGCCCGCGATGCATGCATAAGCGGAGACTTGCTCGCTGCTGACACGCTGCTCACCCAAGAGATCAACGCTGATAGCAACGACTACAATTCTTACGCGAACCGCTCGTTTGTTATGGCGAGAAAAACCGACTGGGACCACGCACTTGATGACGCACTTAAGGTGAGATACACTGTTCCGTCGCCACCTTTTTAATACAGGCCAACTTGTATGACGATATAGAGCATCAGCATCCAGCCATCCTTGATGGGCTGTATCTCCAAGGGCATCGCCTTCTGCGGTAAAGGGCCGTTCCAGGACGCGATGAAAGCATTTGACCTCGGGTTCATGTACGTGGACGCAGACTTGAGTAAAACTCGTCTTCTACTCTTGATTAAGGTACGTCGATTGTGTCTCGTGTATTCGCTACTTACACAACAGCTGTCAGGCCATCGCCCTTTTCAATGCAGATCAACATGACGAGGCAATTCGGCGGGTCCAAGAGCTAGCTACCACTCGTCCCGATGCGAATTCTCTTGCCTGTAGTATCGTGGAAGTGAGTACACACAGTCAAATCCAGGTTCCTGTGTCGATGCTGATTTTGCGAATCTCGCACTTCAGGCTTATCTACACGTCCAACTGGGAATGAATGCATCGGACAACGCACGCCACAACGAAGCTGCTGGCCATTTCACTTCCGCTATCAACATTATTCGGTTCTCGTCTATGTCAGCCATCCATTCTAAATATGATGTCTTCGTGGTGGTAGGTTGATTGCAATGCAACTGGAAATCTTTTTTTTTCACGCCTGGTTGTGCTTTTTATAGTTATTCGGGTGGGATCTCAAGTCCCTGTGGCGAACTGCACACCAGAATTGGTGCCATGCGCTCCTTCGGGCTGGTAGACTTCCAGAAGCCATCAAAGCATACCGACATATGATGGATACGGCCGATGAGGCTACGAAAGCACGCTGCCTTGATTGGTCTACTAGTGAGTATTTGTGATGTCAGCCGGTATAGTTCTCAACCTCATCTCACTTAGCTTTCAAGCAAGATTGCAGCGTGCTCTATGCTGTTGACGGATTGGCTGACCTCGCTGCAAGCGGAGATGTTGCCCTCGCTGCGGGTAATTACGACAAGGCTATCGAGCTTTATTCTGCGGCAATCGACCTTGATTTTGCAACCGAAACCATCTTTGCGAACCGCAGTAAGGCGAGGTCGGGAAAAATGCTATGGAACGACGCACTTCTCGACGCGGAAAAGGTGCGATGACAGTTACGGTTTCATATTCGATGCTCAAATTGGTGATACGCAGGTCATCGATCTCAACCCCTCATCTTACTTTGGATATCAGTTGAAGCATGCGGTACTTCATGGCGCACACCGATATGATGAAGCCATCGAGGCCTTCAAAACCATGCTCTCCAAGTTGGAAAATACTCCTGACACCCAAACACAAAGTACGCCCTCAAATAACCACATCCTTGAACATGCTTGACTTTTTCTCCAGAGCTGCGCGAACAATACGTCAATCCATCTGAGGCTGAAGGAGCTATTCAAGAGACTATTAAGGCTCAACTCGAGGACGCCCCACATCGTCTGTTTGACACCTTTACTGGTCGCTTGTGCGATCCAGAGGTACAGATCGATGTCTTCAAAACGAGCACAGAGTACAAGGAACTTTTGTCGTCAACATTGGTGCACGTAGATCTCCCAATGCAGCGCATCCGAGATGTGGTGGCGATGTATTTCCGTTACGTCATGCTATCGCATAGGTGGGAAGGGAAGGAGCCGATGCTGCATGATATCCAGGGCAAGATGATATATGACTTGGATCCAGTTGGCGGCATCGCAAAGTTGCAGTCATTCTGTCAAACTGCTCGTGATATGGGGTATCGCTGGACATGGATCGACACCTGTTGCATCGACCAAACCAACAATGTCGAGGTCCAACAATCAGTCAACTCCATGTTTATCTGGTATCGCAACTCAGCGCTTACCATCATCTACCTGTCGGATGTTTCACCTTCGTCGCAGCCTGGCGCGCTCACAATTAGCGTTTGGAACACGCGAGGATGGACAGTTCAAGAATTCCTGGCCCCCAGATTTGTACTCTTTTATCAGAAGGATTGGTCCCTATATCTGGACGATCGCTCTCCCAACCACAAGGATTCTGTTGCAATCATGCAGGAGATGGGAGATGCGACGGGCATAGATGCACAGGCCCTCGTCGCCTTCCGTCCAGGGATGAAAGACGCGCGGGAGAAACTGCGATGGGTGTCGACCCGTGTCACCACGTGGCAGGAAGATATTGCATACTCGTTGTTTGGTATATTCGGTGTCAATCTGTCTGTCATTTATGGCGAGAAGAAGCAAAAGGCGCTCGGGCGGCTCTTGCAGGAGATCGTCGCAGAGTCTGGGGATATTACTGCCCTGGACTGGGTCGGAACACCATCCGAATTCAATAGCTGTCTGCCTGCCGACATCAACTCATACGAAGTCCCACCGTACAAACTGCCATCCATTTCTGAAGATGAGATGCAGAAATCGGTCTCGTCGCTGCAAGACACTGTAGCTGTCGAATTAGCTTTGAAATTGTACAGCTCGCTCGACAGCATGAGCGCTCCGCGTTTTGCTCACCGCCGGTTGCATCTGCCATGCATCGCATTCCCTGTCACAGAAGTCAGACGGAGACCCACTGAACACAAGGAGACCTATTTTACGTATGAAGTCAAGGCGGACGGGCTTCATGACTTGATGATCACTACGGAGGACAGGTTTGCTTCAGTTCTCACGAGGAAGACCCGCTCGACAGTCCGTTCTTACTCGTCCGTCCCTGGGATCGCCGTCTCCTCGAGCTGCCTGACTATGCAGACGATACAGACGTGGATGACTTCACTCTCCTTGAGTCGCCTGTAGAACAGGGCTCGGTTGATTCAGACTCGAGCGAGCGTGCAATGCGAATGATTGTTCACCTTGGACAGCCGTTCAGCGCATTCCTGCTAGCGCAACAACGCGGCGGAGAATACAAGAGAATCGCATCAGATCAGGATATCATTACACAAGTCAAAGACGTGGATTCTGTTCGCGGTATGATGGATATCAGGATACTAGAGATATTGTAACTGTGTGTACCCATTTGTTTTGGAAGAAATAGATCTCAGCAGTTTTCATCTTCGACATTTCTTTCTTTACCTAGTACTATACAAACGTCACCATATTGCATTGCCACAATGGACAATAAACACGGGTCAAAAAGATAAAAGCAATCCGGAAGGGTCGCAAAAGTGATGCCAGTACTATCAGCACTATATGGATCTCTCTGCCATTCGTGTTCAAGTAATGTTGTAACCGACTGGGGGTGACCAAATATGAATTTGGGCATGGCGTGTTTGATCGTATGTAATTATGTTACACGTCGCAGGGTATGCGATCAAGAGGCAGGTTTCCGTGGTGCTTATCGGGATTCTATAGAAATGTATAAGTTAGTGTGGGGGGATAAGCAACTTGGTGTTCGTACTTCTGTCTCTGAGAAGCTAACCATTCGAAGATCGTCTGAGGAGGACCGGTGAGCGAATGCTAGTTTCGTTGTGCCAGTGCTATTAGTCTCCCTTGAAACGGGCAACTCCGAAAATGAACGAGAGGATTCCGAGTTTATCGATCGTTTAATGCCTTTGCGGCTATTGAGAAGGACAAGGAAAGAATTGCTGTACAATTTCGAGAGCATAAATGCTGGTACCACATGGTAGAAATTATGCTTGAATATCAGAAACAGGGTGAGCTCGATGATAGCAATCACGGCTATATCGTTGGTCGTGAGTGATACAAACATGAAAAAGATATTGTATACACACCACTTGCCATGCCAGTCTCTATAGTTATCTTAATCAACCTGTTGAGCATTGAGTCTGTAGCACGAAATCCAGTGCGGCTTTTTGAGAGCTTTCGGCAAAGTCACGTATAGCACTTCAGATGTACTACGAACTTACAAAGTAAAACATGGCGCAGCAAATTATAATATCGCACAAGGCAGTTCCCCCAAGCCACACCTGTAGACGAGTAAGAACATAACCTCATAATATGGGGAGAACACATACTGCAGTTGTTTTGAAGGTATTCTCCTGGGTTCCTGGCACGTTTTGTGATATGTATATTTGGATACCTTCAGCCATTGCTGCGGAGCCCTGCACTAATGCGATCTGGTTCAGAAGTGGTCAATAGTACTATTAACCGAACATAATTGACATCGTCTTACAGCCGAGATCGTTATTGCTAACACATATGACTTGCTGAGGATGTAGAGGCGCCATGCATAGAAACACTGGATCGTAGCGCTGGCTACACGTACGATGCCACATGAGTATGCGATCTCTCTCGTTCGGTAGAGGACCAGAAGACGCACTGAGGCCGGTTAGAAACGGAAGATCAAACCAAGAGAACCAAACGTTTGACAAATCTAGAATGTTTCCCCATCCCAATGCGAGAGTGTGAAAAGAGTCGTGGGTCGCCATAACGAGTTGTAAAGTTTCAATGACAAAAAGACCGTATACAATGGACTTGATCAATCGAGTGTCCTGAAAACGTGCTTGGTGATAGGTGTCTTGTATGGCAAAGTTACAGTTACGTCACAGGGTATACCATGTTAGAAACATCAATTGTTACTCACAAAGCTGAGTTGCCAAAACACCATACAGGCCCCAGTTAAACTGGTATCCTAGAACCTACAAGTCCATGAGGCTCGATAACCTTGAAGTAACCCGAATCAGCCTACCAAAGGACCTGTTCTATAATCCGTGACTCGAGAACTACGCGAAAGAAAGTATCATGCTACTTACAGCTGTATCGTTGGTGGAACGTCTGCCATTTTGCTGAGTCAGTAAGTGTTGGCGAATGCGAGTTTATATCATCAAGGAAGCCAGCCAATTAAAGAGATTGGAAATCGGCCTCGGCCTCGAGCTGAATTCATTCAATTGTCAATTTTCTGGAAACTTGCCTCAACTTCAATTGGAAGTAAGTTTAGGCTGTTTAGTTGATCAACTTACGTTCAGAATCATATTAACATCTACTTTTATACCATTCCCTACGGTCACTTCTGCAGTCGAGTGGTCACAGCTTCGTGTCTTGCATACTACTTACATGCGCTTTTTTGCGAGGATTCTTGTGACATAGTATCGTTACGTCGCGTGACAAACCATCATGTTTCCGTAGTCCACATTAATGTGATTCAGGCTGGCAGGGTTACTGCGAAGTGAAGCGACATTACGTACGTACTAGATCAGTGGTGTTGGGTGAATTTAAATATGAATATTTTACCTGTACCTATAGATGGCAAGCGAAGCTTCTCGAATCTCCTATGAGAATTTCTGACTCCGCGGAGTCGCCGTTCATCTTTACGTTGTTTGCTCGTCGTTGGCGAGCGGCCAAGGAGATGTTGAAGGTAACAGACTCCAAAATGCGCCATGCTTGAGGCCTTAGATCTAGTTAGCATCGCTACTAGTAATTTTGTGCAGTACGACTTGTAAACCAGGTAACATCCAATGAATTGCTTGTAGGTGCCACTTACGGGCAGTCTCATAATTAACAGGTATCCATAACGAACGGCACACGTGTAGCAGCCTGCTGGCCTCTTGGTTGACGGATAGACTTAACCTGACCCTGCCAGCATTGTTGGGTGCGTGTCAATACATTGATCACTCGTGGTCAGGGCTTACAGAGCGGAGGTCGGTTGAAATAACACGGCCCTAGAAGAACAAGAAGTGCACGCACATGTAGTATGCATGATGTGGTTCTCTATTCGTCACTTCAAACGCATGCTAGTGCGTGTACAGCATGATGTGATGTGATTAGTGTCTGGTGACCCTGTTATCATCCGGATCTTTGTTGGTTCCTTCAACGATTCCAAACCCCGAGCAAACCAACCAACCATGTATCCCCACTGCCCGTACGCTCCCCCACCCCCTGCTACCATCTTTTCTGCGTTAACGTGTCTCTCCCTCGTTACTTGACATGGTGCTTCCTGTTGCTGATGTGGTATTAGTTAAACTTCAGCAGGATGTTGTGTTATTTGTATCCTAGCATGTAGCACTTCAACGAATACAACTATATGATGGATAGTGTTATACAAGAGCGCGTGTCCATCCACCGTAAATAAAGCGCGCCTTGAGTCCTGGAGTAGGACGAGAGCAGCGAAAGTTAAGGAAGAATGAACTTTGGTACGATGAAGTGAATATTCGATAAAATGGCGAATATTTACTTGTGAGTTAGAAGGGGTGTGGGTATCTGGACAAGCAAAAAGATGGTTAATGAAGAGCACACAGCCGCGAAGCCTGCTCATGGCCATAAACGGATCAGAATGTCTTGAGTAGACTGAGGTTTGGGTGGTGCCCAGGCTATCATCATCCACACAGCGCACCGTCGAGAGTACTGAATTGTGAGACGGAAACATCGGCGAGACGGAGTGGAACGAGTAAGTCGTCAAACTCACTAGTCATGAGTGCAGTGATATGGTTGTGTATGATAGTATGTCGCGGCCACAGACACGGCTCCGATACTCTAATATCCGGTCGAAGGGCATTAACAAGTGTGCAGAGTGACGCTGACATGGCCACGTGAATGATATGGTTATTCGGGGCCGCTGCAAGTTGCTGAGCTTTTCCCGTACTTCGAACGTTATTGCGGCACTCCAAGTTCAGCGCTCAGCGCTCAGCAGTGGCGCATCCCTAGCGAATATCCGAATGATAATAGTTTACCATGAACTCCGATGCTGATGCTGATGCAGATGCTGTTCACGTACACTTCAAGTTGGAGGAGGAAATTAAAATAACAAGTACTGCTATGTATGTACTACAGACTCCTACCCATCGGCGGGTCCAACATCCGACCAAACACAACCAAGCTCTGTTTCTCCGACGATTTACCGAAACTTTTTGGGCTACTTACACACTCGCCACTGGTGGATATCCACCGTACTCACCGGTGAATAACTGACCCCCGATTTCGCCAGGGTGGATATCCACAGTGGACAACCTCCCAGAAGGTTACCCACGGTACACTACTCGAAATATGTAGCTGAAACAACTTGTGGCATGGATGGGAAAAACGCTCAGCCATGATGCAGGATGCAGGAATGCCGTGCACAACATGAGTGTCTGCGCGCCCATCACGTTTCGATTTCATGTGCCACCCAGCACAGGCTAGCCATACCAGTGCAATTCTGAATTTATACAGCTAGGTTCGGACACAAGACACTCTGATAAGCGATGCATCTCCTTTTTGAGCAGGGCAACTTATTAGTATATGAAACTTTTCGCCTCGCATTAACTCCGTGATGCCCACTTGGTGGAGTGCCCAAACTCGAAGTCATGTCCACACCGATGCAGTTACGAGCGGTCAACGTTTCCTCCAAGGACTTGGCTCTGATATCATTCACTCTTGTGCTGTACGATCACGTTATCACGTTTGCTGAAGAGGTAAATATTGTCGCCTCCATAAATCCTAGACTGACTTCTGACCTGCCGTTATCATTCCAGATAAGTTTCTTCTGGACCGGGCCATGGTCAGCTTCAAGAATACTATATCTCAGCGTAATGCCGTGGATAGATTCTGTTTTGTCGTTTGTGATTAATTGTAGGTTCACAGATCCGATACCTGGCTGTGACACAAGTATTGTGCGTTTGACTCCATCCCATAAAACTGCACCTGTTGACGAAATCGATTAGCTTGGTGCTTTTTGGTCCGTCAGCTTGAAGATTGCTTGTCGTAGCTCTGGCAACTAATATCCGAACAGCAGATGTGAAGAGCCTTAGTTCTCTCGTGGGTGTTTTTAAGTTGCGCATATCGTCGTTGGGGACTTACACACAACTTTCAACAGGGGTGAGTTTGTGCACCTGACAAGGTCCCAGCAAGACCGGCTTACATTGAAATACTAGCGCTAGCCAGCTTTTTGTCGTGGATTACCTCCTTGCATTCGTGGTTATGGTGCTCTGCCAATGTCCGTCTTTCACTTTCCCATTGATCTAATTGCCTTCACCAACGGCGAGTCTACAGGTGTCGTGACATTGCGAGTATGGCATCTATTCAATCGGAGCCGCTTCATTAGATGGCTTGCGGCCGCTGTTTTCATCAGTTCCATGATAGGAACTGCAATTGTTGGCGGCTTCAGTTTTCACGACGTCAAGAATGCCTACGATATCACCAACTCGTCTTCGGGGAGCCCTCCAGTGTTATTCACAATCTACTTGCCATCCTTGATCGTTCACACGGTCATGTTCTCACTGACCATGTATCGCTTTCGCGCCAGCTCAGGACCTTTGCAAGAACATGGGATTATCCATCGGTTCTTAAAGGAGTACGCCCCCTTGTTGATCGCAAGCTAGTTACTAATGTTTGGTTAGAGGGATGTTTATGTATGCATTTGCTGCCGGTGCATATATCTTCATTGTTCTCACTTGACAGACTCTGAAGTAAACGATAGGAACGCTACTGTACGAAATCATCTGCCTTTCCATGACTAAACCAGATGACATATCCGTAAGTTTCCCATAACTGCAAACACTATAACTGAAAATCGGTTCCAGATCTACTATCCAGCCCTTGGGGGAGGGTAAGGTCGTGCCATCCATGTTGTTCACTGAAAGCTCACAGGCAATATTTCCCAGATTGGCAGTAGGAACCACAGTCGTCTCCGTCTGTCGCGCGATGCTTAGCATTCGCTCATTGGCTGCAACTCACCATGTCGATCCTGTATGGCTGCTTAACCATGCGGAACTCAGCCGTGTTCCATGGAGGAGAGGAGCTAGTGAAGGGGAAATCTATGTCGAAGTGGATGCGCTGGAAGTTTTCCCTCTCGGTGACTAACTTCACCGGCACATGTAATATGAAAACACGAATCTAATCCATGTATGTCAAATATTATTTCTCGATCCAGTAGATACTTTGTAGGTATAAAGAAAGACAATATGTAGCACTTACCGCCCCTCTCTGCTTATGAATTTATTTATGGCATGATTTGCTGTCGTGACCTGGATCATATGCAACCTTGTGACCTGCATAAGTAACTTACCTGTCTTGAATATTGCGAACCCCGATACGTGTAAGCACTGAGGCTCCCGCAGGAAGAAACCCGGGTTTACGAATGACGTGATTTGATGTAAACGACATCTGTGATGGTCTGGCCTTCAAGCGCAATGATTTTCTAAATTCCACGGGAAAATTACCCTAGATCCTAAGCTCTCTATCCAAAGGTAAAACTACTAAAGGAAAGATGTACGTTGATCCGAGTCTCAGGACCATGCAGCTTTGATCAAATCCGCTGCTCTTTCAGCCAAGGCATAAACGCATGCTTGAGGATGTCCAGCTGGTATATACGGCTAGAGAGATGTCAGAAACCTTGGTCACGTAACGCCAAGCTGCGACTCACTAAGACGGATGCGTCAACGATTCGCAATCCAGAGCACCCTTTGACGAGTAAATTTGGGTTGACCACACCATCCTGGCTGGAGTAGGATGTCATTCGAGCGGTTCCAACTGGATGAAATACCGTCGACGTTGAGTTCCGAGCATACTCTGCTAGGTCTTCGTCTGTCGTGGAATTAAGAGTACCAACAGCTTGGATAATGTAGCCTTTCCAAGCGGGCGCCTCGACGAATCGCTTGGCAGCTTTAATGGCTTCCACCATTACATAAAGATCGAATGGGCTTTCGAGCAACGCAGGGTTGACGATTGGATTATCAAAAGGATCGCGCGACGCCAACGTCACTGAACCACCTTAAGATCAATCAGTGACTGAGCATGCGATATGCACAAAATTACGCACGAGATAGTGGAGAAATTACGTTTGTTGCAATAGACAAGAAAAAACCCGTCGCTGGGGTGTTTTCAACGAATGAGACAAATCCATCCTGTAACGCACGTCGTCAAATTACACGAAAGAAATGAAGAAGACAGACTTACGACGGGCATGAGTTCATAGTGAGCAGATGTCGGGCCAGCAGATGGGTCAGGATACTGTTGGAAGATACTTGAGTTTGGCGCAAGTCGCATCCAGCCAATTTGGTTGGCACCGGGGTCCGAAAAAAGTCCTGTGCCAGTCGTATTCCATTGTTCGAGCAGATCAGCAGCCAGAGATGCATTTCGGCCAACTGCTTCGAACGTGGAGGTAGAATTGACGAGCCAGTGATTGCCTAAGAAAGCGTGGTCAGAAAGATTCTTGCCGACGTCTCCAAGGTTAAGAATGGTAGTTATATTCAACGACGGAAGAAATGCCGAGTCGCCAACACCGCTCAGTTGCAAAAGTTGAGGTGTATTGATCGATCCGCCGGATAGAATGACTTCTTTGCTTGCATTGAACAACAATCGTGGACCTTGCGAGGGCATGAGTTGAGAATACCAGGACACAGAAAAGCTACAGCTACCTGTTGGGGTTTGAGCCACCTCTACTTGGCCGAATGTCGGAACGCCATTTACATGCGAAACCGCTACAAGTTTCGTGACGCGAGTTTGAATGAGGACATCCAGGTTATCTCTTTCCATTGCAGATGCTAAATATGCTGTAGCTGAGCTGCTCCGAAAGCCTTTCGAGCTCACGGAGTTCTGCGTCCATCCTAAGACTAGTGAGTAGTTGTTCTTGGCTTTACTAGCATTGCCTGACCAATTCCGAGAGGATGACCTGAATTCATGTCTATGTTGTATGGGAACTCGGAGACAAATTCTCTCGTTGTATCAATAACACGTTGATCCACGCCACTGATGTAGCCACCCAGGCTTACTTGCACAGGCCCCTTCATACCGTGTATAGAGGGATCCACCTCTCCGAGTACACTACGGTTGTCCGTAGGAGGCACCAAATGTTCGCTCTGCAGTCAGTTTTAATAGAGCCAGATCGGCAAGATGAGGATATTTACTTTCTTCATGTAACGAATCATTTCATTCCACGACCAACCAGGATCCGCGGATACTTCCGCAAATCGATTGTAGTCATCTATCGAGCCTCTGGTCCATATTTCAAAATCTGGAACCTTATTAGATCTTGCATCATAAGAATATTTGGACTTACTGATTGTACTTGAGCCCCCAAGAACGTATCCTCTCGGATATGGTATAGTCCTGTTATTGAGACCGATTTGAGGTGTGGTCGTGTAATTCCAAGTGACGGCGGTGTTCGGGGAGAGAGTAGAACCGAGGAATGGCACTTCAGCAGCCAGGATATTTTGGTTACTTCGAAAACATTGGTAAGTAAAGAGCGGCTAAATCAATTATCAAATGCGACCTACCTTGAACCAGCTTCTATCACGAGGACAGAAAAAGCAGGATTCTCTGACAGCCTGGCTGCAATGACACTGCCTGCTGTTCCCGCTGATATTTCGGCGGGATTGGCGGAGCAGTTTAGCATCGATCAGCAAGCAAAGAAAACTCTTCACCTCCGACCACGACAAAGTCGTACACTCTCGTCGGCAACTGAGTCGGATCAGTGTACAACGTAGCTGTAACATAACTCTGGAATGCTAGTCCAGAAAGGAGTAGAACTTCCAGAAGGCGCAACATGCGGTGATGCAGGTGATGTCCGGGGTGTTTGAATCATCCATCATCTTATAGGCCGGTAAATTCGTTGATACATGATCGTTGATGCTGAGCGGCGACCGGCGGACACTGTTGGCAAATATTATTATCATTAATGCTAATAGTAAACCGTCACCATTCTAGGGTAAGTTACGGCAAAATTCGAGCATGATGCATCTGATGGGCGCATGACTCCACGTACGTCAATTTATCATTGTAACGTGTATACATACTTTCGAAACGAAACGTACAGATCACATTTCACAAGCTCCGATGCCGGAATTTAAAGCCGCAGCTCACGTGCACGTGGGCATTATGTGCTAATCTTCAAGAACTTCGGTGAGGTATTTTTGCTTCGAAGCTGTGAATTGATATAACTAGTAGTGACCGGGCGTTCAACGTTGTAAACACTGAAACTGCTCTCTGAGAATCTCATACGGGCCATCATATAGGCTATAGCCAGCTTTTGACGACTGGCAAGGATACCCACTCTCCTATCCACATATCCGTCTGTTTCAACTGGACTCCTCGAATAACTAACATATTCAAGTTCATGGCACAAGATAACATAGATCCCTATTTGGTACAATTTGCACCAGACGACAAGGAGAATCCAAAGGTACGCTGTCTATCTCAAGCCTCGTCTTTCAAGCTCTAGAAAATGTCTAACGACCAACGTCAGAACTGGAGCAGGCGGAGACGTTGGTATCTCACATATTTTGCGGGGTTATTAGGATTTAATGCGTTGGTGGTTCCTGTCATTGAGTTTGAACGTTGCAAGTCGACTAATAGTGACTAGCACATTCGCTTCTTCAGCGCCTTCCGGCATTGCTACCCAACTGATGGCTCAGTTCAAGCTCTCTGAAGAGGTTGCTGCATTGACGATCTCACTTTTCGTAGCGGGGTATTGCGTCGGACCCCTTTTCTGGGGCCCACTATCGGAGCAGGTAGGCCAACTCTCTTCATGGAACAAGATTTTCTTGACGAGTTACCAGTATGGTAGAAGGGGTGATATTCCTTGTCACCTTTCCGGTATACGTTGTAAGTGATGGTCGCACTCTAACCATTAAGACATTTGACACACATGACGCACCAGTGTTTCCAAGTTGGTTGTGCACTATCGAAGAATACAGCATCCATTATTGTATTTCGTTTGCTCGGCGGTCTGTTCGCCGCCGCGCCGTTAACCAACAGCGGGTACGAGCTCAATTCGCTGAGTCAACTTTTCTTGACCAATGGCCCCCAATCAGTGCGTTGATATCAGACATGTATGTATAGATTGGTCCTCTCCTTGCCCTGACTAAAAAGGTCTCATAGTTGGGATGCAAAAACGCGAGGGAAAGCGTTGGCTCTATTCACCCTTGCACCTTTTGTTGGACCAGCCCTGTAAGCGGGCGTATGATTCACCTGACGAGGACTACTTACATAGAATTTTCCCCAGTGGACCACTGGTTGGGGGCTATATTGCTCAGTCGGGGACGCCATGGCCTTGGTTGTTTTGGGTTCTCACCATATTCGTAGGTCGCTTAACCAGGAACGAGTATATTCACCGACCTTTCATAGGCTGCAGTGTGTTTTGTGCTGATCTACTTTACTCTACCGGAGACATATGCGTTAGTTGATACAATTCCTGGTATTCGTTGGACCCCGTGCTGACATGATACACTCAGTCCAATTGTCCTTCTGCACAGAGCGAAGCAGCTTCGTTTGGAAACGGGCGACGAGCGATATCATGCACCTCTGGAGCTGGTCCAACAAAAGCAGCTACACAAGCGACTTGAAGATAGCCTCGCTAGGCCATTTAAAATTCTCATTTGCGAACCAATGCTCATCGCAGTCACCGCTTACATGAGTGTAAGCTCTCATCTCTTTCATCTACTTTGACCTTACTGTCATGCAGTTCGTCTATGGATGTGTGTACCTGTTGTTCGAAGCATATCCTGTAGTGTTCACGGGAGGACACACGTTTTCAGCCAGGTATTTTGCTACGTTTAGAACTCAAATTGTATTTATCTTTGCCCTAGGGGATTTGGGGTTGACTTACCTACCTCTGGTCGCGGGCAGCATATTGGGCGTTTTTGGAGTGGGTCATGCATTTTTCGCCGTTCATGCTTATCTGATTTTTCCTAGTATCTCTTGATATTTCACCCTCAGTACGAGGCAGCGATGGATAGGCACAAAGCAGGACTGGTTTCTCCAGAGATACGTCTTAATCTGGCTATGTCTGGGGCGCCCCTATTCGCCATCACCTTCTTTTGGTTCGGGTAAGCACAGTTGATACCCAAGTGGTCTTGCAAAGTCACATCTATTTGTAGATGGACATCCTATCCATCCATTTCATACTGGGCGCCAATGATGGCAGGTGCTTTAATGGGACTCTCTTCGATTTGGATCTTTGTAAGAACTTTCTTTCATGTCAAATTTCATACGTTAATGAGTCGATCGCGTTTTCTAGCTTGCATTATTTAACTATATCATCGGTGCGACGAGAAGCTCCTTCTTTCCTCATTTGCTCAGTTTTGTATAGACGTCTATCTCATTGCTGCTGCATCTGCCCTTGCTGCGAACACTGTTTTTAGAAGTGCTGCAGGCGCTGTGTTTCCTGTACGTATCTTCTTTTGTGGCATTGGCAGTCGGTGCATGATTCCCTTGCAGCTATTTGCGTCACAGATGTACACTGCCCTTGACCCACGATGGGCTTCAACTTTACTTGGCTGTATTGCCTGCATGATGATTCCCATCCCTATTGTGCTGAAACGGTCTGCATCTAATTTTGCTTTGGAGAACCTGGTGATTGATTATCTTTTGGACACAGCTATGGACCCACATTGCGTGCCAGGTCTCGGTTTGCTCCTGCGCTTGTTTAAGATGAATGCACCGCTTTTACTCCCCAGGACGTTTCCATAGTGCTGTTGATGAAGTTTTCAATTTTATCAGCACATACATTTCCGTTGGACAATCTAGCTGAACTCTATACTAGAGTCGGGGAATACGTTATATTTTTCTGATGCATGGGGGTTTGACCCCATGTAGTATATATTGGAGCGATATATCCGCGACTATGTGCCTGCGTGTCGCGAGCAAGGCAAGAAGTAGTGAAGAGCACTACACTACGACAAAGTCCTGGCCAAACGGGTGCTACTCCGCCCCTTGCATAGGGGGCCTCACTCCAGTATCCTCTAATATATGCCAAGAGTTTTCTCCGTGTTGGATATTCAATGAGGTCATACATAGACCGCAACTCATCGAACGCTCGTTATTATCACTAACCGTATATAGTATTCCGGATATTCCGGAATCCGGATGCACTCACTTGAACATGTGAACCATCATGCATATGGTCTTTTATCCGGGTCTGAGGGTACGTCCGAGCCAAATCCTAGCTACAATATTAACACTAACCTACCTAGGAATATTCACACCTTTGGTATTTCGTCACTCCGCTTTTTTAATAATACGAGACCGTAGATCTGTAATGTCCGCCATTGCCGCATTAGATTGTTACATCAAGTTCGTAACAAGCCTCCACGGTCATGCATGCCACATGGTGCATGTGATCAGTGGCATGATGATGGTTTGATTATGTCCTACCATCAGATGGCACTGACTTATCCACAACTTCTTAAAGATTTTGCGCGCTAGGGTTCCGAACTAGTCGGCTATCTCGCACACATTTCAGCCTGGTTTATGAAGACGGAGCCAGATTGATCATGAGTAACGTTCTGCTATCATAATGAGAACAATACTGCTGTTCACCGTCTCAACCGGCGACCGCATTCATCCGACAGGTTTGTGAGTCGCTAATAGCAGCTTATAAGCCTAAAGAGATGAACAAAGCCCTCCAATTGCTTCGAGCTGCACAGCCGATATACAACTTTTTGTTGAACCATCTGTTGGCCGCAATGCAGACCAGCGCTTTCGCACAAAGTGCCAGTGATACATTATTCGGCTTTATTTTGACGATTTTTCTGTTTGTCAAGTCAGACATCAAAACTACGTTGATTCCAATCGTAAGTCATTAATTCGTGGTATTTAAAGTACTGATACATTCCGCATCATACCTTGCTTTCAGACAATATTGTGTGTCAGTTCAGCTCCCCTTTGCGCCCCAGATCGCATTTTTCCAGTGGTTTGGTGGATATTTTTGCATCTTCTGCAGTTCGACACATCCAATCAAATACAAGATGTCGAAGAAGATGCGAAAAACAAGCCTATTCGCCCATTACCAGCCGGTCGAATCTCGCTGAGACATGCCACCATTCTGCGTTGGGGCTTAGTCCCAGCTTGCTGGTTCATATCCGTCTTACATAGTGGTCCTGTGCTATTTTCTAGCGTGGCTCTCGTGCTGTTTACCATCTTATACAATGAGTTACAAGCAAGCCGTCACTGGCTCACAAAAAACATTGTAACTGCAATAGGTTTCGCTTCGTTTGAAGTAGGAGGAATGTTGATCGCAGGCGAGTCATGTATTTTCCGGTCTGATACGGATTGGCTAATGAATACTGAAGGTTGTGATACGTTGCGCATGGACGCTGTGGGATGTCTGTCTGTTGCGATAAGCACAGCAGTGTTTGCTACAACTATACACACCCAAGATTTTAAAGATGAGGCGGGAGACAGGTTAATTGGCAGAACGACCTTACCGATTGTGTCACCGCAAGCGGGTCGTGCCTCAATCTTGCCACTTCTTGCGATGTGGTCTATTGCTCTCAGCTTCGTGTGGCAGTTGACTTGGGCTGGCACTATTCTGCTTCTCTGCTTCTCTTCGCTGATCGGCGTTCGATTCTTGTTATTGAGAAACAGGATGGCGGACCAAACATCATTCCTTCTATACAATGTCAGTCCTAACTCATCCATACATCGCCCCTGCGCTAAAATGTTGTTAGATGTGGTTGTCGGTAGTACACATGCTGCCAGGCTATTGGCGGTACCTCCGATATCAAAATGATCCCTTCATTGCATAGCGACATATGTAGGTATTAGGCAAATGACCATGGTTTCAACTATACTGCACATGAAATTTACCTAAAGAATGAAACAACACTATTCAAACTATGCTCTTTCCCGTCACTGTTTCGGATGAGAGGGGGGGTTTATAGGGAGTGGGTTCTATGCTAATGTCAGCTTATATGCACTTAGAGCTAGTACAACCGCAATTCGGCTACGGCCCGCTCCGGTTTGGCGTTCACCGGTTTGTCAGTATTTTGGCTATCCTAATAGTGAGCCATGTATACTGGCAGATCGTTCGGACTCTGAGTCACGATACTATGTTTTTTTGTATTCTATATGAGTTCGAGACACGAGAACACGGATAGAACTAGGTCTATGTGGTGACACGGCTTTTCGTGTTTCCCACCTTCTTGTTTCGTACTACCACGTTAGTACTCGCAACTCCTCTACTCCTCGACTACACTCTTGTTTTGTCACACCCGCCCGCCACTTCCCTTTTAGCAGCTTGTGTCTCACTCGTAGAGCGGTTCATTGGTCCCTTTTGCTGAAAAAAGTCACTCGACGCACTGATTTCGACCATGATAGAATTCTGCGAATTCTGTGTATTGAGCTGCGGTGTCCCACTCGCCCCCACGGCTCATCCTGGACTTTCTCCACAGGTTCGAAGCGGTGTTTCGGGTCGTAAAACCCTGCGGGTTTTAAGCCCAAATAGCTTCATAATGTCTTTGCTACTATTGGTACAGTCAGATAACATTAACCGGTTGATATATCTGATCTCCTTACCATCACGAAAACCGGCAACTACACATAGAGTATTGCTTTGCCTTTGGGTATAATCCAGCAGACATGTGATATGATGTTGCTATTCATATCTATAAAAACTTTTTTCTCGCCGGTTTCCTGATGAGAGCACTCAGCACAGGTGAGCTGCGTGACTCTCTAATCAAGGCGCAAGTTGATGATGCATATATGATATCTAAAACCGATCTCTATCTTGGTGGTGCTGTCCACATATCGGGATAACAGGATCCTTGTATATAGCGTTGCAGATGTGGAGGCCACTGGCAGAAATACCCACCCCGTCACACCTCCCAGGCCTAATCGTCTTCCATGACCAATTACGAGCCATCGACAGGCATCCCACTGGATGCTGCTAATTTGATGTCAACACTTCTGGAAGGCATTTTATACGGTGAGTATCGCAATCGGTAGCTCCACGGATCCTGTGGTTACCAAGCGCTGAGAGATTTTCAGGCTTTTCAGTCCTCATGTTTATAGGTACCATGTGGATATTCACCTACAAACGTCGCACGCGGAACACCAATAGGCCTACCATTGCGGTTGCCGCCCTGCTGTTCATACTGAGTACTTCGGTTAGCTTCCCGCCGCTTGCCGACAATGTCATTTACTGAAGTCTCCGAAGCACATAGCTGTGGGCATTATTCGCGTTGAAAACGGACTGGTGAAGTATCGCGACACGTTTCCAGGCGGTCCAGTTGCGTTCTTCGCAGACCTTACTCAAGAAACGTTTGTGGTGAAGAATGCGATACTTGTCTTGCAAACTCTGCTCGGCGACGGAGTGGTGGTAGGTTCATTTTTTTTATCTGCCGGCTTGGAACTCTTGTGGCTTATATAAATCCCCATCATGGCGAAAGATATATCGATGTTACGTTGTTTGGCAATCTATTCGGGTTATCATCCTACCATGCATAATGTGGTGCGGTGTCGCAGGTTAGGTTGCAATCACAGCCAGGAAATCGTGTATTCTGATTTTGTCTTGAAGCGTTTGGTGTCTGTATGGTCTACAGCATGTCCCAACCGCAAACTGACAATTCCACAAATTTTTTTCTCAACGCGGCCGCACAATGGATCATGGCATTCCTTGCCTTCACAATCGCAACTAATTTGTTGAGTTCCGGTAAGCACACCCCTACGTGATGTTGAGACTTCATACTCACTTGAATATGTCCAGGGTTACTGGCATATCGCATCTGGATGATCGAACGCAAGGTCTCTACAATTCACGCTACGAAAAATAAAACACCCGTATTACGCGTGCTTGTGGATGCCGCTGTTTTGTACTCTGCGGCGGTGTGCTCTTCACTCATCTCTTTCATTTGCTCGAGCAGTGGAATGTATGTTATGGCAGACCTGGTAATTCAGCTGTTAATACCTATTTTAAAAATTGATGAGCTTTGATCAACCACTAGGTCATCCCGATCATCCCGATTGCCTTCTATATGGTATTTATTCGCATCGCGACCAGTCAAAACAATCAAGCTTACGCCTCGACTGTCCGTGGTGGGACGACTGAGACAGAACGAAGAAGCTCGCATTATCATATGCAGCCTTTGCACACTATCAACTTATACACGCAGAACAGTGGTATTTCCTTAGCTGACAGCCCAAAGGTGTGAGAATGGCTTCGCCTCTACGATGGACACAGTGCCCTCGCCGCATGAAACACTTCAACGATTCCAACTCCGTACGCCCTGTTTCTAACTATCTTTCCTTTTCCTATACTCTTTACCGTTTTACATTTTCACACGTTTATTTAACGTTCATATCTCTTTCGCTGTTCACTGCCTTGATTGCTTTGATTGTGGTTTCCACTTCTTTCACACTTATCTGCCGTCCATTACTGTAGTAACCCAGCTTAGTATACTTCTGTCGAGCTATCCTTCCACTTCGAGGAAGCCGTCACGCAAACGTTCGGGTCAGACACCGAAATGATTGCCAAGTCCGCCTTAATTCCGCAACCAACAAGCATCAAATCCCGTTGCCCACTACGATTAATAGCAACCTCCCACATGCTCATCTTTCAGAACATCTCCTTCAACACAAACAAATAAACCTCCGATTATCATAAGTACATTATCGACAGGTTTCGAACCTAGTTCAAACGTAACCTAGACCTCCCGGTGGTAACTGATGCACGTTATTCGGTCCTGCACGCAGAAAACATATAACCCAATCAGGCGGTTATGTACAAATCCCAACGTTCATCCGCAAAAAAAGAAGTTCAATATAGAATCACATTTGCACTACGCGGTATGAGACGACACTTGAATGGTAATGGAAGGCTGTCAGGTCGTTATCAGCAAAACATGACGACAAGTACATAAAACAGTTGCAGACCTCACAAAACTGGACGAATATTCGATGACCACCTCTTCTTCGTTGCCATCATCTTTCAATGGTGGTCTGATTTCGAAAGTAGCCAGCAGTTGACTGACGAATAAGAATATCTGTGCGTTTGCGAGGTTCAATCCGGGGCATATTCTTGACGTGTGCTTAGCAATTGGAAGGTAACGATGATGTGTTGTTTGTTTACCTCTTTCCAAATCCAAATGTGAAATCTCGAGGATCCTTCGCGCTGTTTTCATGCCCCAAAGGTAAATGACGCTCAGGTATGAATTTATGAGGATCTTGGTAGATGTTTGCGTCGTGAGTCATCGCCCTAAATCAAATATTTGTTTCAGCAATTACTTCCTCTCTGAGCCTAGTGGCTAACTTACCAAATGTTGAACATCACCCAAGTATCTTGTGGGATACGGTAGCCCTTGTACGAGTCGGTTTGAACGGGCGACCTTGGGATCACAGGTGTCACAGGATTAAAGCGATGAACTTCCCTTATTATCGCATCGATGTATGGCATCGCAGGCATGTCAGATAGCAGGGGCTGTCTGGTAGACTCAGTGACGCTCGTAATCTCTTGGAAAGCCTTTTCTTGGACATCTTGATGCGCCATTATCAATATCAAGAAGTTCATAAGCATCGCGTATGTCTGTAAAAAGGTCCGTGCTGTTTCGAATGTCAGACAGCACAAACGACTTACAGTCTCTATTGCGGCTAGCTGCGGTGTAAGAGAATACTCCGTCCTTTATGACAAATTTACTCACCCGTATGAATGCTTGCTGCTGCAGAGACGAGTTCTTCCTCCTTATATTTTGACGCGCCTGAAATGATGTCGCTGAGTGTGTCTGGCACCATTCCCTGGTTCGCAGTACCGTCAAGCTTTGTAACATGTTCGTTATAAGTAAGATACGATATAACAGATAAACGTACGACAGAACTGCGTGCCTCTCGAAAAGGTTGCGCAGTATACTCGATGAACTTTGTCCTAGCATCCCTCGCCCATCGTTTGAAAGCCATTCCAGGGAACCAGTCTGGTAAATACAATACTAGGATGTTCAGTACGACTGTGTGTCGTCGGAAAAGGATGCTTTACATAGAGGCACAGTATCAGCAAGCCAGCGTCCAGGCCGCAAAGCTTGTTGAGTGTGAACAGAGATTTCGTCCCCTAGTTTGAGTTCGGAGTCGTCTACTTTTCTCCCGTACGTGAATCGAGTGATAAAAGACCCAAGATACCTTGAAAGACGTCACTAAGTGGCCGCGATGTTCGATAGAATTCGCACCTCCGAATATGCTGCTTGAATGACTCGGGGGATTGTGCCATCTGCAGCATCAAGCTAGTAGTCTCTTCTTCGAGGACTGGGCCCCAAGACTTTTGGGCCCTTGGATTAAGAGCACCTTGAAGGAGCGCTCGGGCCTTCCTCTGCCTCTCGTTATAATCCATGAATGCGATATTGTCTTTCCGTCCAGTGAGAGCCACCATGGACCAAGTTGGACGGCGGGCATAAAGGGCGGACTTTGTTTCCAACAAGTCGATAGTCGCACTAGCTTCGTTGACGATGAGGATGTCCCGACCAAAGGCATAAAGGTATATCAAGGGCCCTAAAAATAATGAGCTCGGAATGTATCAATCGAGGGACTCAAGAGGTCATGCCAAATGTTTTGGACCAGGCAGCAAACTCTTTCCATGGCTGGTCCCAAGGTAATATCTCCTCATTTCCAGACCAAAACTTTCTTTGTGGACCTATATCACTGGGGTCACTTTACGCGTTCGGCACGGCACATTCAAGAATCACCTGGAGGAAGAGGTAACCGTCGAGATCTTGCAAATGCCCAACTAGCCAGAGCCAGCGTACAGAAACATGAACAGAGACCTAATGTGGACATCTTCGATCTTAGGACATACCAGAATAACTCGGGGCCCGCAGTCTCAGTTTTATGCTCCACTCCTCGCGTCGCGGCTGCGACAGTAACTCAGATGACGGCGTTGATTCTCAGACTAATTCTGATTCGAGATCAGTACGGTTAATAAAAAATGAAACTCAACCTGAAACTGACGGAATGGTACGTAGTGACCTTACTATTTCAAATTAAAATGCTTCTGATCAATCGAAGACGGATGAACGCATGACCCACTAGCTGGAGCTTCTCCCCGAAAAAGTTGAAACGTTGAATTGCAGGTGTCGTGTCCATATCTATTCTAAATATGATAGTCGATATATCTGAAATTCTAGAATCTAGAGACTACTAGTTACATAGGGTCGTCGAAGATTCTATCAGATCTTATCACCTATCTGATGGATGTTTTCAAATCAGACCAAGTCTCACGAAAACATCATGTGAACTGGGGTGTAGCCGCGGACTTATATTGCTTCGTCTGCCAAAAATAAATAGTTTTGAATATCGAAGGAAAATCATATAGGAACTAAACGTGTGCAATTGTCGTTAATTATCCTTATGCGGTGAAGGAGTGGACTTAGAGTGCCATATTGCAGTTCAGTCATGTCCGTGATCAAGATCTCTCAGATTATCAATATCCAGTCATCCATCTCAGCGCCTGTGTCTTTATAAGAACGGTTTTAAGTCTCATTTATCCTTACTAGTCGAACAATGCTGACCTCCGTCGATGAAATTAAAGGACAAGTCTTCAACTATATTATCATCGGTACGCTCTCTATCAAGTTCTGAATGTAACTCACCATACTTCCAGGTGGTGGAGTAAGAAGGAATTTGCGGCTCTTAACTTAAGATCTGACAGACGGCCCCTAGACTACCGGTCTCGTTTTAGCGACACGATTGTCAGAAAACCCATCGACTTCAGTGCTTGTCTTGGAAGCAGGCAGCGCTCATATTGAAGATGACGCTCTCTGTCAGCTTGTCAGGATTCCCGTGAATTATCGCTGACATGATGTCTAGTGATACCTCAACAACGTTGGTTGTATATGGGCAAAGCTGAATACGACTGGAGCTTTAAAACTGTGAGTATCTCCGAGTGTAGGCTCGTAATCGACATTAAACAGCACCAAGGAAACACAACATCACACCAAAGACAGAATATTCACATGGCCTAGGTCAGTTTGTGCTACTTGACTCCGAAGAGTCATTGCTGCTCTGACTGATGACTCTTGTTTATAGGGGAAAGGGACTTGGAGGCAGTTCCGCAATCAATAATCTCCTTTGGAATAAGCCAGCGCGTCAGCACATTGAAGGTGAACTTTATTTGCCTACATTGATGTCTCCTTGACACACCAACAGCATGGGGTGCGCTTGGCAACGATGGCTGGACTTGGGAGAAATTCCAGACATATTCCAAGAAATCTGAGAGGTCAACCATATTGCTAGGTGGCGTTGCCTAACTAATCAACTCCCAGGTTTGTGAAGCCGAACCATAACACGGATGTTTTGACGTATGATACGAAACTTCACGGGGAGCATGGTGTGTCACTCCCCTGACAGTATAATGAGTCTTGCTCATCTTCTCTCAGGCGCCATCACCACGTCCTTTCCTCCGGTAATTTCAAACCTCGAAGAAGATTTCAGGAAGGTATTGTTTGGATCCTAAGAATGTCACATTTGACTCACATCGCTTGCCAGGCAATGGAGGCCCACAATATCCCGACCATTCAAGACTCAGTAAGTTCTATGCAGTGACACTCTTGTATGTTCTAATGGTGTTTCGCATCTAGTTCTCGGGGGAGGTAAACACGTTATTCGCTCGCTACTTTTCCACCTAACTTTCACTCAGATCCGCGGAACATCTCCTTCTCTATCCACTTTGGACCCATCGACGCATTGTCGAGCTTACGCTACTAACGTGGGTGCCCCAAAGTTGTCAGCTTGGTTGATACTGATTCCTCACAATCGCTCAGATGTATTATCAACCGGTCGCAGGGCGTACTAACCTAAAGGTCCTCGTCGATGCCTATGTGACCGAGATCATCACAACGAAAGTCAACGGATTAGGTCACTGCCACTGGTGTCAAATTTGTCAAAGGTGACAATACTCACATGGCACATGTCGCTGGCGAAGTATGCCTAACGGCGGGGTAAGCTCTTTACTATCTGAGTCACAGCAGCTGAAAACTTCGTCAGTGCAATCATGTCTCCAAAGGTTTGAATAATTTGTGTCAGCTGCTTCGATATGGACTAACTTTCTACCTAGATACTCGAAATGTCTGGCATCGGTGATCCTGCTGTTCTTGAACGGGCAGGTATTGAGGTGAAACTTGACCTCCGTGGTGTTGGAATGAATGTTCAGGAACATCTATACACCGGAGTAACCTTCGGTGCGTCGCAGAATACAGGACCTAGCGTATGGTCGCTGACCCGCACTGATTTTAGAATTGACGAATCACTTTTCGGGCGAACAGGAGGTCAATACCTTTGATTCTCTTGCCACAAATCCTGGCTTGCAAAAAGAGCTGCAGTAAGCCAGATCATTAGTCAATTGGATATTGCCGGCTGAACAGGACACTACTAGTGCATGTGGCAAAGGCACTTTGAACCTCAACACTGTTGACATCGCGTTTGTTGCATTAGATGATATTTCACCCGAACTCAATGCAAAAGTAATTGCATCCCTGCAAAGTGAGGAGAAGGACGCGGGACTCGCTGCGCAGTACAAGATACAAGCCGAGCATCTTCGGGAGAAGGTCCCTAGTCTCGAAATCATACTGGCTCCAGGACCAGCAAAGCGTATGCATCACATTTGTTGCTGTATTTTGATGCTTATTACTTTGCAGCACCCGCGCAGGGGTGGGATGCCTCGAAGAAGCATGTTTCGCTCTGTTTTGCCACCAACTGTCCGCTTTCTCGTGGAACCATAGTAAGCAGCAGATTTATCCCTGAGTTCTTCGCCAATGCATTTGATAGCATGTTGCATCCAAAGATTCGCTTGCGATTGACCCGTGTATTTTTGAGAATAGATTCGGTAAGGCAAGCCTTTCTCGTATCACCACTCTGACATACCTTGTCGATGTTAAGACCTAGACACCATGGTTGAACTGGTCAAATTTTGCAGGAGGTTGGCTCAGACACCTCCCTTGAAAGGAGAAGGAGAGGGCCGACTCAAAGGTAAGCGTTATTTTCACAGCCTTGTGAAACAGACTCATACTGCATTTCAGAGATTCATCCCGGACCAGACTGTCAAGATGATGCCGCCATCGCAGGTTTGGTGATGATCTAATTCCTCAAGTGAAATTGCTCACCTGAATTCAGAATGGATTCGCAACAATGTCAACACGACCTTTCGTAAGTTCTCTCTACATGTCTGCATACACAATGGTGCTAGATCATTGCATGTCAGATACTGCTGGTTCATGTTCTATGCTTCCAAAGGAATTGAACGGCGTTGTTGATCCTCAACTCAAGGTAGTACTTTAAGAGATACAATCATTTGCCGTGTATTAAACTCCGACCTATAGGTATGGGGCACCCACAATATCAGAGTCGCCGACCTGTCGGTCATTCCACTCCATGTTGGCAGCCACACTCAATGTGAATTTATTGCTTTTCGCTTCACCATACTTCCTAACATTTATCTTTCCAGCTGTGGCATATGCTCTAGCAGAACAAGGTATGCTCCGATTCTCTCCAAAACCACTCGTTCTCATCAAGTCGATGATCTTAGCTGCGGACATTATCAAGGCGCACCACGAGAAATAGTTGGACTTGACTGGTTTATGTTGTACAATAGCAATGGGATCGTAGTCACATGTATACTTTTGAAATCTCACGTCAGTTTGTCCAGCTTCCGATAGCTGCTTATTACAGGATCAAAGCCTTGAACTGTTCCTTTTAGTGACACGTTCAAGTAAATTGACGACCTTCCAGGTGTCTTTACATAAGGCCACCTTCATGCACAAATATTGGTCAGTCTGAAGTTCAAGCCTGATGTAGATTTTTGGACCGGATACTATGTTATGTTACAACCACGATGCTTAGACAAGACAAGTATACACGGATCCGCTCACTGTCCTCTCCCTACAAGTTGCTGCGGCACTCATTGCCACTCTTGGACATTTCCCTAGCTCTGTCTCGGAGTTCTGCTGCGAGTTGCTCAGAGCGGGGAAGTATACAAGCTTGAAACGACTCAGGGAACCTTACCCAGTTAGTCGTGAGTAAAGCATTCAAGTAGTGCATGGCCTCAAGTACTGACCTCATCAAACCCTGTCTAAACGGCGTCGTCAAAAGAGAGTGCTTTCCATCTGATCCAACGGCTGGAGATATGACGAAGGTGGACACGAGACCAGTTACAAATAAAAATATACTATTATCCGCAAGAAACCTCCCGGGACATATCCTTGAGGTAGATCGGCATCAGAACATCGAATGAATGTATCGTCACCGCCCACGCACCTCCTACCGAATCCAAAAGCGTATGAATATGGGTCCAATGCTGTCTTTTCGACACAAGCGTCGAGAAAACGTTCTGGTGCGAATTCATCGGGAGAAATTCCGCTGATGTTGTCCCTAGACATTGCCCTAGAATTAAAACGTAATGAGCATATCGTAGAATCTACAGAACACGCATGACACTGACCAAATATTCGGAAAAACAATTGTTCCCTTTGCCACGCGGAACCCTTGGAAGAAATGAGTGAACAGATACCTGCTGATTCAAAGGATTGCTCGGACCTTGATATACGTCTTCTTTGCTTGTAAAGTGAGGAAGACATAAAGGAACAACCGGATTCCATCGCATTGTTTCTTTAATGGCAGCATTCACATAAGGTAGGCGGGAGCGATCATCCAATGTCGGGAGTTGCCCATGACCAACGACGCGATCAAGCTCCATCCTAATCTTTGTCTGAATATCAGGGTACAAGGCCATGGCGAGAATGAAAGCCAGAATTGTGCCCATGGTCTGCATCTTGGTATGTCAGAACGACATGTATGATCAATGTATTGATGCCTTGCCGTTTCACTACCAGCTAATGAGAGTCATTTCAAATCGGAACGTCAAAGGCATCGACTCACCCCCATACATCGAACCAGCAGCCCACCGTATGTGATGTTCCATGTTGGCAGCGCCTTCTATCTGAAGACAAGTAGCAGTGAAGGATATGTTTGGTGAAGACGATGAAACTTGTTGTTTCACGTATTCAAAAGGTAGTCCGACAACGCGAAGAAGGCGCGTGCGGCCTTCTGTAGCAATGGCATGGATGTTATTGAAGGGGACCCAAGAAGGGATATATCTGACTGGAACCGTGCAGATGCTTCATGTTAGTACTTCGTTTGAGGATAGAATTCTACGGGATTTACTGACGCCATGGCAACGTATCGACAAGGTATGCTCCTGGCATCATTCCTTTGCCTATGGTGTCCATCATAATCTCCAGTTCTTCAATAAACTAGATGGATGGGCGTAAACAAAAGCCTATCGCTAGCCAAGTAAAATGCACAAACATTCATCGATTCTGGGCTTTTCACTGGGACACCATATGTCATGGACAACACAATGCGGCCTGCAGCCCTTAATTTATCATTTTGTCAGTTGAAAGACGCTATTACGAAGTGCATCACTTACAACCGAAGCTGAGACATGAAGTCACTTGGGTTCTCGATAAGACTGTCCAGAAACAATACGACAATCTCCGCTTGCAAGTTTTCGTATCCCTGGATTGCACCGGCATTCAAAGCCAAATGAGCAAGCTTCCTCTGGTGTTTCCATGCGGCGCAATATCTAAGTAAAGGAAAGCTCTAGGCCATGCAACCAAGATCGGAGTTAGAACACCAACAACGGCAGCGTCCCGATGCCACCTACCTGACCAAGGCCCATGAGCTCTCCGAGCATTATGGGTACCGGACGATCAGAATATGATTTCTTGGATAGAAGTTCGTTGGCATGTTCGAAGGAGTTCAACACCATGATCCGCTGGTCCAATGCCTTAAGGTAGATGATGTCGCCTATGAGAAGAATGTTACCGAAAGTAGTTGTATAAAATGTATGGACGACTAACCATACAAGCTTTTCCATTCTGCAAACGCTTTTGCGGTGTCAACTAATGGAATATCAAAGAGGTTTCCTATGATTGGCAATTGTTTAGGACCAGGAGGTAACGGTATGAACTGGTGCGTGTCCTTTGGCTCGCACTGTCCAAGTCTTTTGCGAATGACTTGGCACAAGTAGACGCCAGATGCACCGGCCAAGCACGCAAAACCTATCAGCATGGAATACATATTAACGGGAGTAAAGTCTGAAGCAAATACTGGAGCACCTTGATGATCACATTCAGCCTATATATCACCGGGCTTTGTCCGAGCAACGAAGACGCGACCAATGGAGCAGCCAGTTTATGACATTCTTAGGGCAGAAATGATCACTTGGAATACATAAATTTGTTACAAGGCTCATTCACGCAACACCGACGTGATCGGATGCCGCTATAATTAAACCTTACCAAGAAGGTAATTACCGCACCTCCAAACCTACCGTACTGCCTTATGTAATATTGAATTTGATAACTACATAAACGGAAATACGATAAGTTCAGTTCATGTGGAGGTGTACTTACATAGGACGCCATGATCTGATGAGACTGAAACTGATGGGCCGGACGCAGATCAATACACCGGGCGCTGATTTCGACTTCGACTTCCTCATGGGACTCACGCGCCATCAAGTCACTGCCACTGGGTTGTCTCCAAGAATATTAATGTATTGAGTACGTACCGTGTGCTCAAGAAGTTCACCACGGCGCCTGTTAATCTCGTCTCAGACACTGATGAATTCCTCAGCCTGTGCTTTGCCAGACAGTTTCGTGCAATTCTGCAGCGATCAGCCAGCTTCCACGTTTTGTTGGAATGTCAAGGTTGATAGTGATTCAACGCTCTTACTTTCTCATAGAACGAGGGCAGACTTGATCCAGGACGCTAATACGACTGCACAACGGTTCCTGCATTCCGGTCCTGCACGGAGACGATGCGGAGCACCACCAGTTAATGTATGCTTCTTCGCGCGCAGTGGCTATGATCTCTTTGTGGGGTTCCTCGCTGCCTTGATAAACAGATGGACTGTGTGTCTAGACTTTCTTCTTTACCTGCGAATAAAGTCTGATGATTCTAAGCCGACATTGATATCTGACAAAAACAGTCCTGAAGGTGTAATACACCTTGTTTGCACCTCCGGTTCTCAGTGGCTTTTCGTTGACGCTACTCATCCCAACCTTGTGGATGTCGTACAACGCCAAGTCCCAGATCTTCAAATTATTCCTCTGCAGAGCGATGATGGGAAGACTATACAAACCCCTGTCGTTTACCCTCCCCTCGATCAAGATCACGACTTAGACCTAGATGTTGTCGCGTATAATCTACATACTTCAGGATCAACAGGTCTGTGATATCATCTCTCCACGTCATTCTAACCTTCAAGATATTGCAGGACACCCTAAGTTGATACCAATTACTCACCGACAATGGTACGACCAAACCATGCGATTGACACCATTTCCGGGTCGTGCAGTGTGTACCCCTATGCCTATGTTCCATGTAAATGCATCGATTGAGGTCTCATCTGTTTACTCATGCGCATCTGTAGACGGTGGGGCTTACTTGCTTAACTAAGTTCACTATCGGTGCAGGCTGCATACCAGTAATCATTGAATCCGCGCGACCTTGCACAGGAGAATTACTGTGCTATGTTCTCGACCGCTTCAATGGTGCAATTTGTGTTGCCCCTCCGTCCCTGCTCGAACAGATCTCCTTGATGGGAGAAGGAGCAATACAAGTGCTTGGCTCTATGCATATGGTTTTATTCGCTGGCGCACCCCTGCAAGAGCCTGTCGGTAACACATTAGCAAGTCACGGTGTGAAGATTATCTCGGCCTTTGGAACGTTAGTGTCCTCTGCTAACCATCGACGACGTTACTTTCTGATCTCTAAACACAGCACTGAGACCGGACAATTAACTGTGGCCGATGTCAGCTCTAATGACCCTTTCGATTGGCCTTATGTCCGATTCATTGATCCATCTGAAATAACACTGGTGGATGTACCCAATACGAGCGATCTGCGGCGTTTAGTTGTCAAGGTATTTCTTTTCAAAAAGTTTAACTTGGCTCGATTTGACCATATTATCCAGCCAGGCCGTTTTGTGTCTTCTGACCTCGTCAATCATTACCACCCTGTTGGCTTCAGCCCGGGAGACCTATGGCGGGAGCATCCAACAAGAAAAGGCATCCCCAATAGTTCCAACGCAAGTTACTTCATTAACATGACTGTACAGGGCTTTGGAAACACGCAGGAAGAATGAGTAGTGTGGTTAGTTGAACTTCTTTTTAGAGATTGTAGCACACTAATGTCTCTTTCCTAAGACTGTACTTGGCAATGGAGAGAAGACTGATAACGAACAGCTTGGTAGGGTGTTTCATCATCTCAAGTAGCAATTCTGAGCTTGGATATAGAGTCACTTGTACTCAAGAATGCCTTCGTGGAACGTGCGATTGTATTTGGCGAAGGGCGTTTGCAGAACGGGCTGCTTGTCCTTCCAAAAGCCACATCCTGGACCAATGCTGATTTCGCGACATCCTTACAGTCAACCATTCAGCACATGAATGTCGTCATTCCAAAGCATTCTCGCGTCGTCCAAGCCCTCGTTATCCTCGGAAATCCGAAAAAGCCCTTCGTTCTGACAGACAAAGGGACTATCAGACGCCACGAGACACTTGCTCTTTACTCCAAAGAGATTCAGGAAGCGTATGCGGCTCTCGAGTCTGGGTTTCCTTTTAGACCTCTACCATTAAAGGATGATCACGAGGGCATTCTAATGTACATTCAGGCAATTGCAGCCCGTGTACTTGGAGTGGAGGTTGCTGTCGAAGATGACCTTTTCTCCCGCGGTTGGTGTTCTTGCATTTTGCGTAGTGACTGGCTGATATCCTTTTAGGCATGGATTCCTTATCAACAGCGAATTTTGCAGCTTACCTGGCGCCACTTTGGAAACTCGTTAGGGATACAGAACTGCCTCGTAATATCGTCTACAAATATTCATCCATCGATGGTCTGCATCAAGTGATCACCGGGAGGATATCGCACATCATGCACCGTAATAATGCAGAATACATAGATGCGATTATCAAGAAGTGGACATTTCCGAATCCTGCCCCAGCCAGTCGTTTATCGTATTTGGAACACACACCCAGCGATATGGACGACGGTCGCCTGACTGTGCTCCTCACAGGATCAACAGGCACGTTCGGTAGCCACGTTTTGTCAGAGCTCGTACGGAGGGAAGGAGTCCACGCTGTTTACTGCTTAGACCGCGCGAATCCTCGTTCGTTGGGTACTCATACTCAACGAATAAGATGCGAAGCTGCGTCAGGCAGAGGGGACACGAAGGTCGAGTTTTGGTTTATGGAACTCAGAGAAATCGACTTGGGCTTAGATCAGGAACCGTTCAGAAAGTCAGTGTCTTCAATTTTGGGGAATTTTAGCTCTGATAAGTTCCAACGCGTATCAGATTCGTAGAGACGTTACCCACATCGTTCATTGCGCGTGGGACGTGAATTTCAACCACGAGTTGGAACATTTTCTTGACCCCCATGTTCGTGCCCTACACACGATGCTCGGATTATCTGCTTCCAGCGTTCGCACAAAGGCACCGCGTATCTTTTTCATCTCCAGCGTTTCTGCTGTTGCGAACTACTCGGGGCCCGAACATGCTATCCCTGAAATTCCTTTTAACTCGTCGAGTTTGCCACTTGATCAGGGTTATGCGCAATCGAAGTATGTTGCAGAAAGGGTTTTAATTGATGCATCCCGAGCCGCAAATATACCAGTAACGATTGTGCGCGCTGGACAACTTGCTGGCAATACCACGCTAGGCGCATGGAATGCGATGGAGTATATTCCTATTTTCATTCAGGCATGTTGCTCTCTGAAGCTTATGCCCTCTCATATCCCGGTTCGTCGTGCAAATAACCCCCATACTCTACCAATGATCTGATTTCCATTATAGAACCTATCATGGACGCCGATTGACGTCGCATCAGCCATCTTGGTGGACATCATGCTGAAGGACCCTCGCAGTGATGTGACCAATCTTTTGGTGCGGCACATCGATAGTCCCAAAGAACTCACCAGCTCGGATTTTATTCAATGGATGGTTGAGGCATCAGGCAATTCGATAGTTCTTGTATCCAGCGAGAAATGGCTCGACTCAGTGCGAAATAGCCCAACGGTCTTAAAGGCGAAGCATCTCCTACCATTCTTCGAACAGTGGCTGTCTAATGCGGCCCGATGCAGTCATCGTGTACTCAGCGTACAAGATACGAAGCTTTTGTCTGGAAACTTTTCTCGAGCACAGATAACCCCAGAACTCTTCAGACAGTATGTGGACTTCATTCTTAGGTCAAACAGTTTATCAAGTAGTGTATAAATAATGTCGGTCTGGACATCTATTGCTAAATTTTCGAAGTAGAATTCAATGACCTGGTATGAAGTCCGGAAGAATATTGTGATAGACATTTATGGCGATGTTCTGGATACTGGAATGGACAGCACAGTTCACGAGCGAATGTTGAGCCATGCCATCGCCAACAGAATGATAGAGATAAGTGGGAAGGAAGGGGTAGGACGGCGTAGCACTGCGGCCACCTCAGAGCCAAAACGTTTTCAAAGCGGCAGAAATCGACGTTCACATTTAATCGGAAGCTGCACAGACGCGAATTATCGCAAGAGATCCGGAACAGACTTCGCCAAGAACGATGCACATAGTTGAAGGAAGTGGTGGCAAATGGCGGTGAGAAAGTTGGATTTGGTGCACCGAGCGACAGATAGACCTGGAACACCTGTGAAGACTAATGGACCGTGCTGGACAAATCTATTTTCACTTTTGGCTTTGACTTCGATGTCAATCTGACTGGCCAATACCGTCGGCGTATTGATCTTGGGTTTGACTTTGACGTTGAACGTTTGAACTTAACCTCAGCGAGTGTCGGAAGGGAAGTGGTTGCTGTGCATTACTCTATTTTGATGGTATGGACTTGATAGCAAGGTAATTAGTTGTGCCTCTTGCCTCTTGGCCTAATATGACTACGATTCACCGAAAAACTGCATCGTGCTTCTGTAACAGATAGAAGTCTGTGCGTGCTCCATTACGAACCATACGAGCTGCATATGCGGAGATTGGTCGTCGTGTTACAGTTGCACTCCGCACACAGATTGGGGACCGTGCACGGTTGGGTGAAGAACAGGACCATTGCTTACGGCCAATGTCACTGGTAACACAGGCGAGTCGTACAGTCCCGAGCTGCATGTTGTCATTTGCTCAACTGCAAGGTAATGTAGCATTCGGATATTTTCAGGCCAGCCGAACGTATCACCACTGAAAACAGTCTGTAATGTATGATAGATCGTCGAGATGATGCAGCTCGTCAGTCAGAGGACCCACCAGACGCTCGACCAATACAGGCATCTTATGCGATGCCGACTGGGCGACCAGGACCCTCCTGTATCGAAATTGAACCATCCATTCTAGCACCTGATATTGAACTTCGTGGCCCGACACACCTTGCAGCGGTATTTCAAGTACGAACTGTGTATCGCTGTGCCTCGCAGCGCGAGCAAGCACGGGAAACAGCCACGAGCCGCGATTTTACCGATAGCGCCAACATCCTTGAGGCTTAATCACGTAGAGTATAGTTATGGTTATGTCGAAGCAGAAGCAGAAGTTACAGTCAAAGTCAAGGTCAATGTTGCTGTCGAAGGACGTACCTTCCTTATTCGGGAAGATCAAAGTCAAAACCTTGAATTTTGTCCAATGCGGGCCCTCAAGCTTCCAATTGGCCTCATAGCGCGAGGATAAGCGTGTTGTTGTGCTCGCCTGTGACTTGGTTATGATTTGTAGAGCTATTGGTAGGCGGCGTGGTTAACGCGACGTTAACGAGCGAGCGGGTTCGGCAGTACTAAAATGAAATTACCTCATACTTCAGGATCATCCTAAAAGAGCTTTCCTTGACGTGAGAGGCAAGTGAGAGCCACATATATTGTATCACCAAGGTGGTTGATGCCTATCAAAAGGCACAAAAAGGCCCGGTACATTTAGACCACAAGCTCTCCAGCAAGTTGTGCTCAACACCACCCGCCTCGAGCAGAATGACGGAAGCAGAACAGCACGCCGTTCGAGTCACTACACCCAGTCAAACATTTCAAGGTCATGGAGATAGTGTTTTTGCAACCGCAGTCTTCCCCGATAGACTCCGTATGGTGACGGCCTCGTACGACAAGACGCTTCGTCTGTGGAACTTAGAAGATGGAGTTGTATTGAAGATAATGGAGGGGCATCGCTTCAGCGTACGAAGACTTGCAATATCAAGAGACGGGCAACTCATAGCAAGCGGTGATGATGGTGGAGAGCTTATCGCCTGGAACAGAGACGGTGAATCTCTCACCAGCCAGCCCATAAAAGTCCACTCCAAACAGATATGGTGGCTTGATTTTTCCCTAGACGGCACATTTCTGGCGAGTGGCTCATTAGACACCACAGCGGAGCTCTGGAACACAAAAACATGGCAGGTGCAAGGAAATCCAATCAGCTGTGGCTCTCCAATCCGCTGCGTTCGATATTCGCCGTCTGGTGAACATCTTGCCATCGCAACAAACAATGATATCCAAATATGGAATCCAAGCAAGAGGGAATGCATCGCGAAGTTTTCGGGTCACAATGCGTTCAATGGATCATATAATGTTTCACTCGCGTGGACGCCGGATGGCAAACAGCTTGTCTCGACTGGTAATGATAATGATCCCACCATAAGAGAGTGGGATACATCGACCTGGAAGCAGGTCGGTGAGCCCTGGAAGGGCCATACTGGCCCTCTCAATATGATTGCCCTCAACCCTACTGGCACACTTCTTGCGTCCGCTGCTACAGACCACCAGGTTCGCCTTTGGCAACTTTCGGACCGAAGAACTATCGCCATATTCAAGCATATCAATGAGGTGTTTTGCGTCACCTTCTCCACGGATGGCAAGCACATCCTGAGCGGAGGAAGAGATGCGGCGATTTCAAAGTGGGAAGTACCTTTACTGGAGGATATTCTCAAGGACCAGGCATCAGATGTAAGTTTCTGTTCATTTTCCGTCCCTTCTTCATCTCATTTTCTGCAAGGATGTATTACGGGCAGACACTCCGAAGGAACATGTGGCAAATAATGTGAGTTTCTGTTCATTGACAGTCTGTTCGTCTTGCATATTGATCCTCAATCTTGATGCAAAGGCTCAACAGTCTGATTGCGAGGCTTGTTTCCACTTTCATTCTTACCGCACAATCTGACCATGCGTGATACAGATCCTCACCATCAACAAGACAGCCCGCGATGCATGCATAAGCGGAGACTTGCTCGCTGCTGACACGCTGCTCACCCAAGAGATCAACGCTGATAGCAACGACTACAATTCTTACGCGAACCGCTCGTTTGTTATGGCGAGAAAAGCCGACTGGGACCGCGCACTTGATGACGCACTTAAGGTGAGATACACTGTTCCGTTGCCACCCTTTTAATACATGCCAACTTGTATGACGATATAGAGCATCAGCATCCAGCCATCCTTGATGGGCTGTATCTCCAAGGGTATCGCCCTCTGCGGTAAAGGGCCGTTCCAGGACGCGATGAAAGCATTTGACCTCGGGTTCATGTACGTGGACGCAGACTTGAAGTAAAACTCGTCTTCTACTCTTGATTAAGGTACGTCGATTGTGTCTCGTGTACTCGCTACTTACACAACAGCTAGTCAGGCCATCGCCCTTTTCGAATGCAGATCAACATGACGAGGCAATTCGGCGGGTCCAAGAGCTAGCTACCACTCGTCCCGATGCGAATTCTCTTGCCTGTAGTATCGTGGAAGTGAGTGCTCCTAACACAGTCAACTCCAGATTCATGCGTCAATGCTGATTTTGCGAACCGCGCACTTCAGGCTTATCTACACGTCCAACTGGGAATGAATGCATCGGGCGACGCACGCCACAACGAAGCTGCTGGCCACTTCACCTCTGCTGTCAACTCTATCGGTTTCTCGTCTATGTCGGCCATTCATTATAAATATGATGTCTTCGTGGTGGTAGGTTGATTGCAATGCAACCGGAAATCATTTTTTCACGCCTGGCTGTGCTTTTTGTAGTTATTCGGGTGGGACCTCGAGTCCCTGTGGCGAACCGCACACCAGAATTGGTGCCATGCGCTCCTTCGGGCAGGTAGACTTCCAGAAGCCATCAAAGCATACCGACATATGATGGATGCGGCCGATGAGGCTACGAAAGCACGCTGCCTTGATTGGTCCACTGGTAAGTATTCGTGATGTCAACCGGTATAGTTCTTAACCTCATCTCGCTTAGCTTTCAAGCAAGATTGCAGTGTGTTCTATGCCGTCGACGGATTGGCTGACCTCGCTGCGAGCGGAGATGTTGCCCTCGCTGCGGGTAATTACGATAGGGCTATCGAGCTTTACTCTGCGGCAATCGACCTTGATGTTGCAACCGAAACCATCTTTGCGAACCGCAGTAAGGCGAGGTCAGGAAAAATGCTATGGGACGACGCACTCCTCGACGCGGAAAAGGTGCGATGACATTTACGGTTTCATATTTGATGCTCAAATTGGTGATACGCAGGTCATCGATCTCAACCCCTCATCTTACTTTGGATATCAGTTGAAGCATGCAGTACTTCATGGCGCACACCGATATGATGAAGCCATCGAGGCCTTCAAAATCATGCTCTCCAAGTTGGAAGATGCTCCTGACACCCAAACACAAAGTACGCCCTCAAATAACCACATCCTTGAACATGCCTAACTTTTTCTCCAGAGCTGCGTGAACAATACGTCAATCCATCCGAGGCTGAAGGAGCTATTCAAGAGACTATTAAGGCTCAACTCGAGGACGCCCCACATCGTCTGTTTAACACCTTTACTGGTCGCTTGTGCGATCCAGAGGTACAGATCGATGCCTTCAAAACGAGCACAGAGTACAAGGAACTTTTGTCATCAACGTTGGTGCACGTAGATCTCCCGATGCAGCGCATCCGAGATGTGGTGGCGATGTATTTCCGTTACGTCATGCTATCGCATAGGTGGGAAGGGAAGGAGCCGATGTTGCATGATATCCAAGGCAAGGTGGTATATGACTTGGATCCAGTTGGCGGCATCGCAAAGTTGCAGTCATTCTGTCAAACTGCTCGTGGTATGGGATACCGCTGGACATGGATCGATACCTGTTGCATTGACCAGACTAACAATGTCGAGGTCCAACAATCAGTCAACTCCATGTTTATATGGTATCGCAACTCAGCGCTTACCATCATCTACCTGTCGGATGTTCCACCTTCGTCGCAGCCTGGCGCACTCGCAATGAGTATTTGGAACAAGCGAGGATGGACAGTTCAAGAATTCCTGGCCCCCAGATTTGTACTCTTTTATCAGAAGGATTGGTCCCTATATCTCGACGATCGCTCTCCTAATCACAAGGATTCAGTTGCAATCATGCAGGAGATGGGAGATGCGACGGGCATAGATGCACAGGCCCTCGTTGCCTTCCGTCCAGGGATGAAAGACGCGCGGGAGAAACTGCAATGGGTGTCGGCCCGTGTCACCACGTGGCCAGAGGATATTGCATATTCGTTGTTTGGTATCTTTGGTGTCAACCTACCTGTCATTTATGGCGAGAAGAAGCAAAAGGCGCTCGGGCGGCTCTTGCAGGAGATCGTCGCAGAGTCTGGGGACATTACTGCCCTGGACTGGGTCGGAACATCATCCGAATTCAACAGCTGTCTGCCTGCCGACATCACCTCATATGAAGTCCCACCGTACAAACTGCCATCTATTTCTGAAGATGAGATGCAGAGATCGGTCTCGTCGCTGCAAGACACTGTGGCTGTCGATTTAGCTTTTGAAATTGTACAGCTCGCTCGAACGCCTGAGCGCTCCACGTTTTGCCCACCGCCGGTTGCATCTTCCATGCATCGCATTCCCTGTCACAGAAGTCAGACGGAGACCCGTTGAACACAAGGAGACCTTATTTCACATATGAAGTCAAGGCAGACGGACTTCATGACCTGACGATCACCACGGAGGACAGGTTGCTTCAGTTCTCACGAGGAAGACCCGCTCGACAGTCGTTCTTACTCGTCCGTTCATGGGATCGCCGTCTCCTCGAGCTGCCTGACTATGCAGACGATACAGAGAGCGTGGATGACTTCACTCTACTTGAGTCGCCTGTAGAACAGGGCCTGGTTGATTCAGACTCGAGCGAGCGTGCAATGCGATTGGTTGTTCACCTTGGACAGCCTTTCAGCGCATTCCTGCTAGCGCAGCAACGTGGTGGAGAATACAAGAGAATCGCATCAGATCATGATATCATTACACAAGTCAGAGACGTGGATTCTGTTCGCGGTATGATGGACATCAGGACACTAGAGATATTGTAACTCTGTGTACTCATTTGTTTTGGAAGAAATAAATCTCAGCAGTTTTCATTCTCGACATTTCCTTCTTTACTCAATCATTTGTTTACGGTTTCTCATCCCTGACTCCCACATCAGTAAGAGGAGAGCTTTGTCCAATGCAAAAAGTTCACTTCCTATCACTAAAAATATGCGCGAGACTGTTATGCTTGCGTCCGTCATGCAGATTTCGCAATTTCTGCATTGCTACATACAGGGGCAGAGATTAAATGTGGCATTTTCATTATTTCGTGGAAGTGGAACTACCGTCTGATGTTAATGGCTTGTCAAAAGCCTCGAATTACTCCAAGGGAGCCTTTTGTCGAATGACGTCACAAACTGACGTCACAAGCTCCTATAAGTACGTGCGCCCCAGGTTTCGCCTCTTACTTCTTCCTTCAACACAAACATGCGATTCAGGTCTTCAGTCTTTGTTATTCTTCATCGGTTCGGCATACGCGTCGAGCTGGTTAGGCTCTGATCCTGAATACGACAAATGGTCCCATTCCGAGTTACGTTCCTGGCTTAAAGACCACCACATCAAGGTCCCCACTCATTTTGATCAATCCCAGCTTCATGACCTCGTAGCGGCGAACTGGGCTTCTCCTCCTCCTACACCCCCGTCTTTTGCTGAACAGTCTCATGTCTACGCTGACGCAAGCAGGCAATGGAGCTATGACAAATTTACTCATGCCCAGCACGCATTCCAGGACTTGAAGGAAAATTCTTTGACATCTGGGACGAGAGCAAATTGAGAGCGTTTCTGCTCGAGTCATGGCGTGGTAGCGCCTTCTGGACCCCGCGAGCAGCTTGTTTTACTTGCTAAACAGAAGTATCGCTCCTATACCGACGCCGCATCATACTACTCTTCCCTTGCGTCTGAAACCGCCACTTCGGCATACTCCGATGTTACGGATACATTATATGACACATCTAAAAGCGCCAGCAGCATTGTAGCTCAGGCTACCCAGGATGTTGGTCGCGCTTTCGACGACGGCAAGGATTATATCCACTCAACTTGGGATGATAGTCGTCTCAGATCTTGGCTCGAAGATCATGGAGTAATTGAAGCTAGAAAGACTAGCACCCATTCCGAGCTCATGAAGCTCGCCAACGACTACTGTCGTACGGCTGTGGAGCCGGTATGGAACGCCTGGAGCGACTCGTATATGGTATGTATCTACCTGCTTCAAGATTGTGGATTATATTGACATAATATTAAGCGCGAATGGCTGGTTTCGCATAACCTTCTTTCACCTTCCGATACCGCATCGCGCTCTACCTTGCTTGGAGAGATGAATAAGTATTATTACTCCTCACACGACAAGGTTTGGAGTGCTTGGTCTGACAGTGAATTGAAGTATTGGCTCGTCAAGCATGGTCTCCTCAAGAGTGACGCACCAAATAAGCGTGATGAACTGGTGAAGATGGTCGAGTATGCAGTCCGCCTTCATCTTTTGCCAAATTCCCATCGCTTTACAGGGACAACTACGCTTCTGCTTCAGACAGCGTATGGGACGCTTGGAATGACTCAGACATTCGTCAATGGCTTTCTGAACACGGATACACTGATGATAGAACCGTCGCACAGAAAAAGCGTGATGAGTTGGTGAGCTTGATCGACAAACAGTCCGTACCATTCCTCCGACGCGCTTCGAAATACCCTGATATCCTATTCAGATATAACGACGTTTCTGCGCGCACTGCTGCATATCCTCGTGTGGCCGGATGCTCGCTTACGTGCTTACCTTCGCGAGCATGGTGTCAATGAAGCTGCACTTCCCACGAATAGGCCCGGGTTATTGCGTACGTGTCTAAATTCTCATCTGCTATATTTTGTGTTCATTTATCGCAGAGGAGACTCGCATACGCTGGGTTCAGACATACTAAACGTGCTGAGACAATCTTCACAAAGCTACAGGAGATTGTCAACAGTAGCATAGGCGCGGTGGAGGATAGATTGGCCAGAATACTCGAGGTTGGTTTATGTGCGACTCCTTCCTCGTTTGAACTGACTCTTCGTTAGCTCCTGAGTGGCCATTCGCACCATACTTCCGAGAAGGCTGATGATTACCGTGCTTACGTGGAGGATAAGAAAGATAGCGCGTGGCATTGGTGCTCTCAGATGGGCGATGATGCGAAAGGCAAGGGTGGCGATTATACTGAGTGTGCCAAGAGCAAGGCAAAGGAGGAAGGGTTTGATGAGAAGATGAAACGTGTTCGTGAAGGCATCAAATGGGGTGGGGAGAAGACGAAAAGTGCTGGCGATGAGCTCTAGACGGAAATCAAATGAAGTTTGCCGACTGTAAATCGTCAAGAAAGTACCTATGTAGTAATGCTGTAACATCGTACACTATTGTAATAAACTCCCAATGTCTCTCATTTATAGCCGGGATCAGCTGTAAGTCGAAGTTGAAACGTTGAATAAGTATTGAATGGCGCACATGCTAGATAGGGGTACTACACAAAGCAAAGAGATGTTTGATGCTGTTTGGTGATACGGGAAATCACTTAGCATGATTATTTTTGACTCTTAACTTTTCGTGGGGACTGCGGTGATGCATGGATAGGATGATTCCGGTGAGACTATTACGTTCGTTTCTGTGCCCCTGCATTGCTTGCCTGCCTTGCCCTGGCGAGCATAGCTGCACTTTTACTGGTGAGACCTGCCTTGGTATTGTTTTCTTGAATTCAAGTGAAGGACTTTCGCGCCTACTAGGGCAATCATGACAGTAATCGCTCGTTTATATGTGATCCGACACGGGGAGACCGAGTGGAACCGCGCGAGAATTATTCAAGGTCAAGCTGATTCCCAGCTCAATGATCTAGGAGAAACCCAGGCCGCTATGACTGGAGAAGCATTGAAAGCGATCCATTTCGACAAAGCTTTCACGAGCGATCTTTCAAGAGCTTCCAAGGTACACATTTCTAGGTTTCTCGAAAGGCACTATGGTTGATCAAATCTGAAACGTGTTATGTTGATGCAGACGGCTGAGATAATTTTGCAGCATCATCCCGATGTCTTCTTGGTGAAAGATCAAGCTCTGAGAGAGAGGGTAAGTATGCGTTGTAACTCTCTGGCAGTTATTCTGAAGCTCACCGCTATGTGTGGTCTTCTCATAGTTCATGGGGAAGTTACAGGGAACCAAGGGACCAGCAAACTCAAGTGAACCTTCCCTTGAATCCCTTGAAGCCATGCGCGAGCGATCCGTCGGGTGGTATAATCGCGAGATTGTTCCATACGTCTCATCCCTTGCCGACAATCCTGACGGAAAATGTCGGAACATTCTGGTTACGTCGCATGGATGGCTTATAAGTTCATTTTTCAAGTCCATGATAGCCACTGGGGTATTGGAGTGCACCGAAGAACTATTAAGAGCTTCGCCGAGAATACCTAATGCTAGTTTGTCAGTGGTGGAATACAGCATGATTGGATCTGGATCAGAACAGAGGATTGGGTCTACTGTTGTCCAGTACGGAGATGACTCACATCTAACCGGGACGCAAACTCTGCAGGACAATGCAGATATGGATGCCCTTCGATCGTGATTACATTGATGTTGACATTTTATATAGCCCTGTCACACATACCAACTTAGAATCTAGATGATATACCGTTCTCTTCGCTTTTCAGCTTGACCTCGAGACTGAGAATGCTCGTGAAGTGGTATCCGACTTACTTCGTGGTGGTTATCTGCACGCATCCTATGAGAATGTCTTTTGCTCACAGCTATTACGCGACGTAGGGGGGAAATTTTCGACCGTGAACACACCAGGGACTGATGATCTATGTATGATTCACTGGCAATTACTCTGAAACAGTGAAAGAGGCAACATCACCAGGACAGGCTGCCCTCGTGATGCAACCTTTCTCACCGTTTCAGGCATCATATATCTCACCAAGTTTTAAAGCTCTGGTTGTCTGGGCTTCTTCAAGTCAGCTGAGCATTCCCCGGTCGCCGTGTTGCTCTAGGTTATTGTAAAGCTGAATCTGGTATAGAGCCATTCCCATGAAGCCTACCAAGCCAGCGACGGCCCCCTCATTCTAAAGTTCACGTCGGGACGCGTGAACAACATTACTTGTCTCTCTCACATATGCGGGGTAGCTGATGGGAAAATGTAGCGATGCTGGGAGGACTTGGAGGCAGAAATTGCAATGCATTTGTTTACTTTTCACCTGTAACTCCAGTCTTTCCTTCCTGGTGCTTTGCTTGCCTGCAAGTACGCTGTGTACCGAATAAATCACGAACCACCAAGCACGCAAGAATTTCGAGCTGAGATTTACCTTGCCTTGTACCCCTTTCGAGCTAAATCCCGCATGAGATTTCCATATATATACATGGACCGATAAATAAATCCTAATAGCTCTCTTCCGAATCCGATATCTCTTCGGATTTCTTCTTGGACTCTTCCACAGTTCACTCTTCCACACTCTCAAACATCATGAAAGCTGTCGTTCTCGGTGCTGCAGGTATCGTAGTACTTCCTTGTCTACGTGATCGTTCAGATCCCTTAATCACCTATAGGTGGTATCGGCCAGCCGTTATCGCTTCTCCTGAAGGCCAACCATGCCGTGACAGAGGTAAAGTGATCGACATGCATCCAGCTCAGATGGTGAATGATATATCTTATACAGCTTGCTCTTTATGATATTGTAAACTCTCCCGGGGTGGCCGTGGATCTGTCTCATATTGCTACCCCTGCCAAAGTCGAAGGATTCCTGCCCCCCGATGATGGTCTCAAGAAAGCACTGACTGGTGCTAGTGTCGTCGTAATTCCTGCTGGTATTCCAAGAAAGCCTGGCGTGAGTTCTCGTGCGCAATGCTCAAATCGAACGATGGCTCATACGATTTCTTAGATGACTCGGTCGGTGTTGCTATTCGGGCCGTTATGTATCATTACTCACTTTTATGGCGCCATATAGTGATGATTTGTTCAAGGTTAGCTCACTCAACTATATTAGGTCGTCTAACCACTTATGCACTTATAGATCAATGCTGGTATTGTTCGTGACCTCGCTACTGGCATTGCCACCACGGCCCCGAAAGCTTTCGTCCTTGTTATTTCCAATCCTGTTAACTCCACAGTCCCTATCGTTGCAGAGGTCTTTAAGAAGCATGGTGTTTTTGACCCCAAGAGGTAAGATCGTGTTATGAACAGCATGTCCGGCATTAATAGGACATAATCAGGCTTTTCGGTGTAACAACGCTGGATGTTGTTCGCGCTTCGACTTTCGTCTCTGAAATTCTCGGTGATCGTTCATTATCACCGTCAGTATCAGTTCCTGTGGTCGGTGGCCACAGTGGTGTTACCGTCAGTTGTGCTTTCGAATGCTTATGTTCAGAAGTGACTGACAAGACATCAGATTGTTCCTCTACTCTCTCAATCTTCCCACTCTCTGCCAGCATCGCTTGACGCCACCGCTCTTGATGGCCTCATCAACCGCATCCAGTTTGGTGGAGATGAGGTTGTCAAGGCGAAGGACGGTGCTGGCTCAGCAACTCTTTCCATGGCTTACGCGGGTGCTGAGTTCGCTGGGAAAGTGATCCGTGCCATCAAAGGCGAAAAGGGAATCATCACCCCAACCTTTGTCAACCTTACTTCAGACAAGACGGGTGGTGACGCCCTCAAGAAGGAACTTGGCAAGGACCTAGAGTATTTCTCCGCTCGGGTCGAACTTGGTGTAGGTTAACACAATGGTGCTGAACGTCTTTGATGCTGATGACGTCCCAGGTCGATGGTGTCACCAAGATCCATGGTCTCGGTAAGATCACCCCCGCTGAGAACGTGCTCGTTCAGGCTGCTCTTCCCGAGCTCTCTGCTAACATCGAGAAGGTCTGTATTTCTCTTATCCAATTCAACCTCACCTAAATTTATCGATATTCTAGGGTGTCGCCTTCGTCGAGGTTCCCAAACTCTAATTTATACTGCAGTGATGCTTGAGCAGTCAACCTGTATAAAATACTGTACAAGTAACAAGATTTGTAGAAGGTAAAGCTTGAGTGTAGAATGAAATACATTTGGAATTGCTCTTATGTGATCTCTGAGTGGACTGGGACCACATCGGCCAGACCGGTCAAGCTAAGTTCCAAGTCAGTAGTCGACCATGCTTCCCTAACTCGTCCAAGTCTATGGTCAGTCTAGGGGAGATGAATCATGCACAGACCTCTGAAGATACGCGACTCCATTCATCCAAGAGCTCACGCGCTCCTTGCTCGTGTTCCACTCAATATCTATCTTTGCATGATCTCGAGGAGCTCCATCGAGCTGCGCGTGGATTTATTTCTCGAGGTTCTGTCGATCCTGCAGCGCGCAGATTTGGGACGAGGACTAGATTGGTCAACTCTTGGGGAGACGATGTCATCGAAAAGTGATTTGGCTTCGTCTCTGTGCGGAGGAAGACGATGAGTGCTTCCGAGTCGCGGTCTGTCTGAGCCGAGCTGAGAGACAGTGTTATCGTGAATGCCCGTTTGTTACATAGTTCATTCATGCCGGACTCGTGCTTATAGGATAGGTTTGGTTTTGATGAAAGAAAGACAGGAGGATTCGTACTTCCTTGCCGACTCGGACAACGTTTCGCTCCATTCTTCTTTCACGCGACTCCAAAGGCTTTGACGTCGGCTGTCAGCACGTTGTCTTTTCCTGAGGATTTTCTACATATGTGAAAGCGGGCAGACTCTTTGATGAGGTTACATTGAGATAGCATAAGACTTGGGTAAGACTGAAGCAGGAACCGCACGAGACAGGATTTGAGCGCTTACCACACCCGGGAATGGCAACAGGTAAAATTATCGTCTTCCCGAACTCCTTGGTGATTGGCGGCGCCTCACTCTCCACGACTCACCCATTCTTCCCTTCGTCTGTCAGGCGTTTTGACATGAAGACAACTCACATCGGTCCACGGGACCTCCAATGTTGAAAAACTTATCGTATCCTCGAGCTACGATTTGGTACTTTGGCTCTCCCTTAGAGTCATCTCCACATTGAAGTTCACGGCTGAACAAACCTCTCGCTAGCGTTGGAAAGAGCGATGAGATTTCATAGTATGTACTTGAACTCGTTTAGCTTCCAGCTTCGAACAGAGATGGAGGGATCTGACGGCGCGTTGTACACCGTTGATCGTACAATCTTTAGTGACGTCTTTGAGAGCCAGTGCTGGTCCTTGATGAGCTGGGACTCCTCCGGGCGCAGGTGAGTTGACATATTAGATATATGCCTGCAAAATGCAGAAGGTGATGATAGACAGGGACTAGGGGATCGTGTCCGGCATATGTAGGAAAGGATATGCTGTGCAGAATGATTCAGAAGTTTGAATATGAGTTACCTAGTACACGGTGCCTTGATTTTGAGTCAAAGTTGAGTACTGAGTCAGATTTTGAATCGGTCCATAGTATGTAGTAGTAGTAAGTAGCAATAACTTTCGATAGCTTTCAAAAATTTAGATCCTAACACAGACAAACAATTTTATGCGAGTAGGTACCAAAACTTGTTTCACAGTGTACACCTCTTTCGCTAGCCCGCACTTCCACAACTGAGGCACGAGCGATGGATTTAGCGATTCGATACAACCTTTGGCATGTACCCCACATTTCTGCACGCGACGATACCATATCTCTAGTCACTACTCCGATGTTGTACGTAGACTTGTCCAGGCGATCCCCAACTTCTCCTGCATGCAATATCCACTTCATTAAACTGTGGCGTCATCGATTTACCTGGAGCAATCTCATCCGATTCAGGCTGACTGTTGCCCACAGTCAGGTTGTTGCCCCTCTGCGTTGGCAACCTTCCTACATAGGCGATGTGGATTGACCAAGCTGCAATAGTGAGGACAACAATACCAGTCAACAAGTCGGACACAGTGGAATCTATTGAATTCAAATTGTGCTATCAGATCTAGACAGATACCCTGGGATTCTGTCACCCTCCCTTCGAATTCGCGTGAGTTCTACCAACAGTAGCAAGTGGTGGTTGGAATCGTAAGGTTGACACGTTTCAGACACGAGCACATGGTGTGGATCTGTCCGATGGAGTGTCAAACGTTGGCGTCGATGTTAAAATGTTTGTCCTCAATTGGTGGGTGGGATCTATGCTGGTGTCTCCGCCGACCTAGATGGGCACGCCAGTATCGTGGTGAGTCATGCATTTGATGGTACAGACACGACATCTAAAATCGCTAATATTGATGCTTGACGAATTCTATGATGATAGGATGAACTATGCTAGCCAATTGAATTGCAAGCGAGTCCCCCATTCACGTGTCCGTTGGAATGGTTACTTGAGTGGAAGTATTGAGTGATGTGGTATGACCGTCGGAGTACCACAACCTGGTCATATGAAATCCGTGAGCGTCGCATGCCAGATGACTTCGTATCTGCGTGCAGGTGAAACGTCGATTGGCAGGGGTTGCTTAAAAGTCACTCTTCACTTGAATGTACCGCAACTTACGATGAGTTCCTTCCAATCCTTCTTTGCGCTCATCCCACTGCAACAACCTGACCTACACATCCCTGTCAACATGCAGCTCGTCCTGAGTGCTGCGGCTTCTCTTGTTGTGGTGGGAGTAATTATTTGGGCTTCCCGTGCTAAATCAGAGAGTGGCCTTCCTCTTCCACCTTCCCCTCCCACTTGGAAACTTCGAGGGCACGTCCTGCCACCTCGCAAGTAAAGTGTCCCATTTGACTGATTAAGTTTTGAATGCTGACTGTGTCCTATCCCCGACAAGACCATTCCTCACCATAGCAGGATGGATTGACGAGTACGGTCCTTTGATTACTATTCGATTAAAATTCGAGCGGATCGTTATCATCGGCCGTTACAAAGTCAGTCCTCACCCGCTGCGATATCATATCTTGGCTCAACAACATTCCGTTGCAGGCCGCCGCTGACATTATGGAGAATCAAGGCAAATTTCTAGCTGATCGTCCTCCAATGATTGCTCCTGGAGAGTTATTTAGCGGCGGAATGAGCATCGGTTTTACACCCTTTGGGGACCGGTTTCGTCGCATGCGTAGGTTAGTAATCTGCGATACATCCACTCATTTACCTTGCCTTTCAATGTGATGCAGAGCACTTCATTCTTATCTCCAACCTAAAGCAGCTGAGGCCTATCAGCCACTGCAGATGTCACACGCGAAGAACATAGTTCTTGGCGTTCTTGATAATCCACACAACTTCCGTCACCATGTGATAACGTAAGAGCTGTCATTCATGATAGTATCAGTACTTTGCTTACGGTTACTTTGAAGTTATGCTGCAACGATAATTTTGAAAGTTACATATGGGAAGAATACGCCCACATCTGCTACTGATCCCGATGTCATTGAGGCGCTTCAAATGATGAGAAGGCTTATTGAAATCATGCGTCCTGGTGCTTATCTGGTGGACTCGATTCCGTGGCTCAAATATCTCCCTTGGTATGGCCGAGACTTGAAACTGGAGTTTGAGAGCAGGAAAAAATTCAACCTCGGTCAGTTAAACCGCGTGAGGGAGCAAATGGTATACACTTCCTTTCGAATCTTGACTTCATGTCTGAGTCGTTCCACAGCAGAGCGACATGGATATCGGTCCTTCGTTCATGAAAGATATGCTAGAAGATAGCCAATCCCATGGTTTGACCGAGACCGAGGTGGCTTTTCTTGGTGGTGCCTTTCTTGGAGCTGGATTAGATACGGTGAGGTGTTGTTTTGTTGCCTCCGAAGACATGCGACTAAAATCAGTGTCGATAGACTTCTATCTCGATATGCACGGTGCTCATGGCAGCCGCACGTTTCCCCGAGGAGCAAGCTAAAGTTCAGGCCGAGCTCGACGCGGTCATCGGAAGGCACCGAGGTAGCTAGATTGATTCCTGTATTGCATTGCTATGGATTCAATAATTTCCGCGCTAAAGCGCCGACCTTTGCCGACCAAGGGTCCCTTCCTCGCCTGCAAGCATTCATCTCTGAAGCTTTGAGATGGCGACCTGTAGCTGCTGGCGGTGGGCATCTTTATTTTCATTTTGTGCCTAGGTGTCACAATATTCACGCTGCAGGACTGGCTCACCGCACAACCAAGGACGTGGTTTGGGCAAGTGATCTTTGAACAACCAATTGCACAAATGATGATTTGGCTCATCAGGAAAATTACTGTATTCCAGCTGGGACTACGGTGTTCGGCAACCAGTGGTAAGCAGCGTGCTTCAATAAACCAAAGATCTAACGGTCACCGCCTTAGGTCTATCTCTCGGGATCCAGATGTCTACCCGGAGCCTTACACGTTCAAGCCTCAACGCTGGATTAACGAACAAGGTGACCTGAGAGACGATTTAAAATTCTTTGTCTACGGCTTTGGTCGGCGGTCAGTACTATGCCTCAGCCTCCAGTTTTTTTAATGACATTCCTTTCAGCGTATGCCCCGGTCAACATGTCGCGAACAGGTAAAATTATTTTGCACGCACGCGGTCTTCCAAACTCATTTTGGTTGGTACAGATCAGTGTTTATAATCACCCTCCTTATTCTTTGGGCCTACAAGCTCACTCTGGATCCTACGAAGCCATTAGATGACATGGAGCTCATGGCCAGCTCGATGCCAAAGGTCTTGCCCTACACATTAGAGTTTGGGAAGAGGATTTCGGAAACGGAGCTCAGGAGCATGATGCAGCATTATCCTGAGGTCGCATGAGAAGCTTTGATGCCTAGACGGGTTAGGGGGAGAGCAAAGAACAAGTTCCCAACGAATCCTCCCGGACTCGCAGTATGTTTTAATTTTGCCTGAGCCGATTCTGAATTGTGCATTATGTAGGTTATTGTCGGTTGTGTACATTGTTATACTAGGATTCTAGCTATATTTCAACTGCTCCGCTGTGTACGACATTGCCAGTATGCCAAACGTCGAAGGCAATACCCAGGAGTTCTTCCGCAAGAGTTGCATATGATACACTAGTAGTGTTGGTACACATCTCACCATCCTTTGACAGTTTGATCCACGTTTTCCGCCTGGACACAACAACTGCGTTGCTCCCACTCGCAACGCCGAAGGGTCCGGAACGAAAAACACGATTATTCGTATCTTCTCTCGCTCCACCGCTCCCCAGGGCCATACCTTGCGACACGAGGCAAATATGTAAGTTTTATTAACCTTTTGCTATCCATATCGTGATGCTGATATTGTCTCGTAGCACACCGCTAATGCCCATAGTGGAAATAAGCATAAGTTGGCGCAGCCACCGCGTCTCCCTTGCCGCACGCTACCAGCCGGGGCATCCAATGTGATCGACGGAGCCACCCGGCTGCTTTGCAGACTGAAAGTACCAGTGCAGCTACTAGTAACAGACTCCCTTCCCCGTTGGACGTTGGACATATTCCAGACATCGGCTGCTTCGCAGTTCTCACAAGGTGGTTCCCGTGTCTTTCACGTATTGGACAAACAAGTTCGTATGCTTCCAGCTCCTGCGAGGCTTTCTGTCTTTCCGAAAAATCTAGGTGAGAGTAGATATCACCACATGGACTGAGTATTTGAAGACATACGCAATTCGATGTTGCTCCCAATAAACGACTGCCGTTGAATGATACGCAACATTCAAATTCATATAGAGAAAAAATATTGTCGGCAGGTTTCGAATCTGCACCATCCAGGAAGAACAAATTTCGAATTTGTTAACAGCTTGGCCATATGTCTTATGGTTGATGTTCGAAGACCTCTGCATGAGCTCATGCCCAAGGTGTGATCATGGAGAAAAATCTTTGTAGGCAGGTTTCGAACCTGCGCGATCCAGCAGGAACAGAGTTCAAATCTGTTGACCACTTGGCCATGAGTCTCATGGTTGACGTTCGAAAACCTCTCTATGAGCTCGTGGCCAAGATGTGATCATGGAGAAAAACCATTAGGGGCGCTCAAAGTTAAAACGCCCAACGCCCAACGCCCAACCTCGTGACCGAAATGTATATACCTAGAATAAATAGAAGTAAATACAAAGTAAACCCACTATTATCAAATGTTATATAAGCAAATACTATTGTGCTTTCACGGCAGCCCAGGTAGAGCTCTGTGCCAGTAGCTATGGCTCGTACAACTCTACACTACCAATATCTACAAAACTACATCTTGCATATGATCTTGCGAAGCATTTTTCAGCCACCACGGACCCCAGAAGAGGCTGCATGCGAGTTTGATCTTGATAAGTTGATATCACTTGCATTCTTGCTATCTGGCACTTTCGTTATCTCTGTGACATTAAGCAGTAGTATCAGAGATAAATGTAGATAAATGAAAATAGGCAATACTCGACAAACAAATGATAAATGGTTAAAAGAATGTAGGGTATCTTACTCGGATCTCATCCCAATCAGCAGAATATCGGGCCCTCTTTGCAGGTGTTTCCACCTCAACAGCTTTGTCATTATTCAGCTCTTGAAGTTTCATCATCAGGGCCAGACATGGGGATGTAGTGATCGAAGTGCTCCTCATCAGGTTCATAACCAGGGTCATCTTGGACACCCTCGCCAGTTGGTCTGAGCCGACATGCATGGCGCTTGTAACAATTGACAAGACTATTAGCAGGTGGGATGAGTTACTACAGAGACATGCAAATTCGGAAGTGGGTCACATACTAGTCAAACTGTTTTTTAACATGGTCACCAACTGCGTCAGGATTGAGGGCATATGAGTCTATGAGAATGACAGATCCAATACGTTTGAAGACCGCAATTTTGGTGTCTTTCAATGTATTCTGGTGCTGTATTTTCAGCGCTGCATTTACAGTCGAGACTCTGTAGTGGAAGTAAGCTTACCTCGTCCTTCTTTTTCCCAAGAAGCGTCTTCCTGTTCTCTGATTTCTCGGCCTCAGCAAGGAGCTTCCAGGTAAGATCTGTGGTCCAGTCTATCTCAGGAATGGCTGGTCCCGCTTGTTTCTTGCCTCAGGCCATAGTCCGAGCAGCCAGAAGATGAAACAGCAGAGCAGAGACGACCAATCTAACTCGCCTAAATGGTATGTAGTACTAGCAGGGAGATGATGTAATGCTTGATATTCGTAGGTTTACTTGGTATTTACTTCTATTTATTCTAGGTATATACATTTCGGTCATGAGGTTGGGCATTGGGCGTTGAGCTTGGGCGTTGGGCATTTTAACTTTGAGCGCACCTATTGTTGACGGTTGTGTACACTGTTATACTAGGATGGGTTTCTAAGTCGCCGAGGAACGAGTCGGCATACACTACGGGGTCCGCAATATTTAAGGCAGGTTTGAATGTTGTGTGAAATGTTAAGATAATACTTAATATTTAGGTTGTCGTCTAGGCGCATGTAAAATTTCAAATGTTAAAGAGATCTTGCACGACAATAGAAATATAAAGTATCAGCGAACATTTTGTTACTGTCTGAACATCAATGATAATAAGAAATATAAATATATCTTTAATGCTGGCCTATACTTTGAAATGAAACTTCACATTTAAGACTCGAAAAAACGTCAACAATCACACGTGACTGAATGTCTGCTCATACACGAAATTCAGACCACTACTTAGATGGGTGTTTGAATTTAAAATACCTCCTGACGATAAAATGTGAAGCTAAAACATCAAGTTTTGTCTCCAGACAAAATTAATCGCCTGACAATTGCCCACTCACCACCCACTCATGAGTAAATAATCTCCCGCTTAAAGAAACCTCATATTCCATATTCTAACAGTACAGTATTTACATATTGTAAGGACAGAGTGTTTGATGCTATGGAATCAATTTGTGTCGATGCCATGATATAGTAATCATACAAGGTCATCTAATTGTCCATGAAGGCTGAGAGGAAATCAGAGATGTACATCAAACAACAAAAAAGATAGCTTACCACTTGCTTTTGTAGTGAGAAAGTTAGAACATGCTGTGTCAAGGTTCTTCTTAAATTTCTTTGTCGCCCCATTGAACTTAAGTCCATGTTTCCAATGCATGTTGTTCACCAGCCCATTATTGTCAGATGAATTGCGATGTTGAGAAACACCTTGACGAATGTTTCAAGGCGTGTCTGAAACCAGGCTTCGCATTGAGCAGACCAGATCCCCACATCCAACTCTGACCCAGCCCAGGCCTGAGGTGTTGGCCATCAAGACAATTTTTCAATGCATCCATTATCTAATGTTTCAAATATGAGTGCACTGCAGGTCAATATGAATAGGGAAACTTACTCGTGTACACATAATACGTCCCACAAATGAAATCAGCCTCCTCTTCCGACAAATCATCGTCAAAGTGAGTCTTGCCATTGAGAGACAACATTTGTCCAAATGAGACAGCATCCCGTGAAATGTCAATCAGGGCCAAGGGGAGGACATCACAGCCAAGGCTATGTAACACTAGCCGCCATAAGATCCCGCCACAAAGAAGAGTGGCTCATGTACAATCCTCCTTCATGAACTTGTGATCATACTGCTCATGTTACGAACTAGGATAGTTCTGACGTATAGCTACTCGATAAGAGTAATCGGCTAAGGTCGGTTCAAGGCCCTTGCATATACAAGGGTTCATAAGACAGGTCAAGGAGAGTGTCCTTGACTTGAATCAGTTTCAGACGACTTAAGATTGGTGGTCTAATGTACAGGATGATTTTATATAGTGAATGACAACTGCTTTAGGGCAGGTGTGAGAACGTAATGAGTCAGAGATAGCAAGAATAGATCATCTAGCGACGGCTTTTGATAGCGATCGTGATGTAATACAGTGAGTCAAAGATAAGACAGGAAGAAAGATGAGTCTAGCGGCAGCATCATGCGGCTCATGATGTAATACAAGTAATTGAAAAGAGAAAGAAAATAGGGGCGTACAGTAACTGTAACAGTCTATGACTATGGCATGAAAAAGGGAACCCCCACCTCCAAAACATCCTGGTCTCTGTTGCATGTACTGACACGTGTATTCGCAATCTTGATTCACATAAGTGCCTTATTGGTGACCTTGTGTTTCTTGATAACAAACAATGTGAACCATGTCAGTTGTCATTAACTTGGCAAAATAATTCACTAACTTATGTCTTCAAGACATGATGGCATTGTCAGCAGACCTTGCCCAGTGCATGAGACATACACGGGTGTTCCTCTCTAATGATCTTCAGGAAAGTGTGCACGCAGCGGTATTCAACAAAGTACTGCATGCACAAAAAGAAGTACGTGAAAAGAGCAATATCCCAATGTTGCGTGAATTGGCAGAAAGGTTTATGGGGTCATTTAAGAGGCGGGGGGAGATGTGGGTGAAGATGTACATCAAGAAAGCACTGTGGTGAAAGAAATAGTAGTCAGCTAGATATACCAACTAACTTACTAAATCCTAATGGGTGCGAGTGCAGTATGTCGACCTAAGGGGACTGCTATTGAAGCACTTCCTTCTAATAGTGTGAGGGAAGAGAAAGGAAGAAACTAAGATCTAAGACCTGAGATGTTCCGACCGACCGAGGGTCTGAGTCCGAGAATGTCCGGCGCGATATGGGATACCGATGGTACACCCGATGCGAGATGCTGATGAGGGACACCGACGCGAGATACCAATGAAGGACACCGATGCGAGATACCGATGCGAGGTGAGGAGTTTGATGCCGATGAGCAGCAGGTAAGTCTAGGCCAAGGTAAGGAGAGTCTAGGTATAACTAGGTATGACGAGGTATGACTAGGTATGGGTTGCCGACGCAAGACTACCGGTAGTGGTCTGGATCTCACAAGGCCTAGGTAAAGAAACCCTAGATAGAGTGCACTTAGAGCGGTCAAGGCACGTCCGATGATAAAAAGCAAGGGGACCAATTGCACAATCAAAGACTAACTAAGGTGACTCCTACAACGGTACTAGGTATGTCCAAAGAAGGGAAGTAAGTGATAATACGAAACTTGAGTCCTATTTATCTAACTACGTGAACATCCAGAATCGCACAGGCGAGAGTAGTAGCGAAGCGCAGGGTACTTGGGTCAATATGTAATAAGGCTTGCGAGTGCTGCAGCCATGGGAATACATGTAATAACGCCTGCTGTTTGTTCAGTAACAGTAAAATAAGCTTAAAATGCACCAATGGAGATAGGCAGACATGGGCAGGACATGGGAGGATTCGGTACCAACGGGACGGAACAGTTGGCCGAGGTGCGCGATGACCAAAACGACAAGTAAGGGACGGTACAGACAACCCTGGCTTCCTGCGAGAGGCCAAGGCAATGGGTCCATTGTAGAGACTCGCATTTCTGCAGGCACATATGGGCTCATATTACGAATTCTGACAACTGGCCTTCATGGCATGACTTGCACTATCATCCACTATGACTTCCCTATAGAGCGCACCACTTTCCCGCGAAATGCGCCATAGGCGTGATACTTTCCCGCACAACACGCAGTATTCCCGCACGCGCACCTTGCACGCTTTAAGCACACTGCGTCGCGCATCATCCAGGAGCATCCATCCATCGTCCAACCAGTCCCTTGGTATGTCCCTTTTCGTTATCTGACCATATTTAGCATATTACACTTCCTATTTCGTTATGGACCCCTACTTTACATCACTTTACCTCACTTACATACTTAGAGCGCTCCCTATTCGGCTCCAAGCCCTGGGAGAGCGCTTAGGAAGAACTTACATACTCTCATGTTCGTTTTACACCCCACTTACCCACCTTAGCAACTTTTCCACCTTAGCTTCCTACCACTCAGTATCTATCACCAGTTAGTTCCATGCAATGCATGTATCCATCATCATCTTGAGGCCCTAGCATCAGTCTATAGCTAGTGGCACTATCAGTATCCGTCTAGATCCGCACTTTTCCTCTTATCAGTCTCAGTATATATCTTTTACACCTGTGCACTGCTTGCACTACCTTCTCGCGCTCCGCGCACTTTCGCACTTCGCTTTCCCACGCGCGTTTTCTTGCGCTTTCACCGCCATTCACCAGGGTTGTTCAGCATCATTCCGTGGATCCTTGCTTTCCTTGCTTCCCCTTTAGGGTCGAACATTCTTGCATTCTGCGAGTATAGCAGCTAGGCAGAGCTGAGACTCACTTATACTGGCTGAGCACTTTTCTTATATGTGCCTGCCAGGTTGTGATACCCACACTGTATCGGCTGAGTCAGACATAGACCAGTGCGACATGGAAGAGTCGAGTGAGTCGAGGCTTTTGCTAGGAGTGATGTATGGATGCGATGTGGACTTCTAGGCTGCTTGACTTCTATAGCGAAATGGGGTTCTGCGAGGCTAGCCCGAGTTTGAACACCACAGCGCCATTGGTGAAAAAGACAATATCGCTGCTGAAGCCAAAAGGGTATTTTATGAGACACTGAGGGTACAAGGAGTTGATATTAGAGGTGATGATTCTGGGGGGGGGATGTTATTCTCATATAATGATAGACATGCTGTAAACTTACACTATGCATGGTGGAGGAGGTGAGATGAGCATATGACTGGACCCACATGATCCAGAGGATTGCAGCATGGGGAGATAGAGGTGGTGTTCAATGAGCTTGATAGTACAAACTATTGAGCTGGAAGCAATTAAAGTCAAGTGTATTTCCAGTGATTGGCCATATCATTCTTTACCTAGGCTTGTACTTATGTGGGTGACCAATTGGTCATTCACATGTGCACCTATGTATGGTCTAGCAGAGGGTATTCTCAAGGATTATCCAAATACGAACATGTACCTGCATTGTCAGGCATCAAGTTGACTAGGTGAACAGGCAAGCAGAGCTTGCCCATCCAAACAACAATGAACCATTGAAGGAGTAACTTTGGAACTTTGTGAGGTATGGAATGTTGACAGTGTAGTCTAAACAGGAATGATGTGCTCGAGAGTACAAACTATTGAACTCAAAGATATTGAAGAACAATGATCTCAACAGTAAAAACCATTGAGCTCAAAAAGTGAGATAATACAACCATACAAATGGTTGTGTAGTGGTAGCTAGTAAAGGAGTAGTTAGGACGGACTTTGGCAAAACTTGAGATGGTGTGACAAATAGTCACAAATAATCTTATGTCAGCATCCAGTCATTTTGAGACTAAGTCGCCCACCTATGAGACGTCAGAAAGAGAGGTGTTTAATAAATGTAGACAAGAATAATGAGTTTGATAGTTTGTATTGCTTGCCTATTCACCTAGTCAACTTG